TGAACTCGGCTACTTTGCCGAGACGACCGATTCGGGTCTGCCAACCGGCTGGCACTCGGTGGACGACAACAAGACCTTCCGCCCTCTGTCATCCCGTGCCCCGGAGACCGAGCAGGACTCTAACAGCCCTGACTCCACCAACAGTGCGGACAGCGAGCGTGACAGCGTCAGCGAAGAGCAATCTCCGCAGTCCGTTGAGGAGCAGACCCGCATGGCAGACGAGTCGGAGGAGGATGAGCCCGTCCGAGTGATCAAGGTATGTGCAGGCAAAGCAAGATGTGAGGGCGGAACTAACAAGACCCAGCCTACCCGGGGCAGAGGCAACCACAAAGTTGGCGGCGCCCGCCGCAAGTTCAACAAGGGCAACAAGACGTACGGCAAGAAGGGCGGCAAGCGTCGCAACAAGGACATGCGCTCGAGCAAGGAGCAGTCCTTCCAGGTTGTCGACGTCGAGCCTCAGCCGTCGCCCTTGGACAACGTTCGCGGCGGCCCGCTTGTTCGCCTCGGCGAGGGCATCGTCGTCGACTGGAGCGAGGAGACCTGGGACTTGGTTTTCGGCAAGGAGTCGCGCGATGCGGAGGACAACCGTGGCCAGAAGACGTTTGGCGACGTGGAGAAGCTCAGAGACCCCGCCTTGGAGCAGAAGCGCAAGTCGCGTCTGGCGCGCAAGAAGCAGGGCATCACCCTCGAGGAATGCCTGGACGAGTTCGAGAAGGCCGAGGTCCTCTCCGAGCAGGACATGTGGTACTGCCCACGCTGCAAGGAGCACCGTCGTGCCAGCAAGAAGTTTGACCTCTGGAAGACGCCCGACATCCTCGTCGTTCATCTGAAGCGCTTCAGCAGCGCTGGCTGGCGCCGTGACAAGCTGGACGTCCTTGTCGACTTCCCCATCGAGGGTCTCGACCTGCACAAGCGTGTGCTCTGCCAGGAGACGGGCAAGGAAGAGATTTACGACCTCATCGCGGTGGACGACCACTTTGGTGGCCTCGGCGGCGGTCACTACACTGCCTATGGACGCAACTTTGTTGATGGCCAGTGGTACAACTATAATGGTGAGTGGACATCCACGACACGAGACGACAACGTGCTAACCTGTCGCAGATACGTCGGTCAGCAAGACTTCGCCAGAGAGCGTCGTCACTAGAGCTGCCTACCTGCTCTTCTACCGCCGTCGTTCCGAGGGCCCCCTGGGTGGTCCCCGCTTCAAGCAAATCTTTGAAAAGTTCGACAAGGCTGGCGAAGACGACGAGGAGGATGACACCGACTCGGGGGAAGATCAGCGTCTCGTCGGGGGCTCCTCCCTAACTGGATCGTCGAGACTTGGGATCGGAGCCGAAGCAACTCACCCGCGCGGAAATCGTGGTTTGGCTAGTAGCACAATGTCAACGACCAACCGCGGTGGCGATGATGAACTGCCGCCCTACGAAGGCAGCTCCAGCACCAACGTTGGCAGCGACAACATCCAAAACAGCATCGAGGATGAGGGCATTGGCATGACGGACTTCACCAGCGGCGCAAACGGATTCCAGGCCGCGCAGCCATGGAACTGGAACTCGCTGGAGTCCGCGGACGGAACCAACAACTCCCTCGGCATGGAGGGCTACGGCAGCGACGACGCCCAGCCCGACTCGTCGGATGATCGCGAGGTTGGCAACGACACGGACATTCAGTTCGACGAGACCATGGGAGACTACGAGACTGCCCAGGAGGAGGCCCCGCCGCCACCCGACTTTGGCGCCCAGGTCGGCCTCTCGGAGATTCAGAACGCCGCCTGGGACCGTCAGAACAAGACCCAGGTCATCTCTGTCCCGGCCGCTGACGCCGATGCCGCCTCTACGGAGGCGGCTGAGATCCACCTTGACGACGAGGTCGAGCAGCAACAATCCACCCGCACTCGGCCTTAGGCGTTCTAGGTGCTGGGCCTTCGAACCATAGGATACTGCGTATTTTTGTGAAAGAACGGGGGGGATGTTTGCCCGCTTTGGCGTCGCAAGGGAACGAATAAAAGCCCAGGCGCATATCAAGACACGAGCACGACTTTTCTGCTCATGGGGTTCATGAAGATGGGGATCAGGAGGGGGAGGCATTACACAAAAAAAGCAAGAGGATACAAATGAGGCGTAAATAGAGATAGAGCCCCCTCATGCCCTGGCATATGCGAGGCCGGCCTCGGGCCTCGCTTTCATTTTGTCGGAGTCTCGGATGCATGAGGCATGTGTGTATGACCTTTGAGTATTACGGCTCGCTATAGAGGGAATATAGCCGGATTCGTACCCAGCTGCTGCGTGGTGCCTTGTGACGGGATGTGAGGCTTTGGTTTGCCCCTTTGTCTTTTGTGAGCATGTGGCTGGACACTGCTACTGCATTGCTGCCGATGTTGTCCTTCAAGCAGAGATGCAAGACGCGTTCGTGTCTGGAACGGCACAGTACCGTCCCCCTCTCTGACCGGCGCCTTTTCAATGCGTGCAGGTTGCTCTTGGTGAGGTGGACTCGGCAAGGTGTCGTGAATTGGCCCGTGACTAAGGTCGCCTGGGGAGGAGACTCCGTTGGACAGGGGGGGGGGGGGAGGGGGGGTTGGCTGCGGCGACTGGGGCGAGCATGGGGTTTTCGGTCCTGGGGCCTTTCAAGGCAAGCTCTGTCTTTCCATCCTGTCTTGGACGTCTCTGGTGGTTGCGCGAGGGGTTTCCTCGGCTGCCGAGCGATTTCTACTGGAGACTTGCGTCGTGGGTCGTGCATTTCTCACCTACGGGGAAACGCACATGTTTTTGGGGACGTAGTGGAAAGGGGAGTGACTCGGTGGCGATGCTCTAGGTAAGAGATGGTCTGGGGTCCGGCGAGGTCGTTTGCCTGTGGTCTGGAGGCTGCTGGGTAAGAAACCCCTGGGCTGCTCTCAGGGCTGCTTCCATCGGCTCAAGGGCACGTGGGAGTGAGGCGGGCTATACACGCGTGGGCGAAGGGTCAATCGTTCTTCTTGTGTGCAAGACCTCGGTGGGACTTTGGCTTCTTGCATCTTTGTCTTGGTGCGCGGCTCTAGAGGCTCGAATAATGGAGGTGTTTGGTTCCATCTACGGCCCGAGTCGGATGTACACTGTCTGGTCTCGATTTCCAGAGTCCAGGAGTGGAATTCAAGCGTGATAAAGGGTGTTGAGGGATGGCAGTCAAGCCAACGGCATCGAGCAGTTTGTACAAGAGGGCATCGTCGGCCCTGGAAGCCGGAGGCTCTGGCCGGGGCCCAGCCGACCAACCAGCAGCTGTCACGACTAGGCTCGCAGATAGCGTCGCACTTATCTCGCAGAGCTGCAGAGTTTCGAAGAACGACGTTACTCATGTGCCGTCTGGAGGTGTGTTTCGCATGTCTGTTCCGGTATAGAGAAGGCTCCAGGTTCCATCTAACAACTCTACTAAACCGATGCAATTTCCCGGCGTGTGGCATTGGCTATCCTTAGTCCCTTGACCAGAGAGGCTTACCGGAGACACATGGGTAGCCGGAGGAACTATCACTTTAGACTGTTGGCAGTCTATTCTGGTGGACTTGATGCTGGTTTCGTGACTGTCGCCCTGCTTCCTTTCCATCTCCCTAGTACTAGGTCATGCAGGAGTGTAAGGGAGGCAGGGGGGATTCCGGCACGCCTTGTTTCCTTCCATTTGTCCAATCAACAAATATACTTCGAACACTTGGTAGGCAGGAACCAGTGAGGGTGTTCGTCTGGGTTTATCCGCATAAGTACCGACAAAGACGAAGATTGCTACAAGACAGAGATAAAGGCCACGCCGACCAAGCGTCTCCATTCGTGCGGACTCGGTGAAGCCAAGACTTGTGCCCATGGAGACCAGTCGTCCAAGCAGGCGGTGTTTTGTACCTCAAGCAAAGGACTTGGCCTAGTGGGTGGGAAGAGCTGACCAGAACCGCTCGTTGGACGAAAAGGTTGCGGCAATTTGGAATCCTCCTTGGGCCGTTACATCCAACCCATCTACTTCAACCGCACTCTGGCTCCTCCGTCCAGTGGCCCGAGACCGGGAGCAACACAAGTCGAAGCTTTGAAGCTAAACAGCGAGAAACAGTCTGTCGGCGCGGAAAGCACTTGTTTGTCGAATGCCTTCAGTTACTCGATTATTCCGTGGTCACTTCAACGGAGGAAGAATGCCACTAGGCAAACATCTGCCTCGTAGAGAACAACAACGGACCAAGCCTCGGGGAACGGACATGCCCTGACAAGCACGGCCACATTGCATATCAAGAGTCTTCTCCAAACTGTGTAACTCTATTTCTGTTTCCGCAGGCAACAAGCTATCTACAATATGCCCATATATTAGAAGGCTTGTGAGAAACTCTCCGCAATACAACATACACCATCTTTCACCCCCCACGCAGATTTTGGGGCGTTAGGAAGACGAAACACTAAGGTTGGACAAGTATACACTGCCATCCTCGTGCCCCCTGTTGAGCATGAGGAGGCTTGATCTGGGCTGTGAGCGCTGCTATCCATTCGGCATCCAACGGAGACCCAGACAGGTTTCCAGAACGGCTCTCATGACCGGCGAGGTTACCGTCACACGTCTCGCAGCTAAAGCACCTGAGCCAACCCATGGGTCTCTTGAATGCCAGAGAGTGACATCGTGTGCTGGTCCGGCCTTGCCTTCTCTGCCATAGCCGGCAAACGGACATTGACTCACTTACATGCCCCAAGTCGTTGTGGCACTTATACAACATGGAGTCAGAGTCACCAAGCCTTGAACCCGTACAAACTCCACGCCGGTCCGAGGATGTTACAGTTCAATTGGACTACATATAAACAATGGCGCATGGGGAGAAATGGAGCGGTCGATCAGCGGCTACGCCGTGCGTACGTCCAACACGCCAAGCAAGCACGGCAAGCTTCCATCATATTCAACATCTACGGAGGGATGTCGCCAGCCATCGTATCTCCAACAAGTACCAGCCTGGAACACACCCGGGGCCAAGGGCGACGACCAGACAGATCGCCGTCCTGGGGCGGATGATGCTCACTACACCCTCCGAGGCCCCTCAGGAGGCACGCCGGCCGCCGCCTCGCGACATCGACTCAACAAGGCTGCCCAGCCCCGAAGACCTTGAGGTCGTGGTGCCCTTCAACTCCCAGGATTATCCTGTGTTGCCGTGGTGGTATGACACTCTTAGCCATGCCTTCGTAGCTTCGTTACCGTGGAGAGGATGCTAGTACCCCCGCACCCGATAGCCCGGAATACCATCACAGCCCGCCAAGGTCAACGTCTCAGCGTCACTGACGTCCTCGTAGACTTTCAATCAACTCGAGGCACTGCGACGATGCTTGTCCTCGCCATCAAATAGGCGCAGCATCGAATCGACCCCCACCATCACAGTCCAGATTAAGCGCGGAGCGGAGCCGCAGCATGAGCGGTCCCTCGACCTCATCAGTAAGAAACGCCCCGTGCCCGCGATGGTCAAGCCCGTCCCAGCATGGTCCTCTACCGTTCCCGCGCCCACGCTTGCAGTCTCGCAGGACATTCTACTCCAGTAACCGCCAACCTCCCAAGCTCATATGCCAGAAACCAGCCCGCGTCTGGCGTAGAGAAGAGCCAACGCGAGCGGGGTTCTACTTGTAGACAAAACCGTGTCTCACGAGTGCTTCTAGCCCGCGAGCACTGATCACCGCTCAATGCCCACACCGTCCTGGACCAAACCCACTCGCCAGCCAACAACACCAACGATCAGAGCCCGCATGAGTCCACGGTCCTTATGCTGGCTAATGCCCCCAAGCCGGTCCGCGCCCCCGAGATCTTCCCACCTTATACAACCAGCCCTAGCGTCCGCCGGACTGCGCCTGGTATCCAAGAGCCCTGCCGGGCGAGCGGCCAACGTCTGGGCTGCCCTACCCGACACTCGCTTGCTCGACCCAGGTATGATAGCCATGAGGATGGGAGACGTGGGGCGGCCCAGAGCCCGGGGTCGCCCCTCCCGGAACCCGTACCGAACTTCGTCTCAAACGAAGGCATCCCGAAACTTATCAGGCGCCCATTGCTACCGTCAGCCTCTGTCTTGCCGTCTTTACAAAACTCCTGTCGCGGCTGAAGCGTTCCCCGGGCCGTCAGAAGGTTGCCGTGGGATGTGAGACGCGGCCTCTACCTTCTTCCGCACGCGCTACAGGCCGCTGCAGGCGAGGGTCAAGAGTTGCGACTTTAGGAAAAAGAAACAGTAGGGAACATTCGGCCCGTGTCTCTCCTCCCGTCTAAAAACAAATATACATAATAAAGAAGAAGGAAAAGAGAAGGAACGGTGATTTAAAACCACGCTCGTTGTGATCACGGCGGCCAAGACACGCAGAAATGGACCAAAAAAACAACAACGAAAAAAACAACAACAACAACAACAACAACCCCAAGGGTGAGAGCATGAGACGTTTAATCAGTTGTGCCATCCATAGTGGAAGCGATCTGTAGGAGAGTTTCTGATTAAGTGCTGAGGAAAGGCCGCTTGGACCGAGCACGGACGCTTGTCACATTGCGTGCACCAAGATACGAGCAAACAGATTTGCTTCTTTGCTTCTGCGCCTTTTCCCTCAGGGTTAATAGGATGTGGTTTAACGGCTAGAAGACTTCTCGACGTCTTGTCGAAAGAACCCTTTCCCTCCCTCGTCCGACATCTAATGGCGAGCATAAAGTCGGACGCTGATGATTCCAGAAAAACTCAAGGAGGGATGAAGGGCTTCGGGGACCCCGGAGGGACAGAGGATTTTTGGACGGATCGACAGGGCTGAAACGAACCGTGGGCAGCGAACCACCATGGGCCTCAACTCAGCGGTCTGGGATTCCCCCATGCCATTCGCATCCTCCAACCCCCTATTGCTTGCCTGCTAGATAAGGTTACTTTGTCGGGGTCGCTAACATCACAACTGCGTCGCGGGACCCAATCGTGCCGAGACCCTTATCTCCGCAGAGCGAGCTGAACGCGCATGTCCAGCCGGACAACTTGCCCATCTGAGAAGTCCCTCGGAAGGGCACGTGGCCAGCCGTGGACACCAAAGAGAGATAACGACATCATGGACGTCGGGGGAAACCACGGATGGAGAATTCATTTGGGGTATAGCATGGGCAATGGCGATATCTGCATCCTCCAATAACGGGCAGTAATAAGAGGTGATCGTTGTGCGGGGACACGGTGCATGTGTCTCAGGTTGGCGCACTGCGCCGAAGCAACGTCCAGTGAGGACGTAGAGCGGTCTGATGCTGAAAACTGACTTCGAGTTGAGAGGCTGTCATGACTGGATAGCAGTAGGCAAGCGTGATTGAGATCCACCAGTCAGTAGATAAGAGCGTAGATAGAATGAGTAATTTGGCGGCGACGAGTCGTCCAAACACCGACGTTGTGGTGAGGCGCTGGCCGGGATACCGCTCTATGGCCGATATGCAGGTTGCAAACAAGATGGGAGTTTTATCAAACATTGTGGTTGGGGCAACCAAGGCTTCTTGGCTCGGTTGCACACTCTCGTCCGGTGCAGGTGATCGACGGTGTGGGAGAGGAGGAATGCGGACGGCGGCATTTGTGCCGGCAGAAGAGTTCCTCGGAAGGCGCGGGCGCAGAACTGCGGGCGTGGTGATGAAGCCGATCAAGTCGCGGACCTTGAGTTGCGGCCGGGAATCTCAGGAAGCGGGGAAACGGGGCGTGTCAAGTCCTGAATTGCCAAGTCAGACAGTCACGGATTTTGAGGTCGCATGACTCCGTGGCCCGGCTGCGCACGTAGGGCGAGACGGATACGGCAAACTTGGTGTCAGAGTTAGGGAAAGAACCCTAAAAACCTCACCTGCAAGAGATTGGTGCAGACATGAGCACACTATGGGTTCAGTGAACAGACCACAGCCGTGTGGTCGATTTGCTGCCCTTGCAGGACAATGTCGTCGCCGCAAGGGGATCAATGGAACAAGTTCAAGCCTACGCACTTCTCCGCCAACCACATCGGTAATGGGCTGGAGGGGGGCTGGTTGTCGTTTATCGCCGTGGGCTACACGCGATGCCATTGGCGAGTGGGCGAGAGCTGAGATGAACCCTGGAGGCATTGCAGTAGATGCAACGAAAATGGCAGTGGTGACCTCCATTTGCGACCGGACAACCAAACGAAGATGGGTTTCGCCCAGACGGTAGAATCTGAGCTTGTTGAGAAACACACATGAGATGGTGTTAGAGCTGGTCACAAAACCACATTGGTCACTTGTTGGCTGGCTCAACTGCACTCAGCCGCCGGATGCCCTCGAATCACTTGTTGGAGGGCCAGCCGCGGAGGAGGAGGCCATGGCATGGATCATTGTCAAAAGATACAAGCAGTCTACGGTGCAAGATCTAGAGCGGGCCCAGTTGCCGACCGGAGGATACGCTAGACGAGAGGAAGACGACGCCTCGATGAGGAAGGTCGACGAGATAGACAGGTATGGGATAACGAGCCAAAGAGTGAGACTCGCCGAGCGCGGCAGGAGTGTGTTGGTCAGAATGGTACTGATTGTCGAGTGCTGAAGAAGGGTCGCGAATCGAATTATCGTTTTCATCCGAGAGGCTCTTTGATGTTTGTCATTCTTGTCGCAAACAGACGAAGGTTTTTCTTAACTTTCGTCAGAAGGATCGGGTAAATGCCAACTGGGTCGATCTCGTCTTGTGCGTCGCAGTGGCGGGACCAAGAGCGCAATGTGACGTAGGGAGCCGGGTGTAGAGTGGTAGGGTCTTGCCCACATGAAGCAAAGTGTTTCTTGACAGCCCTGGACCACGAATAAGATTTAGACGTCGGTGTCAAGGGCGGTCGGTATATGTCGGTCCTCTGTCGGTGTCGCAGTGTGAGGAGCGTCAACGGCTATGTGGACAGTGGAAAGTCTCGAGGATCCTAAAACCCTGCCACCTTTTCGCGAAATGCCCATCTCCGGCCAGATGCGGTTCCATTGGGGGCATACCGCGAAGTCGAGAGTTGGCGGCGGTTCCCACAAAGATTGATTGTGACTAAGAGTGTTTAGTCTCGCTTTTGGTTGGTCAACCGCTACCCTCAAAAAGAGTAAACCACCTAGGGTCGGCCATTGTCCAGATTTCCAGGGACGAGCGCTTTCTTGATGCGTGTTTGTGGGAACGTCGAGACCCAGATGGTGTCCAGCCTCTGAGGCAGAGGGAGAAGGCCTGTAGTTGGTTGCGGGTGTGCAGCTCTAGGCTAGTGTGTAGCGTGAGGGGACGCCCGTGTCGTCGCAGCTCTTGGCCTGCGGACGGGCAGGGTAGCGCCGGGATTCCTTGCCGTCTGATGAACGACCTGTACGCCTTCGCATCGTGTTCGATGCCGTGATGTGTAGGCATGACAGATGCGATGAATGTCGCAACGGCCGAAGCAGATGGTGGCGGTTTTGAGCGTACTTGGTGAGGGGAATCAGAGACCAGCCGATAGTGCGTATGTGCCCGACAGGGGCGCGAGTTCGTCGTGGTGTGCGGTGTTCCGCGTCGTATTACGGTCAGCCGAACCAAGGGGTACCAGGGCAGAACAGGGCAGAACCAAGCATGTGGCAGGCAATTAATCAAGGCGTGTGGAGCAGATCAGGGACGTTTTCCACCGAGGGATCACGAAAGGCGACGATGATGCCCGTAGCGAGGCATCTGTCTTTGCCCCTTCTCCGCCTCCCCATTGCTTCTGGAAGACACGAAGAAGAAATGGATCCGGGATCATCGGCGATACTACGAAAAGTGGATAGCAATCTGCGACCAGGGCAACAGAAGAGCCATGTTTGCCATGATGCCATGGTGAGAAAAGGTGGACGCAATGTGGATTCGTTGCGTGGCAGGCCGATCCCAGCCGCAGTTTGGTGCCTGTGGGAGGCGAGCATCGGCAACGCGAGTCGAGGTCTCTCAAGACGCTGTTTTCCTACTTGCTTGTCCACCGCGTGATGCGAAACTCCGAACGCTACGTAGTAGAGCAACCGTGATTGGGAAACGCGCAAGTAGCACAGGGACGATAGGTGGGAATGGGTCGATGCAAGGCAATCTGTGTTTGTGACCCGGTAGAGCAGATGGGCGGGAGTGAAACGTAAGTGCGGCAAGGCGAACGCATGCAGCGCGACTGATGACTGCAACATGAGATGAGGACGGCAGGCCTACATAGAGAACCAGCTCGCGGGGCTTGGGGACTGGCGGCGACCAAAGACGGAAGACCTGCTAGTTGCTGGTTGCTGACTGACACGTCTGGATGGGTGGACTGGAATGCGGTTGTGTTTGAACGGTTGGACGGTTCCGGTGGGTAGTAATGAGGATGGCATGGAGAGTTGATGAGGTAAAAAAGATCAGATATCGACGAGGCAGAGGATACTTTACCGAGCTGGTGGGTTGGAGCATGGGGGGGGGTGTCCGTTTGTTCCTCGGGCAAACAGACTGCGTTCGTGTCGATTGCGAGCCTTTGGTAAAGCGTCCCCATAGAATCCGTTAGTAAGATGAGGTCCCCTCCTCCGATACCGTGGGAGTCTTGGAACAGGGGGACTCCATTTTGGAGGGAGCATCCAGGCCTCGTCAGCGTTCTTGGTCTCCAACAAAAAATGAAGACGAAGATGAAGCAAAAACAACAAGCCATTTCTTTGCCCGGGATAACGTACCATCGAAGAAGGTGGAAGAAGAACTGTCTCATTGCCGCGCATTCCCAGCAGTCGGCTACGTACATGCGTTGGCTCTTGCCGTCGTGCCTCACTCAACTGGGGCAGGCACGCAGACCCGGGAGCGAAAACGTATACCTACTCTCCGTCCCGCCAACGGCGGTGGTGGTGGTCCGTAAAAGACGCAGCTGTGTTTGGTTTGCCCTCGCTGGCGCCTGCCCTCGCTGGGGAACCCGTACGGGGACCCGGGCACGTGACAGGGTAGCAGCCACTAGGAGTCACCCAGCAGGCCGCGCGAGCCACTCAGAGACGGCGGCGGGTGGGAAGGTGGGTGCCGAGGTGCCACTGTGCAACCGCTCTCCCTCCCGGGATGTGCCCTTCGCAGTGTTTCTAGTGTGCTTCTCTGGACTCACACAATCGCTCGGCCTGCCCTTTCCTTCTCCTCTTCGGTGCTTGGCCCCGGGCAGTCGCAGTCACCGTCATTGGATCCTAGCCCCTGTCCTTGCCTTTGACGTGCTTGTACCCTGCAAACCCTGTTTCCAGCGGTTCCAGTGTCAACCCCCCCTGGCGCGCCCCCTCCAAAAGTCTCCATAGTGGTCCCCTCGAAGGCTTCCATACTTTCGATCGATGTTCGAGAAGGCAGCCAGAAAACCGGGTGCAAGGCCCTTCCCCTTCCTTCTTGCCCTCTCCCACCGGCCCCCCGTTGTGCCGGCCCCCGTTGTGCCGGCCCCCCTGCCTCCTTCTCGCACGAACAGATAGATAAGCAACTGCCTACGTACATAGGCACTATAGTGCGTGCGTACACTCCAGCAGCTTGTCGGCTAGTCATCCAGCGACGCTCGTCGATTGCATCCTGTCTCGACCAAGCCACGGCTGGTTACGGAGTGTTTTTCGAAATTCTTACTCTGTCGAGTCGAGAGCACATCAGGTACTATGGTACGGATGCACAGGGTGAAGACAGCGTGGCAGGTGGGACGAGGTACCAGGTACAAGTATCTTTGGCAGGCTCGATTGGCGCTTTCCCCTCTCCGTGATCATCCCTTGCCCGCTGGGGCTCAGGCTTGTCTGAATTCGAATGTGGCATTTCTGATTCCGACCTGGGCTTTCCGCGTCTCTCCCTTTCCCTCTCTCTCTCTTTCTCTCTCGCTCCCGACCCACCGAACCTACCTACCTACCTAGTGTGCCTCTCCTATGGGTGCCGTGTAGCGTCCAGGTATCCGCTCTGGGGACTTCGAACTGAAGTCCACGGCCTTGCCCTGCGCACATACCTACACTGCCTGTGCCCGTTCACTGACAATCGTTGCAGCTGCCAGCGGTGGCGCGCCAGCACCATCCGGTCGAATCCGTCGCTCCTTGTCCGTTTGGTTGCGTGCCTCATGTCCGCACCCGTCGCGGTATCGGGTGCTCCTCGAGCCTCGAGACGGCTTTGGTTGCCACGCCGGGACATCGTGCATTTGCGTGCCAGTATTCTTCTCCAAAGCACCGGATCACAAGCTCTCCGTCCCGGCATATGCTTGTTGTTTCCCACGGCTCTCAGCTTGCGGCCATCTGTTGTGGGTACATGTGATGTGGAAATCAAACGAGAGAATAAGAGAGACAGAGCGATAGTCACAAAGTTTCCCGTCCAAGGCTCCGTGGCCTGAAGCCCATGGTGCCTCGCCCTGTCCTGTCCTGGCTTGTCTTGCCTTGCCCCACGTAGCGTTGCAGTCGTGCTGAGCAGTTCCGTCTCGAGGCCAAACTGGACTGCACCGCATCTGCATCTCCTTAACACACAGCACGGAGCAGCGCAATACCTGGGCTTTCAGTCTCTGTCTCTGCCTCTGGCCCTCCGAGTTTGTGACTGGAGGACGGCTTACTCTCTGTTGTGTCTGGGTTGTCTGGGCTGTTTCTTTGACGAGGACCTGCCACTGGCCCGCCTTACCAACTCTGGGTCGTCGTCTTCGGTCTCATCCCTCTGCATCCATCCATTCTTCCACAACATGCGCCAGTAAAACCTTGACCGTCTGGAACACACGTACGCTACGCGACCAGACTTGGCCCTTTCTCGCCTTGCGCGAGGTAACTTTTCCAGATCGGGATATCCGCTAGGCGCTACACACCACAGCTTGACACCCCGCCACTGTCATTGGATCTTTACCTCGACTGACCACCACCTTCGTCCTTGTCCTTCTCCTCTGCCAATCTCATCCGCATTCGCCAATTTCTCGCCCATTCCTCTTGTCCCATTCTCTCTTCTCTTCGACGTCCTCGTCGCCTTACATCCTCTCGTCTCTCTTCCCCCGTCCGACGACGTATGGGTATCACGAATAAGCAACAGGACGCCGGCATCACATCACACCCTGTCGCCCCCCTCTCACTTACTCATTCGCTCGAACTCAGAGTCGCCACCGGGAAGGGCGAGCGGGAAGGGGGAAAAAAGCATTTCGAAAGAGTCTGCACTTTTCAGTAAGTGGTCGTCGTTCGTTGTCTCGCGGAATTAGTCGCGCTCCTCTGGTCTCTCTTCCCTGTCTCGACGAGCCTTCCGTGTTGATTCCTGTTCTGCTCCTGCCTTGCTTTGTTGGGACCGAGTACTTGAAGGCGTGTGTGGTGGAGTGTGAGTACTACACGAACGGGAGGTGGAAGGCGAGGCGAGCCCACCCGCACAAGGAAGGCCTCTAAGCCTGAAAGGCAAGGAAGCTTGGTCTGGTGCTAGTGGAGGTGCCCCGTCCAAGACGCCGTACCGTGGTACCTTGCTGCGGTACTTCGCCGTTGCCGTCGCCGCCCTCGCTCTTTGCAGCTCTGCGCTGCGTAGAGCTGCGTACCTAGCCTTTCCAAGTCCTCTGCAGCCTGCCCGCCTACCCACCCCACCCACACGCATGCACACCACACATTCCCAGTCGTGGTGCTTGCACATACGCACACCACTCACACCCACGCAGCAACACACGCACATAGCACACACACACACACTCTCTCTCTCTCGCTCTCTCTTGCAGCGGCAGCGCAGAGTCTGTCTCTCCCGTCTTTCACACTCTCGCACCCACCCCCCCCCTTGCTTAACAATTTCGTACTCGACCCGGCCATTGTACTCCTCCTGCGACCCTGCAGTACCCAAACTCCAATCCTCCCCGTCCAAGTTACGCCCAGTTGCCCTCTTTCCCTTCTTCCCACCTCACGCCCGGTTCGTCCCAGCCCTGTTGTACGTAGTCTGCCTCCATGATATCACGTCCATTTGTCGTCGACTTCCTCTTGTGCTCCGCTTCTCTGTCGTCGAGTTTTTGCATCTACTCGTCCTCTCCCCTCTCCCTCTTTCATGCAAGACTAACAAGTCGACTCGGTCGCCTGTCAACAGCACCCAGCATAGCGAAGCCTCCACCTTCGTCTCGAGTACATAACGAACTTTCCGCGCGACGGTACCCGCAACTGCGAAACGACAAACCCGTCCCCCTCCCGATTGCTTCAACTCTCCAGTACAACGTCTGGATTGGTTCTTGCACACGTCGCCCATGATCTCGGCCAATCCGATTTCGTGCGACCGCGATCGATGTCAATTCTGGTGACCGTCGAAACGACTGCGCTGCCGCTCCATCGCCTGCGCCTGGGGGAACAAATCCATTGATGAGAGTTTTGCCTGACGCCCCAACCACGCTTGCGTTCCAATTGCCTCGATCCTTCCACTGTAAAGCGTACGGCTTTGAGCTGCTCGCCGCAGACTGCGCATCCACTGGGACACCTTGGGCATTGCGCCGCCGTGCTACGACTCTTGATAGGACCGGGTCGCCGTCCTCGACTTGCTCCGCTGCAAAGCCCATCGACTTGTATCTTGATCAATCGCATCGTCACGCTCATAAACTTCCCTTGCCCTAGTGGCCAGAGCGCTCCGGTCGCGAGACTGGTTGCTCCCCAAAGCCATGATGGACAATGCTACGTGCCACGTCGTCTACGTGAACCGCAAGGTTCTCCAGGACAGGCTTATCCGACCCGATGCGAAGGACACCCATTTATCCAACGGAAGCGCAACCGATGTGGAGGAGAATGACGATATTCAGAAAGACGCCACGCTGCTGCTGGAAACCTTTGGAGAAGGTAGGCTCGGATCGAATTCATACCCATAGCATAACGTACTAATGATCTGCCTCAGTCTACTTGTGTTCCACGGGCTCGGCATGCATCTCTACGCTCTTCCAGCTTTCGGACGATGCCATGATGGACCTGACGCCGACCCTTGTTCTTATTGACGTGCCCCACGATGAACGGCTACCCAAGATCCGCTCAAAGTCTAGATCGCCTTCGCCGCATTCTCGCCCAGCCACTGCCGATATCGACATTCATACCCCGGAAGAGGAGGTGTACGGCCTCAAACTGCTGCAGCGGATCATGACCGAGGCGCATCTCCGCAGCCTGTCTAGGCTGATCGTCCCGGTGCCCATCATCAGCTTTTCGGCCCCTGAGGACGCCGCGCCGGCTAGCGACGATGCGAAACCCAAGTCTTCGTCTGCAGTCGATCGCCGCTTAATCATTCGTTGTCTCGACCTCGGCGCTGTCGATGTCGTCATCAGCCCTCTGCATCTGAGGTGCATCACGAGTCTGGAGATCCACGCTTACCGGGCGCATAAGGAAGCTGCCAGAGAACAGCAGGAGATGCTCGAGGTACGCCGAGGACGCAAACGATCATGGGTCGGAGTGAACGAGGAGAAGCCCTTCTCCTACCTCAGGGAAGCCATGGTGTCTGGATTGATGAGGGGCATCTGCCGGTCTGGCGCTGATTCGGACGATGACCGGATCGCCAATGTAAGCATCTCCGTGTCCACCGATCGCCAAGCTGCGGTTGCTGCGGCCGTCGGCCAATGGCACTTTTGCGCGCACAGCTTCACGGACGACGAGCTCCTTGTAGCAGCCATGGTCATGTTCAAGCATGCTTTGACTATGCCGGAATTGGACCGTTGGCGAATACCGACAGGTGAGTGTCTTGCCCCCTTATCGCGGGCGCTTGCGGGCAGTTACTGATAACTCTCCTCAGATCAACTCATTACATTTTTGGTCGCCTGCCGGGCTGCATACAACAACTTTGTTCCCTACCACAACTTTCGGCACGTCGTCGACGTCTTGCAGGCCACCTTTCACTTCTTGGTCCGCATCGGCACCCTCGCGCCCTATCCTGTCGACCCCTTGGCAGAAGGAGACACGATCGAGAAGTCACCAATGGCAAGCCTGCTCCAGCCGTTTGAGGGCCTGACGCTCTTGATCACGGCGATAGGGCATGACGTTGGTCATCCTGGTGTCAACAACGGATTCCTAGTCACCCTCAACGCTCCCTTGGCGCAGTTGTACAACGACCGTTCCGTGCTCGAGTCGTTCCACTGCGCTGCTTACTCGCAGATCCTCCGAAGGTATTGGCCTAGCGCATTTGAAGACACCAAGATGAGGCACCTAATGATCAGCTCCATTCTTGCTACCGACATGGGTCTGCACTTTGACTACATGAAGAGGCTTGGGGACACCCAGGAGAAGCTGGGCGTTAACAACTCAATCGACGGGTGGAACGGGCGTATGCTGGAAGAGCAGAAGGCATTGGCTTGCTCCATACTCATCAAGTGCGCAGACATCAGCAATGTGGTAAGTAACGCGAATCTCCTTGGTATCGGCAGGAAATAACATTGCGGTCCGCAGGCAAGGAAACATGAAACCGCTCTGAAGTGGATGCACATTCTTTCGGACGAGTTTTCTCGCCAAGCCTCGATGGAGAGCGAACTGGACATCGCATCGTCGCTGCTCTCGGCTCCGAAGAAGGACACGATGTCGCTCTCCAAGGCGCAACTGAGCTTCATGAACATGTTTGCCATCCCTCTCTTCCAAGGTGTCGCGGACATCCTCCCGGCAATGAAGTACACGGTCGATGAGCTCGAGATCAATAAGGGTCTCTTCGAGCAGCGCATCCGAGACGAGCAGGCAAAAGAGGACCCCGTTCGCAAGAGGCTTCTCCGCGATGGAACATTCTCCCCGCGAACTATGAGTTTTGTTTCGGGACCAGAGAACAGCAAGGAGTCCATAACCCCGCGGGTGACCACGCCGCTAGCGGAGATCACCACGCCACCTTCGCTGGTGGACGAGTCACGGCAGGAGAATCAGGAGGTTGCTTCGGAGCTGGCGGATTCGGTGAACACGCCTTCGCAATCATCAGACACTCCGGAGGACTTCAAGGAGGCCAACGGGATTGTGACGTCGTTCGACTCAGTGGCAGACTTTGCAGCGAGCGACCCTTTCCACTGCCGTGACAGGGCGAGCAGCTCCCCCGACAACCACCACGGCCACAACGGGAAGCAACGATGTAGCGAGACAACGGACGGAAGCACGACAGGGCCATACACTGGAGATTGGGCCTCGCAGGCAACAAGTGCCACTACCGGCAAGATGCCTCTGTCACCAAGCACCCAGGGCACTAGCATTGTCAGCAGGGAATCCACGGAGCAGCTGCCGGGCGTGCCCACGATTTCGGAACCGAAACCTTTCGCCGAGTCCAAGCCCGAGCCTGCGTTTTTGGACCACGAGGTCAACGGCGCTCACATGTCGCAAGGGACTTTTGGCAAAGCGGAAGGCGCCAAGGTGGTGAAGAAGAAGTCTAGCAGATTCCGCATGAACGCTTTCCAGTTCTTCCGGCGGAACAGGGCGTCAAGCCCTTCCATGTCGGCCGCCGACACAGCCGGCTGATGATTGCGGAGGCTTGGAGCGAGTTTGGGCCGAATCTGGCAGCCGCAACTAGATGGCGCCCCATAGGCGTAGGAAACTCACACAACTGCGGTGGTTCACACAGATGTCCCAGTGTTCGATATACCCGAGCCACCCCGTTGTTAATCTAATCGCTATCAAAGATGGCCGGAGTAGCGTCGCACACAGACGAATCGGCTTGTAAAGCACAGTATACGGAGCTGGCTATATATGTACAGTATTGAGGACGGAGTTAATGCGTATTTGGGGTTTGAGTGTTTCGCCCAAAACCGGCGGCGATAACGAGGAGACACGACCGCGGAAGTCTTTGGGCTGGATGGCAGGGCCTACGACTTTGTTCTTGGGGGCCTCGACCGCCTGTTCAAGAGCAGGCTGGGTGGGAGGCCGGCGTTCTGGGCAAGTCGGCTGGCTGTGACGATACGGGCATCGGAACAGATGGAGAGGACATGGGGTTGGGGAACGACTGCGGCATGGTCACGTCTGATTTATTTATTTTCTTCTTGTCCAGGCCAAGAGGCATGCCCCAAGGGCAGAGTATGGAGGAGACATATGATGGCGTACGGCTGGAAAAGGCCGGCATCCACGGTAGATGAATACAAAGTCTGGCCAGCTCACTATGGCATTTGGTACTACGAACCTTTTTATTGTTCTTGCGAGTCGAAAATGTGGAAACGTCAAGACAATGATACTGCAGCGGTGTTATACTTGCCCATGCTAGCAGCGAAAGACATGTTTATAGGTCGTAGTGGGGGGCCGGAGTGGTGGGGGGATAGGTAGCTTTGGAGACCGCCAACAACTGCAAGACACGAGCAGAGAGCAGAGGATGAGCGTGTACTGACTGAAGTGAATTTAAGCGGACCAAACGACGGTCCGTAGAATGGGTGGCCGCAGAGGTTCTCACGCAGTTGGACTTGGGCCGGGGTCGGCGTTAGAGTCGTTGGGGCGGACGAGGTTTTGGCTGCGCAAGGATGCAGACGAAGAAGCCCACAGTGTACCGTGACCATGAGCGATACTGATGTGTTTTCGATCTCATTGCACGGAAATGGCCGAGATTGATGATGTATGGCACGTCTGCTATCCCCAAGGCCATCTCGGTTGCCCGTCAACTGGAGTGAGCTGGGTGTGAATCTTGGGCCTTGCTTGGTCTGCACCGCAGCCCGCACGCGACACCAGCCGATTGCTTAGGCGGGGCAGTGATTTGCGGGTTTGCCCCGGCATGCAATATACTCCATGGTTTCGCTGGCAAGTCTCCGGACAGCTCGCTAGATTCCCTGGGACTTCGTACATGCCTGCCATGGTCGGATGGTCCATGGCAACTGGTCACTAGGCAGTTCGCGGTTCGGCGTTTGTGTGCTGTCGTTGGGGGGGTTCCTGGAATCCTCCTCGTTTGGGGAGGGCGCTGTGAGGGGGGCTGGGGGTTGCAAAGGCGGCGAATCGGAATGCGTGATAGGCTTATCAGGCAGCGGCCAAGTGGAGTATCTACCGCAGCAAAAGGTCCCAGGTCCAGGCACAGGTTTCTTGTGCCTGAGGTCGTCGGGGTTGTGTACGGCGGTACCTGGCATGACGCAGACGACCAAGCCTGGGCGAGAGTGTTGAAACGTAAGCCCGCCACTACCAGAATTGCAGCGGGCAGGTGGTGGGACGATGTTAGCGAGTCTGCAACAGGCAGGTTCATGTTTTAGCGTCTGAGGCGCGCGGGGAGGGATCAGGTGGACAATGTTCCCGACTATCGTTTGGCCAACCCATGGGCCCTGGGGCTCGCCAACCAGTCATTGCTCTGCTTTCCGAGCTGGAGCTCCCCACAGCAACAAAGTGCATGAGCCATGACAGCGGTCCACGGGTGTGTCGAGCTGTTGCACGAGTGTCTGCCGCTGCGATTGCTGCTGCGACAGACAGCGGGCCCAGCTCGGCCAACGCACCCCAGCCGATAGCCAGCTTCACTGTCACTGCTTGGGGAGAGGGTGGGACATGCGCAGCAGCAGCGGCGGCGGCAGCAGCACCCAGTCAACCCGCCCACCTCCGTCATGTTTCATTTATTACGTCCGCGAGCTTCCTGCCTGTCTGCCACACCTTACGCCGAGCTCTCTCCTCCCAAACTCCCTCAACCTCCCCTCAACATCATCCTCTCCCTCCATCCTCTTTCCTTTCTTCTCCCCCATTCCCCCGTCGGATCCCATCACCGTCTTTCATCTCGTTTCCATCCCGAATCCCATCACCAGAGCTTGCGCCCCCAACTCCTCTTGAGCTAATTGCCCATCATGAGGTTTTCAACCTCCGCCCTCGTCCTCGGCGCCGCTTCCACCGCGGTGGCCCTGGACCAGCAGGTCCTTGGTGGCAATGACAGCCCCTTCGACTCCATCAAGGTCGCCGGCCAGAACTGGCTCTCGACCTTTGAGGACAAGTTCGGCAAGATGACCTCGGAGGCCAAGGCCGTCTGGGACGAGATCACCCTGCTCGCCCCCGACGCCGTCGAGGCCTTCAAGAAGAACGCCATCCCCCCCAAGCCCAAACCCGCCCACCGCAAGTCCGACAAGAAGTGGGACCACGTCGTCAAGGGCGCCGATGTCCAGAGCATGTGGGTTGAGAAGAACGGCGAGAAGCACCGCAAGATCGCCGGCGACCTCAAGAACTTCAACCTGCGCGCCAAGAACGTCGACCCCAAGGCCCTGGGCGTCGACAAGGTTAAGCAGTACAGCGGTTACCTCGACGATGAGGAGAACGACAAGCATCTCTTCTACTGTAAGTTGCCATCAGACGCCGGTCGCCCATCGTCACCATCTAACCTCGTGCAGGGTTCTTCGAGTCCCGCAACGACCCCAAGAACGACCCGGTCGTCTTGTGGCTCAACGGCGGCCCTGGCTGCTCTTCCCTGACCGGCCTGTTCATGGAGCTCGGCCCTGCTTCCATCGACAAGAAGCTCAAGATCGTCAACAACGAGTGGTCGTGGAACAACAACGCCTCCGTCATCTTCCTTGACCAGCCCGTCAACGTCGGCTACTCTTACTCCGGCTCCTCCGTCTCCAACACGGTCGCCGCCGGCAAGGACGTCTACGCCCTGCTCTCCCTCTTCTTCCACCAGTTCCCCGAGTACTCCAAGCAGGACTTCCACATTGCTGGCGAGTCGTACGCCGGCCACTACATTCCCGTCTTCGCCTCGGAGATCCTCTCCCACGAGGACCGCAACATCAACCTGAAGAGTGTTCTGATCGGCAACGGTCTGACCGACGGCTGGACCCAGTACGGCTACTACCGCCCCATGGCTTGCGGTGAGGGCGGCTACCCCGCCGTTCTCGACGAGGGCGAATGCCAGGCCATGGACAATGCTCTTCCCCGTTGCCAGAGCCTGATCAAGAACTGCTACGACTCGGGCAGTGTCTGGTCTTGCGTCCCCGCCAGCATCTACTGCAACAACGCCCTCATCGGCCCCTACCAGCGCACCGGCCAGAACGTCTACGACATCCGCGGCAAGTGCGAGGACAGCAGCAACCTCTGCTACTCTGCCCTTGGCTGGATCAGCGAGTACCTCAACCAGGATGAGGTCAAGGACGCCCTCGGTGCTGAGGTCGACAGCTACGACAGCTGCAACTTTGACATCAACCGCAACTTCCTCTTCGCTGGCGACTGGTTCCAACCCTTCCACCGCATCGTCCCCAAGCTTCTTGAGAAGATCCCTGTTCTCATCTACGCTGGTGACGCCGACTACATCTGCAACTGGCTCGGTAACCGCGCCTGGACCGAGGCTCTCGAGTGGCCTGGCCAGAAGGGCTTCAACAAGGCCGAGGTCAAGGGTCTGACCGTTGGCAAGGGTGACGAGTACGGAAAGGTCAAGTCCAGCGGCAACTTTACCTTCATGCAGCTCTACGGCGCCGGCCACATGGTCCCCATGGACCAGCCCGAGGCCTCGTCCGACTTTTTCAACCGCTGGCTTGGTGGTGAGTGGGTTGCGTAAATGCACTCACAGTAATGAGCTATGTACAAGACGAAGATTGAACAGCGTGTGGGGAATACTGTCGTAACAGTGAACGCTTGAATCGGTCCGTAGTACAAGACTGGGCATATTGGAGTTTGTCAATACGGGAGCACCCAATCGCCTCGGTTTATCGGTAGCGCCAGTGTCAGCCCGGCGCGGTAGAATCTAGTTACACTGTTAGAATATGACTCTTTTTTCTTTCCATTTTAGTAAACGTTATTTGGTGCTGAATCGAATACGTGATGCCGGATGGCGCACTTTTGACTAGTGGCAGCCGGAGATGAGTCGACATGACGGTATTAGTCACCGGCGTATTGCCAGGCTGGTGGTGCAGCTTTCCAGGCCCGGTCCCCGCAAAAACAACGTCAGACCAGCGCCGCCCGCCTGTCGTACAGATATTTCACCGCCCGCTGCCCCTCCTTGCAGCTGCGCCGTACCACGTCCTACCCCGCCAAAACTTTTCTGAGGACCCAAGTCCAACGTCACCAACGAAGCCGAACCAACCTCGTAATAACTGCCACAGACTCCCTACGCAGCACACACACACGCGCGCACACACCGCAGCAGACCTCGCCACGAGACGAGCCCACACGAACATAGAAAGAACGCATACGCACAAATCGACCCATCTACCGCCGCCACCATGTCGCGGATGATCAACCAGCCGTCGAACCAGATCAAGCTGACCAACGTGTCGCTGGTGCGCCTGAAGAAGGGCAAGAAGCGCTTCGAGATCGCGTGTTACAAGAACAAGGTCATGGAGTGGCGGTCCGGGATCGAGACGGACCTGGACAACGTGCTGCAGATCCCCAACGTGTTCCTCAACGTGTCCAAGGGCCAGACGGCGCCCAAGGAAGACCTGGAGAAGGCGTTTGGCAAGGGCAAGAGCACGGACGACATTGTGCTGGAGATACTGAAGAAGGGCGAGATGCAGGTGGGCGGGAAAGAGAGGGCGGAGCAGCTGGAGCGGGTGCACAACGAGGTCATTGGGATCGTGGCGAGCCGGCTCGTGGACCCGCGGACGAAGAGGGTGTACACGACGGGGATGATTGAGAAGGCCCTGGACATGCTGTCGTCAGCGGCGCACGGGGAGGAGGGCGGGGACCCGAAGAAGGCCGGGTCCAAGACGGCGAGCGGCGCGGGCACGCCGGCGGGAGGGAGGAGGGGGACGCGAAGCCGCGCGACAAGGGGTTCCACTGGACGGGCGTGACGACGACCAAGTCGGCCAAGTCGCAGGCGCTGGAGGCGATGAAGGCGCTGATCGCGGCGCAGCCGATCCCTGTGCAGAGGGCGCGGATGCGGCTGAGGGTGACGTGCGCGACGAGCGTGCTGAAGCAGGCCGTCAAGGAGAAGCCCGCCGCCGCGAAGGACAAGGGCAAGGGCGGGGACGACGACGACGAGCCCAAGCAGAAGCCCGGCACGGTCAAGGACCGGATCCTCGGGTTCGTCGAGCAGGTCGAGAGCCAGGACGTGCTGGGCAGCGAGTGGGAGGTCGTCGGATTCGTCGAGCCCGGCGCGTTCAAGGGGTTGGGCGACTTCATCGCCGGGGAGACAAGGGGGATGGGCAGGGTCGAGGTTCTGGATATGGCCGTCATCCACGAGGATTAAGGGGGCCTGGCATATGCGGAGGGGGTGGGGGAAGAAGAAAAGGAACGGCTTATGATTATCGATACCCCTTTAGACTAAGGGTCTTTGTCAGCTTCATAATGAACAATGAATCACTCATCACGACGTTTCCCGGCGTTCTTGGGGGTTGGAGGGGCCTGGTTGAGGGCGACGAGTAGCAGTTTGAGGGTTATTAGAGTACGAGCTTGGGATGGTCGAGAATTCCCACCAGGTGATGGACCACCTAGATAACATGGACGAGACGCTACACACACGGCATGCGGCACAAGACTCGCGCCAGGCGAGCTAACGCCGCGCCGACGTACGAGGTCTGACTTGCGGGCCGTCCGTCACTTCGAAGTCACATCGGCGGAGCGCTCTCGTCGCGAGGCAGCATGCTAGCCGTCGTCGACGTGAAGGCGCTTTGGGTCCGGGGCGGGGCCGACCTGACGAAACTACCGGCGGCACGGGCTCGGCTGAAGATCGCTGGGCGGCTCATGTGTTTCTCGTGAGAAGGGAAGGTGGCGGAGGGCATGGTAGAGGTATCTTTGAGAGTTGCGTGGCTGGTGTCTAGTTCATGGCTCTATCCTGAGCGAGATCTCGAACGCCTTGCTCGCGCAACACGCCCATCGAACCCCACACTCGCATCGGCACTCGAAGAAGGTCGGCTGGGAACTTTACGTTGTCCTCACGATGCCACGATCTATGAGGTGCGTCGTGTGGAGGCTCAACGGCACGCCGGGTAGTTTCCTGACGCTGGGCCGGAGCCACCGAGTTCGTCATGATACCCACAGGTCCGAACACGGGGCGGGCTCCGCCTCGCTTGGGAGTCGCACAGATTTTGCAAAAGCTGAAGACCGAGTGGCACGCTGCGGTATGTCACTGTTTCCACCAATCTGTCATGTTCTACGAGTCTGTCAAAAGATGTGCAACACCAGCGTTGCTACTGTAGCACTCAAATAACCCATACGTCACACATATCGCCTGCGGCGCCCTGGCTGATTCCCAGGCCGTGCAGGATCCAGTTGTCACTTCACATCACGTCGGGACGGGGTGTACTTTTTTAGCTTTTTGTTTTTTGGTATGATGGACTCTTCCGATTCGTTATCTAGAGACGCCACCATCCTGCGCAGAATAGCAATCCCCTCGTTGTAATGCCAGCAGCAGAGTTTGTCATCATGAGAAGTGATGAGAATGGAGAGAAAATGTCCAGCCGTATCGCGCCGCCATGATTGTTCCCCCCCACGCCCAAACCCCTGTTTTTATCATCCTCGGTAACGTAACGCTTAACCACCCTTCTTCTTGGAGACACCGACCGTACGGCCGCGGCGACCGGTGGTCTTGGTGTGCTGACCGCGGACGCGGAGGCCCCAGTAGTGACGGAGACCGCGGTGGGCGCGGATCTTCTTGAGGCGCTCGAGATCGTCACGGAGCTTGGAGGCGACGCCGTTGGCGAGAATCTGGCTGTCCTTGCCGTCGACGATGTCGCGCTGACGGTTAAGGAACCACCCGGGGATCTTGTACTGGGTGGGGTTCTGGATGATGGTGACGATACGCTCGAGCTCTTCCGAGGTGAGCTCACCGGCACGCTTGTTCAGGTCGACTGTGAGCGGGTTAGCGGCCGCCCTCTTGCTTCAATCCTTCCTCTGCTTCCTTCGCGTAAAGAGTGTGCCGGGGCAGTCCTCGTGCGCGGATTCTGCTGGCCGGCGGGAATCGTAGACGTACCATCGGCCTTCTTGCAAACAATGTTGGAGTAACGACGACCAACACCACCAATCTTGGTGAGCGCGTACATAACCTTCTCCTGACCACGAACGTTGGTGTCTGCGAGCAAAGAAACGTTAGCTACCAATCTCCTTCTTCCAGCTGTCGACTACTGCATCGCGATCGGGGATGGGTCGTCGGATTCTTCGATGGCGGTTGAGGGTGTGGCGTTGGAGGGGAGTACATACTCAGAAGACGGAGAATGAACTGGAAGTTCGCTGCAGCCGGATGGTTAGCAGTTGCACATTGTTCCGGGGATCGCAAAGGCAGGACGAACACTTCTCCCCCGAGACGAGCGACATGCTGGGCAACTGTCTTGCGAAGGCTGCTCCTAGATGTCGGGAAGTTTGATGATTGACGACGGATCGGTCGAAAGGTTAGTCTCTGGGTGCGAATCGACAGTGGTGGAGGGAAGGGACAATTTTTTGGGCGTGGGCTCGGTAGGGTAGGGTCACGTGTTTTCTAGGCGCCTCCTTCCCGCACAACCTGAGTTTTCCGGCGCTCTCATTGGCTGGTGGGTGCTGTGCGTTTACAAGACCGGCTTGTCTCCACCGAGGCACGCACAGTGGCAGAGGTGCGCTTGCAGGGGTCGGCGCTCGATTGGTCAGGGTCGCTTGGGGATGGTCTCGAACACACACTTTCCGAGTCCACAAGTCTGGCGGATGCATCCGACAACTCTGAGTGACAGGGAACGCCGTGGGCCTTGACCACAACTCTGGCTGCGAGAAGACAACGACTCGAAAACCAAACACTACGCATTTCTTGCTTCACTGCGTCGTTTATTGCTCCTTTTTTCTTGTTTCTCTACTCACACTGCCACCGAAACTTCTCGGCGCAGTTTCTATTCTTACTTGTCTGACTTTGAGGATGTACGCTTTGTGCTTCGCTCTTTTGCTTTACCTCACTAAGAGTCTCCAGCATACTGCCCGGGACCAGGCTTTGAGATAGTCGCGCGCCGTATTTGTCACCTTACGTTGAGAATCTGAGCAGCAGTGTCGCTAGCTCTCTGAGCATAAGTGTGCCTTGAGCGGCTCCGGAGTGTGCTCGACATAAGCAAGTTTATACAATGTCATTCATATAGAACAAGACATCACACAACGCTTCACAGACTCGTTAGAAGGTAATTGCTTCATTTGACCAAGGCACTTTGGGCTTCATTTGACCAAGGCACTTTGGTCAGTGCCAAGGTCCACTCATCTTTACAGTGCGTCTCATACGAAGTCGTTGAGGCGTTACCACTGAAACTTGTACAACCAGCATGAGCCATCATGACACGTTCTGGCATCGGGTTAATCCACTATCCCCTTCTCTCTCATGACTTACCGGACCAACGCCCCGTGTGATACAAGAAAACCATGCCCTTTCGACCTCGCTCCCTGCCCAAACCCAACATGTCTTCCTTTCCGACGCTTCACCCCCATCATCACGTCGGCTAAGCCGCCGCAGACACGGCCGGGGCCGGGGCCGGGGCCGGAGCAGCCTGGGGCTGTGCAGCACTCTGTCCTCCTGGGCTCGATCCCACAATGACCACTCCAGACCCGGTGGCTCCCTGCGGCGCTGGCGTGCCGGCGGCTTGGTTCGCCCCGACGGCTATGGCTGCTGCCGGCTGCGGGGCCGGGGCACTCTCCGGTGGCGGTGCCGCCACGGCCTGGGCAGGTGGGGCGCTTGTTTGAGGCGCCGCCGCGGGTTGCGCGGGAGGTTGCGCGGCGGCTGGCTGTGGCTGCGCCGCATTGTTGCCCTGGTAGATGCTCAGACCCGAAAGCGCCGCGTACTGCGCGGCGGCAATTTGCTGGAACGACGAGAAGATCTGGGCCGCGACTCCGGCCAGAGCTTGGTTTCCGCCCGCCGCCGTCGTCGCGCAGTCCGAGAGGAACGTCCCCGCGTTCTGCACAAAGAGGCCCTGCTGTCCAGGGAGGATGATGGCGGCCGGGTCCGGAACCGAGGTGAGTTGCGGGGCCTGCGTGCCGGCGGGGAGGATTACTGACTGCCCGATCTGACCGAAGGGTGCCGCCTGGTTGAAAGCGGCGAGGCTAAGGGTGCTGTCGTCGGCGGGGGCTGCGTTGGGGGCTTGGGCGTTGGAGTTGTTGGACCCGCCGACTGCCGGAGCGTTTTCCAACGCGACGTTGGCGGCGCCAAAGGCATTTGCCTGTGAGGAGGCAGCCTGCAGTGTCGAGATCTGCATGGGCGTCGGGTCTGTGACCATGACGAGAGTCTGGTTCCCCGGCACGCCGTTGTCGGCAAGGAGCTGGTTGACAAGGTATCGCTGGTTCTGCTGCCCCTGGTTCCTGTTGTCGACTAGGCCGGTGACGGTGACAATGACGGTGTTCTGTATCCGAATGAGCCCCCATTAGCATATCCGCTCACGTCGTGTCCAAACAAGCATAGGGAAGGGCAGGAGAGACTCACCGCCTGGGGGAACTGCGCCTTGAAGTGGTTGATCCGGATGTTGTCCTTGACGGTCTGCAGCTGCGTCGCTAGCGCGAGCTGCGACTGCACCAGCGCCGCGAGCTCCTGCTCGTTTTGCCGTTGCAGCTGGTTGATGGCGTCAAGGTTCTCCTGGACGACGATGATGTTGGGCCTGATGATGTTTTGGATGATGTTGATGTTTCCATTGTTATTGTTGTTATTGTTGTTGTTTTTATTGGCGTTCTTATTATTATTGTTGTTGTTGTTGTTCTTGTCGTTGTTCTTGCCTTGGTTCTGCTTCTGGTCTTGTCTCTTGACCGCGACTCTCGAGTCTTGCGCGGGTGCTGGGAATCGTCCAACGTCAGCCCGGCCTTTGGCCCAACATAATGTGCACAATGCTTACCAGCAGCAGCTAGGGAGCTGAAAGCCACCAGGGCGGCAACGATGTTTTTGAGATGCATGGCTGTTGGAGGCTCACGCGACGATTACGGGTTACGGTAGGAGAAAGGAACCAAAGAGTGTCGAAGGCACAGCCGACTCGAAACCGATGATTATGTTTACGAAAAGACTTGCAAACTATTAGGTGAGCTCTGGGGTTCACGAGAAAAGAAGGAAAACGGAGGGAGTGAAAGAAAGGGAAAGTGAAGGCGAGAGCCGACAGATCGTTTCCAACGAGGGCGATTATGATATACTCTGATCTACCGTCACGTTGTTGAGAAGCGATGTGAGCCATGTCCATATGAGCAGACCATTGACCTCATCCGTTCGCAAAGCACGCAGGCCATACCCATTCCCGCCCTCTGTCGATGAATCTCTTTTGCTGCCGGAAGCAAAAGTCCCGTCTTTCTGCACCATAGTCCACCCCAAATATCAAGCGAACGAGCGATTCGCAGGGTGTACGGGGCAGGGCGATCTAGTAGACATCGTCTCGTCATCCACCCCGGCCCCAGCCCAGAAGAGTAAAAGCGACGAGCTAGACCTCAAAAAAACCGCAGTCAAAATCTTCAGAAGGAGGCGGAAGGGCATATGCCTAGGGGTTTCCCGTCCCTTCGACAAGGAAAGGGCTGTTCGGGAGAGGGGTAGTAGGCTGTACGCCACCACGCTGCCACTCGAGGCCGGTCCCGCAAAACCCTACTTTGCCTGCCGTCCAACCTTGACAACCGCTTGACATGGCGTCACAGCCGTCTCAACCGTCCCATACCACATCATCGTCTCACCTGTCAAAGAAAACGCACAGTCATCGTCCCATCGAAGACAGGACGAGTTTCGGGATTGGCACCCGATCACCTCGTGTACCGACGGGCCCTTGCCCCGACCTCGCGACCCTACGCGAAACGGCAACCGGCAAAGGAGTCTCACTTGGGTCGATTTTTTTATATATATTTTTTTTGGCTGCCCTCTCGGCGACTGCCACTCGCCTCCAGCTGCCCCTTTGTGTGAGTCAGGACGGAGGCGAGGACAGACACAACGTCATGCGACGCACTCGGGCAACTCGTCGCGAAGATTCCCGGCGGCGCATCTGCGCATCTGTGTCGCTCGCCAAAAGGGATCGCAGCCAGAACAGAAACAGAAACAAGCAGCAGGTCGGGAACCTGTAAAGTCTGATTGCGTTGGCCCTTGGAAACCCAGAGGAATATCCGACCTGCTGTGCCGCTCTTTCGATGTGCGACCCAGCGACATCAAACTTGGAGAAATAAAGTGGCCTTTTGAGTTAGGCTCGAGCCGACACAACCACGCCAAGTCCAACGTTAGAGCATGAACTGTGCTCCGCTCTATCCGATGGCCATTTTGGCTTACGGAGTCGCCAAAGCTTGTTTTCACGCGGCCAGATTGGAATCTGAAGGGGGGGTGGGTGTCGAGCAGATACGAAACACAAAAGTGAGGGTTTCATCCCTGTCCCCGTCTGGCAAAGCAGGCAAGTTTATGCATGTAGCTCTCCGAGAGCTAGGGACTGTGTCATCCGCAACCCTGCGGCGTTGCCTCGTGTAATCGTTACTGCTATTAACTATTCCTTTGCTGTGCGGCGTGCCGGTCGCTTAGAGGGAAGTCTCCTGTTCCGGCCCCCAAGTCATGCAACTGCCATCAAGCGCCATAAAGCATGTTTCCAAACCACAACATGGCCAGCAAGCCCACGATCCTCAGCCGCAAGGCGCTGGGCGAGACAGATGAACCGTCTACCGTCCTCCCCTCTGCCGCCTTCTCCGCCGCCGCTGCACTCTGCCACGGAACAGGACTCCTCCTATCGTCCTTAACTGGCAAGGCCCTGCCCAACGAGATGTCTTCGGTCTGCTCCCTCTTCTGCGTCCCAGTCAGCCCGGAGACGATTGTCAGCGTGGCGCCGTGACACTTGGAAGAAGCCCAGACGAAGACGGCGGCAACGATTAGCACCTCCGCTTCCCTGGGAATACGGCTTCGGCTGCCAATCCTCAAGACTCCCGCCCCATCGCTTGCAAGCCAGATGTGGTGGTGCAAAACGTAAGCCTCCAGAGAAATCTGCCCTAGGGACGCTGCAAGTGGAATGTGGAGCTCACGCAGAGCTCCAAAAGAGTTCCTTACGATGATGGCCGACAGCACAAACCACGGGCTGGTGTATGGGTGGTAAGCGTTGTATGCGTCGTTGTTGCGGTAGACCTCGGTGATGAAAGCGAGTGTGATGAAAACAACGAGATAGGCAAAGGAGAAGAGGATCATTATCGGCTTCACCGGTATCGCGTCTCGTTCGGGATAGACAATCTCCAACAATGCACGGTCAAGCGCATTATTGGTCCTCTCGAACGACGCCTGGGAATTGACGCCGAGTTGGCGACGCCTGAGAACCGAGACTCGGTGTGTGGCCGCAGCCGTGAGTATGCCAAACCACGGGATGAAGCGATCCAGCTTGAAGTGCGCGCGAAGAATCTCCAAATCCCAGTAGATACCGCAGGTTGGTTTGAGCATCGACATGAGCCACTCCGGAACGCGCGTGCTTTGCACCAGGTAGGTTATGCAAGTAGCAAACGTGATAACTTTTAGGAAGAAAGTCACAGGGTTGCTGTTGGCCTTCTTGAAGCACGCCAAAGATGCGTAGGTGGCACCAAACCAAAAGGTCATTAGCGGCGCAGTGTAGACGATCCATTCGCTGGACGTTGTGAAGGCCAGGAGACAGGTGAGCAAATTCAGTCGACACAATACAAACGCAACTCTGCGCAGCGAGTAGTCCTCGGTCCGAAGGAAGTACATCGTTTGACCGTAGGTGAACAGGAAGATGAAAGTGGCGACGAGAAACTTGTGTACCTTATACATCGCCAGGGACTCGGATGCTGCGTGATAATTGTACATCAAAATAAACACCAGCATCCACCCTTTCCATTCATCCGTCTGCTCACGAGACAGGAACGACGTCGTTGTAAGGCCCCTTGTCGATGACCGGACGGGTACTCTGGAGCGGAGAGACAGTACTGCAAGCATTGCGAGACCGAACAAGGGCATGACGAAGTCGGACACATCAAAGTGTTTATCCTGTTTCGCAAGGACGTGAGTCCGGTCAGCGAGAAGGCAGTATACTGCGGCAACGAGCAGCGTCGCTACCGCCGTAAGGGTGTCCATGATACGGGACGTTCGAGGAGACGGAAACGCCTCCTGCTGCCGACTCAGAAATAGAACAGGTAGAGTCAGTATGTTGAGACCAAGAAGTAGAAGCTGCACTCGTCCAAGAGGTGGATACGGCACGCAACAGGTGATCTGGTTAGCGTACCCTCGTCTGATCAGCCCGGCATTGCAGTGAGCATTGAGAATGACGTCGAGCTTCCTTTCGGCAATGATGTCGACAGCATGAATACCATCATCGAGCAAGGCGTTGCCGTAACCCTCGGTCATGGCATGGTAACCCCAAACGATGTGCGATTGCTCAGACTGTTCCAAATGCTCCAGGTTCCAATTCATAGCGCCGATCCTCTCTGGCGTCATGGCTCGCGCGCGGGACGAGGTAAGCTTGTCGTAAGCGGGAATAGGCACGGGTGCGACGAGCACATGGTTGGATAATTCGTCAAACGCCGGCTGCGACTTGCTCTTGGGTAAGACCATCGATGCGTCGATGCTCTTGTGCAGGTACGGCAAGAGGACATTGATGCCTTCTCTGAAGAGCTCCAAATACCGATCACCGCCCTGGCGGGCCGCCCACAGACCTGAAGTGCCGACGACGATCAGGGCCGGCGAGTCCCTCCCCTCTTGTCGGACGAGTCTCTCGTAATCGGCGGAACCGGGACGTTCCCGGAATCGAGCCAATTGGTTGAAAAGGCCGGTGGAATTGAGCCACGGGTCCCATACAAACTCAAGTTTGACGCCTTCAACCTCTTTTGACAGATTCTGGTGCTTGTCAACAGAGACGGCAAAGTCGAGGATAGCTCTCTCGGCGACGTGGTGGTCGAGGCGCGTCATGGCAGCGAAGTAGATCTGGCGCATGGTCGAGTCGCCAACAATGATCAGATGACGGTCCTTGAAGCAGCTCGAGACATTATCTCGGGACATCTCGTGCATCCTGCAGCCGTGAGGCTCCCACTTCGCAAATACATCCCGAGGCAGGTTAGAGTCGGACCTGGAGTTGGCTCTGGAGCGCCATGTGCCATTAGAGAGCAGGGCGTTGCAATTATAGGGGTCATGTTGGCCTGAAACTCATGTCAGCCTCTCGATTCGGTTGAAGCTCGTCTGGGACCTGAAGTGGGGGCGGCTGGGGATCTGCATAATCGCACCGAAAATGAAATACTGATAAACGACAGACAGAAGCAGTATCACGAGGGAAGCCCGCGGGACGGTCCGGAGAAAGAAGGGCGAGGTCGCGGCCGAGGCAGCCAGTCCCTGGATGCGGAGCATCGGGGGCTACGGTACGAGGGATGAAAAGGAAGCACGCGATGCGCGAATCAATGCTCCGACTGGTGGCGGCGGCGGTGGTTGGCAGGAACCCGCATTCTCTTCCGTCTAGTGGTGACCCCGCTCCGGGCCGCTCGGGAGTATGCTTCGAGGATCGGGCGGTGAGACACTCGGTGATATCGTTGCTTCCAAGGCAAACACACGAAAAGGGGAGGGGATGGGGGGAGATTCGAGGTCAAGCTGCGGCGAGGTTGGAAGAAAGGAATCAGGTCGATTGCCCAAACCGCCAGGCGATCATCCAAGCGCGGCTGGTGTTTCCCTTATAACACCAGCAGTAGTCAAGGGCATCGAAGCCAAGAAGGGGACAGATGACAGGGCTGGCGCTGCCAAGGAGCCGCTACGGAAAGAGACCCGTTCATGTTTCTTGGGGTCTCACTACTCGGCCTGTCAGCCTGAAGGAAGGGTGGACAGGAGAGGCTGGGTCTCGGAGGAGGAAACACTGCCGACAAGATGGAGGGGGGAAATCACCGTCAACAAGCGAATTAGCGAGATGGACAACACCCCCAGATAAGACGCCAGAATGCTCACCAGGCCCCTTTCCGTGAATCCCTGTCGGGCGTTGAGGCAAGTTCTGAAAAAGGATAACCAACACGCGACCAGGCCACCTCGGTGTGGGGGAAGGAAGCATCTACCCGGGCACAGTGTCGTCATCAGGCACCACAGGCACAGTAAAAGCAGCCGCTAACCCCGCTATTGCCGCCAATGATATTGGACAGCGGTCGCCAACCGCCAGTTCCCAAAGTCCTTCCTCGACACTTCTAGGCCAGGCAAACACAGTGTGACCCACCTGCTTGGCCAGTGCTGCTACCCTGACGGCCAAGAAGGCGCCGCGCCTTTTTCTCGGCTAAAAGATTTTTCTTCCTCACTCTTCCTCCATGTCTCTCCGACACCATTCATCTGCGTTCAGCATTGCCTTCGCAACCAGCGGCGCAGTAGTCTTTGGTGTTTCTCAGACAAAGTCTCTCCCAGTCGTGCCCATCAGCTCGTGGTACCCTACTCGAAGCAAGTGGCATCGGCGAAGAAGGGCAATGAAAAAACACGACGCCGCGGAGAGAAAAGGTAGGTACGGCCCGCTTGTAGGCTAGAACAACACAAGCCTTGTCGTGATGATTGTTTTCCAACCCCTTGAAGCCGTCTTTTGCCATTGCTCGGTCAGTTTAGCCTCTTCGCCTTCTGATCTTGAGCCGGATACGCCGCGCCTCGTGTGCGGTTGTATGAGACAAGATCAACCTCCAGACAATGCTTTTTGAGTGCGTAACCTTTATTGTTGAAGTGAAGGCTTGCGTAATTTATCTGTTGTCACATCCCTTTGGTCAAATGTCCTTTGTCTTTCCATGCAATGATTTTTCGTTCTATCGAGTCTGCCTCTCTACATAGGAAAGAGACGAATAGCAAAGTGCAAAAGAAGAAGACGAGAAACCTTTGTTCCTCGATACCCATCAACTCGAAGTACCCGTCCATCCCCATTTCAAATCAAAGTAGTTGTTGCCCTTCGCGCTACTGGTTGCCAGCTGGAGGCCCCTCGTCAAAGTAGAGGTTGCTGACCAGACTCCGCTGCTGACCTCAGTCTCGCTTCGCACTTCATGCCTCATCTCCATTCCCCGTCAATCTTGGTTGCCGACCAAGGCCCTCAATGCTGGAGTGTCATCCTGCCCAGTGCCGCTGCTCAGCGAGAAGTGAGCGGTCGCCAGCCAGTGTGGACGACGGGCTTGGGCAGTAAGACAGTGGCCTCCAAAGCTGAGTGTAGACCCTGACGGTCGAAGTCGGTCAACTGAAGCTTCAGAGCCGAGTGAATATGCTGGACATCCACCTCCTTGACGCCCCGGATGGTGAAGAGCTCGTCAGCGCCGAGGCTGTCTGTGACCCTCTTGTGCTTGTAGTCGAGGGGGAAGCTAGCTTGGAGCTTCTCCTCGCGCTTGTTGAGGATGGCGGTGGTGCCCTTGGAGAGTTTAATGGTCAGCTCCGTGAGGTTGGGGCACTTGGCCAACTCCTTGAACGCTTCGTCAGACCTAGGACCGCACCAATGGACCTCGGCCTTACGCAGATAGTCGCGAAGACACCGGTTGGTGTGAAGCTGGCTGAGGAGGTCGCAGCAACAGGCGAAGTATTGGGCCTGCCGCTCGTAGTAAATGGGATAAAACTCGTCACGCAGCGCTCTGCCGAGTATCTTGTAGATCGCCCACTGCTTGCCCGTCAGGAATCCCACATGGGCTCTCTCAGGGTTGGCACAGTTGCACGGGTACACCTGCTGAGACCGCTTGATCGGGGGCATGCGGCAGCTCTTGGGCTCGGAGTCGATGATCATGCCCAACACACGGGCTCGAAGCTCTCGGGGCAACTTCATGAAGGGGAAGTGGTTGTTGGGAGGAGGCCGATCTGTGACGCAAAGATCAGGTCCTGTCTTGACCTTGCAACGGCAACAAAGGGGGGTGATTGGGAAACACTTACTGGCGATCTCCAAAATCTCGGTGCACATCTGAATGACCAGAACGCAGATTTCAACCTCCTCCTGCTTCTTCGCCATCATAGTCGTGCACTTCCGAATAGTATCAATCATCGATTGGCGTCTGCCAGGGCTCAGGCGCAGCATGCGGCCGATCTCGGCCTCATCGATGGAGGTGCACTTATAGTCTTCTAGGGCTTGCAGCATTACCTTGGCATTCGCCGAGAGGCCGAGGCGCTTGGGGACGTTGCGCACCGTCAGGACATACCACGAGTCCATGCCGAGAACCATCTTGGCGATTTTCCTCCTCTGATGAGGTGAAGGCTTTTTGGTGTTATGTCTTTGGTAGTCCTTGGAGTGGATCGATCTGTTATCGATCAGCTCGGTGTGTGTCTGATGACGAGACCGATTTTATCTTCACAGGATGAAGCTGGCGTTTTCTTTGAGATGGGATGAACTGCCGAAAGGCCTGCGACGTGGAGATGAAAAGGGAATGCGGTGCACAGCTTCGGGAGATGCGATCGATACGGCAGCTGTGAAGGTTGTTTGTGAGGAATGAGTGTATGTTCTTGAGAGTGAGCCGACCGGGTTTCTATGTTGCCCTAATTCTGAGCAATTAATAAGGTGTTCGTTCTACTTGTCGTCAAAGTCAAGAAAGATGTTATTATGAGATTCTGGTTTGATAAGCGCGTCGGGGGAAGACGTGGAGGCAACGTGAAGAGGTAGTGTGATGATGGAGATGTTGAAGAGCAAGAGAAGACATACCTGTGACGGTGACTGTGGTGCCTAGTCAAAGCAAGCACGTTAACGCAGGCGCGTTGCGGTTGTCGTGTTGAGCGTGAAGACGGATGATTGTCGGTGAAGATGTGTGTGGACTTTGTTTTTGTGTCTTTTGTTGAATGTCCTATCAAGTCTGTATGAGTTAGATCCAAGTTTCAACCACGCTGGTGGTGATGAAGGAAACAGTTGGGTGAAGACGCATAATAATCTTTAGAGTGATGCCCCGAGATACCGGCGCAGCATGGGTAGACGAGTTGTGGCCGGTGCGATGAGAATTACCTACACTGAGTTTCAAAACTCTGACCAATGTAGAAATGGTATTTGCCTCGGCGAGTATTCGCCCAGTAGGCTTGATGTGAGGATGGGCCGAGAGGGTTAGACCGTCACGAGCGAAGATTCGGCCTTTTGCCAGAAGTTGGAGTGTGACGGAATCAGGAGAAAAGGGAAGACGCTGGGCGGGGAAAAGAAACAATACGTATCTAATTTACGCCTTGGGTGAGGCAGGTGTGGTGCAGGAAGGGCAGCGCGGAAGGTACGATGGGTAGGAACAGGGCGGAATCAGATGAGTTTGTAGAATTCCAATCACCTTAACACTTACACCAAAAGGATGGCTTGCTAAAGACGGCGCAAGGCTCGCCCGTGACGAAGAAGAAAGGAACTTCCTGTTCGACAAGATGGGGGATGTGTTCACGGTACTGCGGAATGCCGTCGAACAATTGTGGGCAGATAGGTACTAGAGACGATAGCGGCAATAGACAAAGCTAACGTATGTTGTTAAAGCTGAGTCTGTGATAATATGTGTGAAACAGGGAACGAGAAGTACGAGCTCAAGCACTAGATAAATACGCAGATGGGACATGTTGTTATAATACGGCGGGTTGCCTTTGAATCACAGCATTGAAGGGAGATGAGACTAAATATCACGAGCCGGCTGGTCAGCCCGCTTATTCCTCCGCCAAAGCATGGGATGTATATCTTACGAAGATGTAAAGAGAAGGAAGTCAAGGTAAAGTGCAATGATATTCCGCTGGCGCATACATACAGCAGCCCTTCTAGTAAGGAACATCAGTGCGAAAATAACCCCAAGCGTGGCAAAACACCTACGAAATAATTCCATGCAGGTAGATATTATTCTGCGGGCTACGATGCACAAAGTCTTCGGCCAAAGTATGTGAACGCTGCTTTGTGGTGATAGAAACGGACAGCCTCGATCCTTTGAGGATGATACCAGAGCAGCGGGGCTCCAGAGACAAGGCGTTTGATGCAGAGCACGTTGCAACAATGATCCCGCGAGGCTAGGTGTGTATGGTAAATAGAGTATCATTTTTTCACCGTTGTCGTCGACACCAAAGTCGGAGATAAGTCCTGCTTCCTGCAGTCTCTCTATATATAAGCGACATTGACAAGTCCATACAGCTTTCCAAGCACCCGTCCAATTGTAACTCGAGTCTTCTCATTAGGGGTAACATTATTCAAACACTTAGCCTCCCCCGGTATGAAAGGGTAGCTTTTTGCTCCTAGAAATCCAAACCCGAAAACTCCAAGGCGATGCCGAAATAAAATGTGTTTTACACCGTGTCGACCGGGCACTCCGTCCCTAGATGTCTCTGAGACGGGTGGCCCCGGATGAGAACGAACCCTCGCGCCGAGGCTCAGGATCTCTCATCCTCTTCCGGCACGGACCGGAACTGCCGTCGGCGAGGTGAGGGGTTCATCCGGAGCGGGCTATCGTCCACATCCACGCTGTTGTGTCGTGACGTGCCGGGGCTAACGTTGATGCTGCTGTAACTCGTGTGATGGTCGCGGCTCATCTGCCGCTGGCCCTTGCCGAAAGTCATGGTGAAGCCATTGAGGATCTCCTGGTGTCTGATGTTGGTCTCGTTGAAGGGCCGCTCGCGCGGGTCGCTCTTCTCATCCTTCATAGGCTTCTTCTTGGGCTTCTCCTCCTTCGTTGAGCGCCAGCCGAATGTCTTGGCCAGGCGGAGGGCGGGTGATTTTGGTGGTTCGGAACCGTCCGGCTCGCCCTGGCTGGGCTCGCAAATGGACTTGCGGCGACGGAAGTGATCCCGGATGGCCATTGTGTGATACGGGAGGGAGGTGATGGTAGGGTTTCGAGCAGTAAGCGATGGAAGCTAAGAAAGATGGTTGCAAGTGTTGTTCCTCCGAGTCGGTTGGATGTTTGTAAAAGAGACTGATCCGAGTGAGCTAGACTCGAGTCTTATCTGGGCGTTGTAGATGGTGGTCTGAGGGGCCAAGCGAGAACGGGAAGGGTAGGGGACCCTCGATGGTATTTAAAGATGCGCGACCAAAGGCGAAAGACCCTTGGCAGCATGGGAGCGAGACGGATGTGGCAACTGCAAAGAAAGCACCGTTGAGAAGGGACCAGACAGTGGGATGGGCGTCGTTCGATAGCCCCCTTCCTAGACCTTGCGTTGCATCGGCCGGGGGCTGTTTGTTAGCCGCTGCTTTCACCACCCGCAAGCCATATGCAGGGCCTCCATCCGACAGACTAACACTTCCACTCCATCCGCGCCGGGGATCGACCTTCCAGCCCGCGCTATTCTGTGCGTTTGAGTGGTAAGCTTCCTGTATGGCGCACCGCGCTTCCGGCAGTATGCAGGGGGCAGAGGGGGGGTTCTGCAAATGCGGGGCAACGTCATTCCAAAAACCTCTGACCTAACCATTGTTCTTGGCCAAGCTCCCTCGTCGTGCCCGAAGGTGGTGGGCCTGATTCCCGATGCTCTCCTCTTGCTGCTGATCGAGACAGATCGTCGACGTGGCGGGGTCACGGTCTGCCGACGGTCTCGACCCGACTTCTGGACTCATTGTTCTGGAAGCCGGCTGTCCAAAAGTGTGTTCTTTCAGGAAAACCGAACCGTCCCTGATGGTCTTGGCTAGGCCACTTAGCGCAACCAAGGTCCAGATTCCAGCCATGTCTCACTTCGTTGCCAGGCTGAACCAGGCACCTTTAACACGCTACTGCCGTAAGCAACGAAACGCGGCTTTGGGAGGGAGCAAAAAACCCGAGCATGTACATACTAAAAGAGTATCAACTCGTGTATTTTGTTTTATCTCCGAATCTTCCTAGCTGATTCCGGAACGCCGCTGGGAGCCAAATTACAACCGTCCGACAGCTTCCGGACACGAGCCATGGCCGTCGTCAGGCTGTTTTATTCCGCTCGATTTCGTAGAGAGTGATGTACACAAACAAAGGGCATTGCGTAGGACAAGAATTCCGAAACTTCTCACACTGCTATGACTCTACAATTCACCCGCTCATCGAGATGTGCACTCAGCTCCGAAAACACCAGCACTGCTAGATCCAAGCCCGCCCAAAGCTGTCAAGCCCCATGTCAATGCTGCGGACTCCCAGTCCAGGTCGCTATCGGGCAGCTCGTCGCCCTCCACCGCGGTCCGACTTTCCGCGGGGCTCGGCTTGTATGCATCTTCCGGTGCCTCCTCGGGTTCTTCCGTGTGCTTTCGGGCTCGGCCTCGGCGGGTGGTTCTAGACCCAGGTGTCTCTGAAATTGTCGTCTCTTCGGACTTGACTTTGGATGGGCGGCCTCTACGTCGAGTGGTGTTGGTGCCGGTGTGGCTGGACAATTCCGATTCCGGCGCTGGCTTTTCGGTTTCTTCCAGTAGTTTAGGTGGTGGCTGCGCACTCGAAAGGTCCTTCTGGACGAACGGAGTCGCAGAGGCTAGAATATCGTTCAAATCCAACCCACGTGTTGCCGCCCACAACCCTTGGCTGGCTCCGCTGAGCAAAACGTCCCACGCCACAGCAGCTACAACAGGATGATCGGATGCTGATCCCAGAATCTTCCCGATCGCCGTTGTAGTCCGCTCCCACGTCGAGCGCCTCCCTTTGTCAAACGGGAGGAATCGACTGTGGCGGTGGAAGTGAGCATCCGGCGTATTGTAAAGCAGGCCAAGTGCGGTCTCCTTAGCATGGAACGCAAAGCTAGCCGTAGACACAAATCGAAACAGCTCAACGAAGATTCCATAAGCTCCATGAGGGTCATCGTACACCGTTCCCCAGCTGGCTGGAACAACGGAAGGGATGACGATGGGAGCGAACGAAAGAATTCGCCCGGCCACTGCAATCTTGGCAAAAGTGGCCGTGCCAGCCGTTGAGGGTGCCCAGTAGATCAGGACATATGTGGTGCAGAACGACGCCAGGAGCAAGGCCGGGTGCGGGAGCCAGCTTGCAGGCTTCGGGGGCAGCAATCTGTAGCGCAAACGTCCCAATGTGGAAGTTGGGCGCTCTTGACGTCCGGCGGCGGTCGGAGCTGGCGTGAGAAGCAGTGCCAAATAGAACAGATTCTGGGCGAAAGACAAGCTGACGAGATGTGCCAGCGCAAGGTAGGCCCAAACAGAAGGAATATTACGCCGTCTTCCTTCAACGGCCAGCAGCAAGCTCCATGAGATTGTCGCAAGTTCGATCTGCTGACCCCACCAGAACCGACGAGCCTTCTCCGTGATGATCTCCAGAGCGTCCAAGTGGACTGGAGTATCGGTCAACCAGCGACCGGGATAAACCCGAGTCGCGTTTTCTCCGGGGAAGAACCCATGATCGCCATAGAAGCTAAAGAGTGGTGAGTAAGCCGGACAAAGGAACATGACGAAGGCGAGACGAACCGAACTGGGGCTTCAACTCCGCGCTGATCCGCCCAGACGCGATATGAAAGCTTCGTATAGCTCAAAGTCCAGTAACCTGCGAGAGACAAGCTGACGAGAGCCAAGCCTGCAAAAAGAGGTGCAAGCGCTGAACGTCGATCGAGCCTTGCTCTTGTCCTCTGAGACGGCGGCTGATCGTGATACGCTTTGTACAAGCTTCGAGCAACAGTGAAACCGAGATGTGTCACTGCAAGCGCGTGACCGCCGACAAGGCTCAAAGGCAAATACCTGACGACCATGTTAGATGACAACACTCAGGTAAACCGCCGATCAGGGCAAACGCACTTCACTCCCGGCTCAAGGGGCACCGGCGCCATGTTTTCTTGGACTGGCTGACTATCTGCCGCTCTTTGATGGATGTTGTAATGTCGCAAGGCAGTGGAAGAGTTGGCTACTCTGAAGAAAAAGGTGAAGAAGCTTGACCTCTACGGTCAGGGGATGCATGTGCGGCGCGCGTCATCGTCATACAATTGCATGCGTTCCTTGGAAGCTCACTCGACAGTAGCTCCCGCTGTTATTGATCTCAGATTGGTCCGTACAACTACCTACATCATTCATAACAAATGCCGTTTCGTCATGTAGCGGTACTAGCCAGGGTCTCGAGCGGCAAGTGGAACCAAAGGTTGAGCACGGACCTGGTACCTGGCCTGGTCGGGCCGGAGAAACAGAAGCGGCGGGAGCACTAGCGCGGAATCGCAGCCAGCCCCACCCCTCGCCGGCCATAAAAATCTCTTCTCACGATGCGAAGACGCCTTTCCTTCTTTCTTCTTCACTACATCAGTATGGGTTAAACTTACACCGTCATGTGTATTTTAATTCTAATGGCGGCTCCGCTATGCGGCTTGCTGAGGGTTGTCCTGTTCTCCGTGGATTTCCTTCCGTTCCCGGCCCCCTAAATAAAACACCATGTGAACACCTTTCCTTATCAGCCGAGTACGACGACTCTTCCTGGTATTTGACTGTGGGGTGGTCTCAACATCCTTTTAAGGAGCAACCTGGGTTTTTTGAAGAGGCAGCTTAAAATGCCTGTGATCCAGCCTGTGATCCAAATACTTAAATACGGCACCCTTGCTTTCGGCAGCACTCGGCCTGTGTCCCAAATTTGAACCCGCTGAACGCAAAACCCTTCGCATGAAGGCGGGACCATACCGCTGCTGTCAAGATCTCCAATATGCTGATTTGTGGGGTACCGCTCCTCTTCAGCCGGGGTGGTCTGGCGTTTGCGTCTCGATTTTACTCACCAGCTACAACATCCACGACGGACTTCAACGCACTGAGACTCATAATGAGCCAAACGGCTAAGATGGGCGATGGCTTGAGGTTTTCCGTGTTATGGTAAGCGCGTCAGTTCAGACCCGAGACCATCAGTCTTGGGGCGTGAAACCAGTCAAAAGATAGATACACATTCCTTGATTGGACGTTTTGCCCAACAGCCATCCTGGCATCGGCTGCTACATTTTCTCATGCTGAAGCGATGAAGTTTGTTACCACACGACCTAAGTCCCTTCAGAAATGGTTCTGCTCGTCTGATCGGCTGATCAGATGTAAGCACCGCCACGGCTGCCACGACCGTTTTTCCAGACCAAAAAAACAAAAACAACGGTGGCCATCGCAAAACCAAAAGTCACAAATTGCATAGCCTGATCAGCGGTCGCCTTCTTGCAATTGTCCATAAGTCGGCCCATCGTCATTTCTTCGCGCGCAGTCGATCTTTTGACTCGGACAGCTCCCCCGTTGAGTAGAACGTTGTCTGACAGCATATCATACTCCTCCTGGGTTTTGGGGTCGCAAGTCACTCCACGCAACCCAATAGCAAAGGCCTACTTCAACATTAGCGACCACCTATGACATTGGGTATTGTCAGACGTACGATACCACCACCGAGGAGCAACAGTCCACTCAGAGCATCGGCAGCCATGACAACGAGAGCTGGGATAGCGTCAATGAACGCAGAGGCAAGGCCCAGGATAGCCACTGCCAGCCCGAATCCGCCAGCAAATGTTCCATATTTTGTCGTTGTCGGGGCGTCACCAACCACCTGGCCCTTTACAAGATCGACGGATAGACCGATGACAACGATGGCCATGATGCCCTACGCAACGGTCACATATGAGCCATCAAGATATCCGGGGGTATTACGAATTCAGATGCCACGAACCTGGAGGGCCCACACGCCTATGCTGATAAAGTTCAACATCCTTCTTGGTGGTTGGACAATGCTGATGTAATGTAGTCTGTCAGTGATTTGGGCCTTTGTCGGGGCGACTCAATGGCTTTTTTTTTTAAACCGATATGTCAGCCTAAAACTCGAGCAGGTAACATACAAGACAAGAAATGACAAGACAAGGACGATGCCATGACAAGGAAGGGGAATAACATGGCCCGTTATATATTGTGACTCAGTCGAAGACGAGGTTGGTTCACATCATGCGGTGACACTCAATGGGATAGGCAACTAACAGTCAAACGGAGATCTTGGGCGGCCCCCAAGGGCTAAGGCGGCACAGAAACAAGTTTCCCATGCCGCCCCCAAAATTGGTGTGGCACATCAACTGATGTTCCTGCAGGTTTGCGCTTCAAGAAATGAGTTTTGGTGGTCTTTTCGCTGGCGACTTGCAGATCAGGCGATATTTGCTAGGTTCCGATAGGGCGTTTATGCCCATCGTCGTGCCACAAAGAACCCGTCTTCCCCCCCCAGCTTCGAAAGAGGGCTTCGACTTTGCAGCAGACCAGCGGGCATGCGGCAAGCCTCGCTACGATCAAGGATTTCGATATGATTTTGCATAATGGATAGTCTTGGGCTGGTCAACAGACCAGTGTGATGAAAGGCTTCGGTTGGAAGAAGAAATTGATTCAGGGGCGTTTAGGTGCAGGACAGAAACCAACGGTGACCGTCTGCCACGGCTGAGCTGAGAGGACCAACAAACAGCCGCTGGGTGGCCGGGATAAAATGTCGTTGTTTGCTCGTCTAAATTTGGAAATAATATTTCAGGCAACCGCTCTGTCCGTTGCCTGACGTTCGGCCGAGTTTACCCCGGGACATATAGGACAGACACGCCCGTACTGTTGTCACATCATTTTCGAATTCGTCTCTCTCCTCGAGGGGACTGTAATGAAGGGAGTTGGACGCTTAGCTAACATGTCCCCACCTGTCGAATATTGCTGGCTGACTCATCACAAGAGCTTAATGGAACAGCGACGATGAGGTAAGCCGGAGAATCCAAAGTCGAGCCTTCCGAGAGATAGCCGGAATAAGTGGGGGTTCGATTCCAAAGTCGAATGCAGCAAGTTGCACCCGTCACTTTCCACTGCCACTGCACCTCGAACGCACGGTCCAAGTCGCGACTGGTCTGCCCAAATTTTTTCGATAGCTTCCATCATCGGCCTGCTCGCAAGCCCACGCCTCCTGTCCGTCCACACGTCCCAAACTCCGATCCCCGGCTTCATCCCATCCGCCCAACGTCCATAACCTTCGCCATGTCGTCGCTCTGGGATACTCTTTCCGGTCGCAAGTCCTCTCAGAAGGATGCCGGCGCTCCTCAGACCTCTCCCGCCGCCCAAGAACCCACAACCACCTTCAACAGCCCGCCCGCGACCACCACCCAGTTCGACCCTTCAGCAGGATCTGGCGTCGAGTCTTTCCTCCAAAGTTCCGCCTTCGCCGACCCGGCGCAACTACACCCCCTCTCTGGCCTGAACAAGGACACGCTCGAATATCTCTCCCTCGAAGATGCGACCCTGGCTGACGCCCCTGGCCAGTCTGTCCTCCCCTCTCGAGGCTTCACCGATGACCTTTGCTACGGAACCGGTGTCACATACTTGGCGGCCCTGTCGATAGGAGGCGCCTGGGGTCTGCAGGAGGGCCTGAGAAGGTCCGCCAACCAGCCGCCGAAGCTGCGCCTCAACTCGGTGCTCAACGCCGTCACCCGCCGTGGTCCCTTCCTCGGTAACTCGGCCGGTGTCGTAGCCATCACCTACAACCTGTTCAACTCTGGTATCGGCTACTTCAGAGGGAAGCACGACGCCGCCAACACCATCTTGGCCGGCGCGCTCAGCGGAATGGTTTTCAAGAGCACACGGGGTGTGCGGCCCATGCTGATCTCCGGTGGTATCGTGGCCTCCGTGGCTGGTACCTGGGCTGTAAGTTTAGGCCTTTGTAAACTCTGTCGGTTGACATGACGCTAACTTCCCTTCCATAGGTTATTCGCAGCACCTTCTTTTCCGCCCCCGAGCCTGCGCACTCCGAGCGAGCCACCTTGTAATTTTATGACATAAAAAAAACCTCACGAATCATCTTCGTTGAACCCCCCGCCAATAATGAAAGTCCATTACCTCTGCGGACCACAATGGATCCGTGGACGACACCGCTCGCCCGATACGAGCTTCTTCTGTCTGTTGTTTGAGTAGGAAATTTAGAGCGCCTTAGAGGAGTCTTGGGCATTGTGACGAACGATCTCTCCTCTAGCGGACCCGTGTACAGTATTTTAGGAAGGAGCGTTAGAAGACCGCATCACTGGGTGGTAGTGGGCGTTCGGTACCTGTCAACAAAAGACAACATCACACGTTCTTCTCAACCTCTCTAAGAATCACGGCCTGGTTATGATCCCACCTACCATCTGATGGGCACGGAGCTTCACTGACATCCGGTCATATACGAATTTGCATCTATGGTTTAAGTACACCAGACTATCGACAACTCAAACATGCCAACGCCAGTCATAAAGGTATGGCAAGTAAGTACTGTTTGGCGGGTGCACATACATGTTTTCAGTGCTCTCCCACAAGGCCATGGTCTATACCAGCGTCGAATCATACACCAACCCCTTCCTCAACCTGTGGATAGTCTTCCTCCGTCATGTCTTTGTGCTTGAGGCTTTCGGTTCGCTCCACAGGTGCTGCGAGCTTGTCAAAGTCAACAGGCTCGTTGAACAACAAGCCGATGCTGACTTCAGATCCGGCAATTTCCAAAGTCGGGTCTAACAAGGGAACCCTGCCCTCCAGCTTTCGAATATCGGGCAGTAGCTTCTTGAGTTTTACTTGCCAAAGCTGTAGCACGTCAACAACCAACTTACTAGTTATGAGACGAGATGGGCAAACAAACCTTGGCCACAGCAACGGATTTTCCTTCCATCTGGCCCTGTATCTTCATCTTATTAAAGGCGTCCGTGCCGTCGATGTCCGTCAAGTGCTCCTAGCTTTCAGGACTAGCCATAGAACGGCTAGAATCAACAGTCGTATATACCCAAATGTCTTTCTTGGTGCCAAGGTCCTGAATCCAAGTCTGGTACAAGGTGGCTGCAGCTCTTCGCGGAGGGCTCGGGTAGGACTGAAAGACCTTTTCGATTCTGAGAAGATAGTGTTGCCGCACATCTGCCCAACCGTCGTCCTCTAAGCCTGTCATGGAGGCATAATCCACCTCTATTCGTTTTGTAAAGGCGCCAAAGCCCATCCACCTGGGCCAAGCTGATTCTTGTGAGACTACATGCCCTGTCATGTCAAGGTGGACGAGGATGATGTTGAGACACTCGCTAGCGAGAAGCGGAGAGGCACGGAAACTTGACAGTCTGATTTGGGCAACGTGTTGGGCCTGCGTTGCAAAGCTTAGTATGACTCCCTATTTGGCCAAGGGGTGGACGGCCATGTGCGATATTGTCAAACCTTTTCTTTAAGCCAGTAGCCGTTGCGGATTGACTGCAATTCACACTTGGGCTTTCTGGTGTCCACGAAGCTGAAAGGTCCACCTACCAGAACCAGGGGTTCGTCTTCAGAGGCGTAGTCGGCAACCTCCACATCCAGGCACTCATGCAGGGCCAACAGCTGGTGGTCTGATAACGATCGGATCGATGATTGTAATTCGTTGTGCCGCAAAACCAAGGATTCATTGAGGTGCTGTGTTTCTCTGGGGAGCGGTCCCGAGACGTCGCCGGGCAAAAATATGTATCCGCCGAGATTGTGGGACACGTAGATTCCTCCTCCGGGTGATGACCATGGCCTGTAGTCGTGAAATTGAACGTGTCGTGACCTTGCTCGCACATTGTCCAGCTCGAGGTCGATAAGCCTGTCTGCAAGTATCCGGATTGCCGGAGCCGGTTCCATCACGAATGGTTATGGCTCAAGTGTCGGCTGGTGATATGCTAAGCCGAGATGATTCAAGTAAGAGAGAAAGCAAGGTCGCAGACGGAGATGGTGTTTGGTGTAAAAGCTGGCGGCCGGCCCTTTGTTCAAGGTAGGTGCCCTGCAAGGGTCCTGCAAGACCGAATTTACCAGCTGCCTCAGACCCGATGCTGACTTCACCTTCTCCTTTAATCAAACCTTTAATTCGAAAAAGCTGGGCAACAAGACGCGCTTCTCCAAAACCTTCTTCTCGTTACACCACGTCTGTACCAAGTACCGTCAACATGTGTGGATGTTGGCCACTTTCGAAGGCTCATTACGACAATGAAGATCCACCACTCGTGTATCGGCACGTTTGGGACGGCCAGAGATACGTCATGGAGCTTGTAAGTCGGATGTTTCTTACTGTCTTGCTATTTCTCCCCCATTCGCTCGACAGCATGTTTGAGCATTGATGACGGCCTGCCCTTACCCGACTTTATCCATCATCTCCGAATTTTGTAGACACCTCGACAAGTTTTCTCATCGTCTCACTAAAGTGAGCGGCTGGTGTAAGCCGCAGATATTGAGCCGCAGCGGGTTATCGTGCGGTTGGGTGAAGGAGATCAAAGGGGCTCTCGCAATGGACTAGAGCACAAATCTTCCCCTCCTTCCATCTTTGGAACAACTTCACCCTTTACTCATCCACCCAAGGATGAGGAATGAGGTGGAAGAACTCATATCATCCGGCCTTTCACCCATAAAAGCCTGCCATCTACGGAGGTCTGGATTCTTCCCCTGGATTGGATTTTGCTCCTCGAAACAAAACGAGCCAGACCCTCGAGAGAAACGCCGTCAACGCCTAAGTTCTAATCGAAAACTGCCACATTCGACATGAAGTCCCCGAAAACAAGGTCGGCTGCCAACAACACCGGCCCCCGCCAGGTGCGCTTCAAGAACGACAACAGTAGCCACAGTACCTCCTACCAAATCACCCAGGAAACCGACACCTCGACCGCTCCTGCCTTCAGTGGCACCGTGGACGAGCCCGGTGAAGACATCGGTGTTTTTATCCACACTTCAACTAACCCCTCCGCCTCAGTCAATTTTGACCACAACGTCCCTGCTGCCACTCCTCACTTCGGTCAGGCGCCTCACCCGCACATCAACCCGTTCATTCCCCACAACTCGGTCCATCACGGCTTCGTCGGCGAAACAAACGCCTTTGCACCTTTCAGCAAATACAACCCGTACGGCCTCCAGGCTCCTCAACACGTCAACATGGCCGACTACCAGAATGTCGCCCCTCCTGCTGGTGGACTTCACTTCCAGCCGCCTGTCCCAGACACCACCCACGGCGTCATGCAGCACATCTACGTGCCTCGCTTTGACAACGGCATGCCTCCCGGCGCTGTTTATCATGTCGGTCTCCCTCAAGCCCAGGTCTTCCCGTTGACTCCTCTTGTTGCTCCGCGAGCAACTCCAGTCCTTATTGGCCCACCTTTTTTTTTTGTTCAGTATTATGCAAGTAGCCAACAACCTGTACGCTGATTCTGTTCGATGTTTCGGATGTCTTCTGAACCAAGCGGCTCATGAGATGGTTTGAGAATTTTGGTTTTCGTCGGTGACTGGGCGTCTCGTTCTCATCTCACTTTGCTCGTCCAGTCTTTTTCAGAGTCTTGTGCTGACTTCAGATCTTTAGCAACAGCCTGCCAACAATGTCACGTATATTGGCCAGGCTCCTTCGAACCCCCACTTCGTCATGGCCCAGCAGCCAGTCATGCAGCCCGGTATAGCTATTCCAAGCCAGCCCATCATGCTCCAGGCTCCCTCTGTTGCCATGAACGCTCCCTCCATGTTCCAGGGTGCTCCCCCCATGGGTATGCAGATACCGGGCGGCTGTGGTGTCCCGGTCTTTGCAGGTAATGCTCACCTTCCTCCCGATGTCACCGGATTCGGCAGAACCGCTGGCGAGATTGCTTTGGAGCAAGCTCAGTTCGCCCATGCGAACGGTCTTTTTGAGCCCCAAGACTTCAAACCCGCTGATGACGACCCGTCCCGTTACTATCCTGTTCGAGAGGTTGACGGTAACTGGACCCAGCGCAATCGTTTCACTATTGACAACCTTGGCGACTGCCGCTGGTACATCACCAACGAGGGATATTTCTACGCCGTCCGTCTGCCCAATTAGATGAAACGTTTGATCAGGGTAGGTCTGTCCGAACCGAGGTCTAGAGCATGATGCACTAACATTCAGCGAGGCCACCCAGCCCGAGATGCCATGGCGTGGAGGTCTTCGATGATAGTGCGGTACAAACTCGCTTGTAAGCTCTCATATAGAGGAAATGAGATGTAAACACTGACAGCGGTAGACGAGTTCAACTTTTTGGCACACTCTCCTTAGGTCCGACGCTTCCCTGTTTAGAGGTCTCTTGAGGTACCCCATCGTTACCACTCAGTCCATCAAGGTAGGCCCACCGGAACCAAGTGCTCTTTTCTCGAAAATGATACAAAAGTAGAAGCTGGTTACTACGGAAATGATTCCCACTTTACGAGAACGGCTGGTGGAATCACTATTGGTGGATAGGAGGTTGACTTTGGATGGTCGGGTTGGGAGACTGGAGAGCTTTTATTTCCTATGGCCACAGGTCACGCAGTACTTGCGATGATCAGTTGTCGTGTTGAATGTGTCAGAGACTGGGGGTGGATTTCAATAGGTGGTTTGGAAGTAGATCAACATTTCTACGCAGAGGGCCATTGCTGATCTCTCCGGAGAAGTCAGAAGCCCTCTCACACCAATCCTAAACAAATCGCACCCTTCAAGAAACAGATTTGAGCCTTGTCCATGGAAACCAAAGCACAAAAAAAATGGTGATTTTGCCCTTTTAGTTTGTAGATCGCCCTCTTATCTTGACGGTCAAATTGGGCTGGATATCGTCTGGCGCTTACATTTGCTAGACTACCTTAGTCTGAGGAAACAGTATAACACAGCCGCAAGTGGCCTTCAAACAATTGCCCTCGTTCCTGTTATGTACATACGAAATAATGAGGATCCTAAAGCGTTGGGAGAAACTTTTGGGCCGCACTTTCCTAAACTTGATGGTCTAACCTTTTGACTCTCCTTCACCTTGCCCTTTCTCCACGCTAACGTTTTCTTCGGTCACAGAACGCCCTAGTGGTCTCTCCTTCAGCTTTTTCCTCTGTCATCCTTTTACACGCTCGATCTCGAGTATAGTCAACGACCTTCATTATAGCTTGCGTCGATGACTAGAGTTGATCTACTTTGCAGAATTTCTGACCGGGCCACCTAGACAATCAACCAAACCACCGCCATGACGCGCAAGACCCGGAGTTCTACCATCTGCGAGTGGGCTCTTGGGGTAAGCGTTGAAGAGTATTGCAACTATGTCGACCGACGCAGAAGCAGAAAGTCCAGCGGCAGACAGCGCATCAGCGTCGAGATCTCAACCGACGACGAGTCTGAAGAAGACACCGTTAAGATTACGTACCCTCGCGCCAACCTCAGCAAGAACTCCAATACCCAATTTTCCGGTATCAAGAAGGTCCGCTTCGACAAGCTGGCGCCAAAGTCTGCGATGAGGACGGCCGACTCGGACGCTAACTCTGAAGGTGATTCTAAACCCCAATCGGTCTGCAATTAGCAGGGCTATGTAAGAGAACAGCTGAAACTAAACACTACAGAAAAAGACAAGAAGAAACCAGCCAAGGTTGAGGACACATCCGAGTCCGAGTCAGAGTCCAAATCGAAGAAGAAAGGAGACAAATCAGCCAAGAAGAACAAGAAGGTAGTAGAATCTTCATCAGAAAGCGAGGAGACCGAAACTGAGACGACAGAGACCGATACCGAGACGGATGAGAGCGAGGAAGAGGCACCGTCGCCATCTAAGAAGAAGAAGAAGGACGTTGACGCTTCTAAGAAGCAAGAAAAGACAAAGGACACCAAGAAGCCCTCGAAGAAGAGCATTGACAATACCGCTTCGGGCGACGTCGAGCTGAACAACGTTGGCCCTTCCAACAATGGGGGAAGAGAGAAGGATGCAAGTAAAAGGAAGGAGAAACACAAGAACGTCGACGAGACCCGGAAGCTGAGGCCCGAGGCAGCTTTGTCTCCGCACTTGCGTCGGCCCAATCTCATCATGCCGGTCCGCGCCGAGGTCCTCCAGGTCGAGCACACCATCGAGGGCGTCGAAGACCCCCGACCCAACGCCTTCCACGATCCTCAGCATGGTGTTGTCCGTGTCTACCACGGTCCAGCTTACGGCAACCCGTACGGAATGTTGTATCCTGCCCGCAACCCGAACAAGGCTCCTTTGCCTGTGGGCGTACCCCATCCCCTGGAGAACCCCTACTTTCACGGATTCGCTAACACCACAAACCCCGGAGACAATCACTTCAGAGGCCAGTCGCCGTGGGGCGCCGTCCCAGTAACCTGTATGCCTGGAGGGCCGCCCGTTATGGCGCCGGTCGACCCGACGCAGACGCAGATGCAGATGCCGTCGTGGTGGGCTCCCATGTCTCCAACAAAGGCCGGCTGGCCGAAGGGATCTCCGAAGCCCGTTATGTCGGGAGCTATCCAAGGTGATGGGGGATCTACTGGCGCCGTGAACAAGGATAAAGGATGGGATACCAATGTTGGACCTCGGCAGAACAAGACCCCTTCTCCTCTAACAAAGCCAGCCAGTCCCAACAAAGTTGCTCCTGCCTCCCCTATCAATATCAATCTGACAGTGAACCCGAACACTCCCTGGGCTGCCTTCGCCGGCGACAATGGCAAGAAGTCCACTCCGGATAAGAACGGACAACAAACAAGTGGCGGTGGATCCAATGGAAGCAAAAAGTCATGGGGATCGAAGAAAACAACAGATTGGAAACCGATCGCCAGTGGCCAACACCCGGATCTTGGATGGGGCACTCCCACGAAGAGCCATGGAAGCACCAAGGGAAGCAATTCAGCCTGGGCGCAGACAGGCGGCGCAAACAACGATCACTGGGGCGCGGGTGGCGGCAACGGAAGTAACAGTGGATGGAACACTTCGGGCAACGGCCAGAACAACGATGCTCAAGCAACTTTTGGAGGTGATGGCTGGACAACGACGAATGATACCACCTGGGGTGGCTCGAACAACAATCAAGCGGCGGCCATGCACGGAGACGGATGGGGGGCGTCTAATGACCAGTCGGGCGATGCTTGGGTCAATACCGGGGGCAAGTACAACAACTGGTCAACGGGCTCGAATCACTCCGGCTCGAAGAAGTCAAACAGAAGCCAGCATGGCAGCAGCAGCAACCGCGGCCCAAGCGGCCAAACACAGCCGGCTACCGATTGGGATGGGCAGGGCAACAATGTCGGCTACTCGGGGCATACCGCCTCGAATGGCTCGAACAAGTCTAACAAGTCCAAGAAGAACACGCCGCCGCCCTCTACCAACGGCGGCTGGGACAACAATGCCGGTCCTACCACCAACAGCCCTGTGGGTGACTATTCCAACAAGAGCAATCGATCCAAGCACGATGCCAAAAAGGCGTCCAACAACGGCGACGAGTGGGCCACGAACAGCACCTCGGCTTGGACCACCGACAACAACGCCGTGCCGACGAACAACAACAGCCCGAACAACTCCCATACGTCGAAGAATAACTCGAACAGCGGAGGCAAGGGCGACGACCAGTGGTTAACGGCGGGTGGCGGTGCCGGATGGGGTCCCGAGACCACGAGCGGCGACAACTGGAACCCGACCGCCACAGAGATGAGCAAGGCGTCGAGTGGCAGCAAGAGCATGCCAGGCGCCTGGGACAACACTCCCCCTGGTTTGACACGTCTATGGCCCAGTCGACTGGCGGTGCGGCGGATAACTGGTGAAGCTGGTGTCGATGCCGGAGCTCAACCGAAGCTGACCAAGCGATAGACATTTGGCGGAGGAAAAGGGGGCTTGTGTTAATGAATGGCAGTTTAAGAGGGCACGCAAACGGGGTTGCTTGCGTCGGATGTTCTCGACCCCCTTGCCTCGGACGCGGTTCCGAGGTTCGAGGATATCGTTCTTTTTGAGATTGCATCACTTGAGGCGAGACGAGTGGCAGAGCGCTACCGGGAGATGTATTCGGGGACAGGGAAATATGGCGTTAGGCAGCATGAGAGACGGGGTTCATTCACATTAGGTTTAGAGATTTACCATGCGGACGCGAGAGTGACGGGCCGTGATATCGGGCGCTTCTCCTGGGAGTCGGGTCAGCCGAGAACGAAAGAGTTTCGAGCCAGAATCAGACATAGACCATTGACAACGAAACCATTTGTGCCGACCTGAAAAGAGTGGACATTTTGCCAATTTGCTGCAATCTACAGGACGTGTGCTACCTAAAGCCATGACCGCCCGTGATCCAACACGAGAGACGTCCCATGGGGAATGAGACGAGCCAGTCGCGGGAGCATCTGGGAATCAAAAGAGAACAAAAACGATTTGAGGATACTAGACAGGGTTGCGATGCGAATCAAAAGTCAGCGCCGAACACACGAAGGTCGTCAACGAGCGAAGCGCCGTCCCAAAGAAACGCCTCCGCGGCTAAACTCCGCCAAAGCGCGCCTTCTACTCCTCCTCGTCGCTCGACTCCTCCTCCGAGGCCTCCTCGAGCCACTTGATGAAGGGCTCGGCGGCCTTGCGGACCTTCTTGGAGGTGGACAGGTCAGTGTACTTCTTGCTGGCCTTGCTGCCCCACTTGACGGCGACCTCCTCACTGAGCAGGTCGTGGTTGTAGTACAGCTGGAGGATCTTGACAATCTGGTTGTAGATGTCTGGGTGGTCCTTGCCGAGCTGGCCGATGAGGCGCTCGGTACCGCCGAGAAGGGCCTTCTCGTGGCGGTCAGAGGTGATGAACTAGGGGAGGCAGGTCAGTAAGGGGGTCAAACATCACGGATGACGAGAGTGAACGAACCTGCTTCATCATGCCGGCGCGCTTGGGGATCTGGGCGACAATGTTCTCGTCAAAGATGGTCTGGACCAGGACGAGCACGGCGCGGTGCTTGGTCTCGATGCCGAGCTCCTTGGCCTTGACAAAGATGTCGATGGAGTCGACCTTGTCGATGCTGCCCTTGGAGGAGGCCTCGTCCTGAATCCAGGTGCCGAACTCGTCGTAGACGGTGTTGCCGGCGGCCTCACCGTCCTCGTCCTCGTCGTCGCCAATGTTGAGCTTCTGCTTGAACTCGCCAGGGAGCTGGGCCTGGCGGGCCTTGACGGCCTCCTCGCTCATGTCGACGGCCCACTCGTGCTCCTGCGTCTCGAGGTTATCGATCTCAGGGGCCTCCTTCTTCATCTTCTCCAACTCGTCGTCGCTACCAACATCCTGGTCGTCGGCGTCGTTGGACCCATTCTCGGATCCCTCGCCGCCGCTTCCGCTTCCCTGGCCGTTCTCCTTGTTGGCGCCGTTGGCCTTCGCGCGGCGGGCGGCCTTGCGCTCGGCCTTGTCCTTCTTGCCCTTCTTCGGCTGGTTCTTCAAGATGTAACCGCTGAGCTTCAGGCGGAGATCGACCTCGGAGCGCTGGCCGCAGGCCTTGCAGTCGAGAAGGATACGTCCGTCCTTGATGTTGACGTCGGTCTCGGGGTTCTTGCACTTCTTGCAGAGAACGAACTTGTTGATGAAGCCGTCGAGGTGGTCCTGCAGCTTGGCGGCATTGTGGGAGCCGTTGATGATCCAGCGGTCGTCGGCGGGGTCGACGTTGGTCTGGGCACCGAGCTCGAAGCCGAAGTACTTGATGACATAGGCACCGGGACGGGCGAGGGACTGAGCAACGCTGCTCAGGTTGACGACAACGGTCTTGATGCCGTTGCCCTTGCCCTCGATCTTGGTGACAATCTTCTCCATCTTGTAGCGATAGAAAGCGTCCTTGACATCGCGACGAACGTTGATGAGGGAAGCCATGATTGCGGTATTGATAGTGGGACGACTGAAGAGTCTTGTTGGGAAGTTATTGGTATAGAAGGCTGGTTAGAGTGGGAAGTAATGGGCTCGCGAAGCTGGTGGTGCAGTCGGTTGAGCGGACGGGTAGCATGAAGAAGCCGGAAGGTCGTTGGTTATGATCGGAATCGACGGTATGGCGACGAGGCTGGTTCGGGGAGGAGCAAGAAGGCGGACTCAATGCTCAAGGGTTTTTTTGATGGACATGTGGTAAAGCGAGACTGGATCGTCTTTGCTGTCGAGAATTCATGAACTCCTCTGGGTAACGGGATTTCAACCGACGGAACTGATGTTGGGGCTACAAGGTTTCCGCGCTATGCGAAATGATTGCAGCTTGGGGACAAAGTGTCTGAAGACGGTGGTATTGTCGTGCTGATACATAAACTGCTATGTGCCGTGTACCGCGTGAGGGTGTCGTTGTATGTTCAACTCTCGCGGGGGTGAGGACTCGGTGGTCGTTAACGCTGCGAGAGAGGATGCTGCTGGTGTACGGTTGCTGACGATACTGTGTTGTGTTTGGGCGAAGGTGGCGATATTTTCTCAGGAGGAGAGGGGGAGCAGAGGTTTTGTACGGGTTGCAGAGTTTACCGCGAGCGGGCACGACGTGCAGATGATGCCTAAGCAGGGCGGTGAAGTGGGAACTGCGCAAGGTGGGTTTAAGATAATTGCGATATGTGCTCGATGGATCTCCGAGCGGAGGGTTTTTGTGCGGTTTTTTTTCTTTCTTGTGGGTGGAAAGAGGAGAAAACGGAGGTGACTGGGTAGTGGGCGAAGAGTTTTGAAAAAAAAAGGTTGGAGTGGAGTGTGGTGGGAGGAGGCGAGAGACAGGAACAGGACAGAGAGTCAGGACATTTGGAGACACATGAAAAACGGTTTTAGAAAAAAAAAATTGCTTAACAATGGGCCGAGCACTGGTACGTTGCTACCTACTTAGGCAACGAACTGCCAATTACAGCACCCGGTCCTGCCAATACAGCTGCCTCAGCGCACCCTATTCACTATAGGGGCCCTTTGTCGAGGATGTACAACGTAGAGTACCTACCACCTACCTACCTACCTTGCCGAGACCGAGGCTGCGGGCGGGAAGTTTGGCGGCCTGGCAGCCTGGCGGGCCCCTGCCTTGTGCCTGTCAATGGCGCGCCACCCTCTAAACTCTGGAGCAAGCCGCCTCTGGGACTTAAGTCCGACTCGGAGGTCGTCGCGGTCTTTGTCGGTTGCCCCACGCGCGCCACCGGACCAGTCCAGTGCCTAGAATGCACCACGCACCACTCTTGGACAATATGCAGCCCAACCAACCCACTTGCTGCCCTGGCCCCTCCCGATTCATTTGGCCTCACTCCAAATGTTACTCTGCGCCCTGTGCGGTTTTCCATACATTGCTTGAAAACCAACCCCGCACTCCAAAGACGACATCAGCCCAGCCCGTGTACATGTGTTGCCCATCTGGTTCTTGCAGCTCTTTTCGATGTTTCATAGGCGGATGTGTCTCTCCCCACCCCGCCCAGCTTGGAAAACTGTCAGGCAACACTTGAGACGAGGTAAGGGGCGAGGCTTCTTGAATGACATTCAAAGGGAAACTGCGACAGCTCCGTGCCAGGGCACGGACTATCAAGCAGCGTGTTCCCCCGCCTCAGGAAGCGCAAATCCTACAGCAAATGTGTGAGCTTCAGGACGGTGACACTGGGACGGGATACAAAGGAAACAACAAGCGACCAAACGAACATGGGCGAAATCCCATTTGCCATCACCTGTGGGCCAGCCAAATCACATTTCAGCTTTGTAGGTACCATACGCACCCGCAGTCGCAGTCTGCAGCCCGCACGCCATTGCTCGCCTCGCCTCGCCTAACACCGGCCAACCAAGCCGGGCCACTCACTGCAAGTCATCCTTCACTTACAACTTGGCCTGGCAGGGCGGGAGGGGCCAGGCTGCCTGAGTCGTTCACGTAACCATTTCTGGCCCCAGTGAGGCCAAACGGGGTAGCATTTCTTAAGTCACTGTTCATTGGCCAACGTGCTTGTGAGGTTCTATTGTCGTTGTTGAGCTAGACAGGAGCATGCCAAGTTGTCTCATCCGTCACGAGGCACGATCCCTTTTTATTATTCACGTTTCTTCCCCAGATGCACCCCGTGTTTTTTATCAAGAGTGTTCAAACGCTTGAAGGAACGCCTAGCCGTTGGCTATCCGATTCTCTGGCAATGAACGCCTTCTGTTTCATATCCTCCTATTCATAGCCAAAAGGCACTATTCTTGTTTCTCACCAACAGGGACAAACTGCAGCAAACACCTCTGGCCCAGCGGCCGCGATGAGATGAGCTGGTCCGACATGGCCATCGACTCCGCCGTCATCGACCTCTCGGGGAGCGTCGTGTATCGGGAGTAGATGTCCGCCAGGAGCGTCTTCATCTCGGCGAGTGCTAGACTACACGAACTGAAATCAGCGACGAGCGCTCTCACTTGCACATAAGGGGACAGGCACGAGCAACTCACTGCTTTCCAACACAGCCCCTGCCTCCGTTGGCAAACGCAAACATGAGCCGCTTCCTCTCGGCGTCACCCGTCGCCTCCATCCACCTGTTCGGATCAAACACGTCGGGCTCGGGAAACACTTCCTCGTTGATGCGGTGGACAGAGTACGCCTGGCAACTGACAACAGTCCCCTCCGGGATGGAATACCCGTCAATGGTCCGCCCGCCCCGGGGCACGTACCGCGGCAGGGACATGGGTATGGCGGGGAAGCACCGCAGGCCCTCCTGCACAACGGCATCCAGGAACGGCAGCCTGTCGAACGCCGCGGCGCCCGCGGCCCCGGCGTTCTCCCTCAGCTCCCGCCGCAGCGCCTCCTGGAACCGCAGCGAACGCGGCTGCGAGAGCTCCCACATGAGGAAGCACAGCCCGTCGCCCGTCGTGTCGATGCCCGCCGCCATGTGGTCGAGGCACTCGCCCGCCATGTCGAGCTGATCCAGCCCCTGCTGGCCGCCGCTCGACTTCTCGTGCAGCCGGCTCAGAAGCGTGAACGAGGCCGGGTCGAGCTTCTTGCTGGACTCGATGACGAAGGTGTCGGCGAGGGGCGTCTCGCGCGGCTTAGCGAAGAGGTAGAGGATCCTGGAGAGGAGCTTGTGCAGCGTAGGGCTGTAGTGCTGGACGAGGCGGTCTGCGCGACGGGCGAAGACGGGAGTATTAGTCCGATCAGTGATCATTGCGCATGGCCTTGGGTGTTACTACTCACTCTGCAGGCTGTCATCGGCGGCGACCTGATGCATCATCTCCTCATCCGCCTCGTTCTCGAGGCAATTACTGCCGTACGGGTGGAACAGGTGATGTGTGACGCAGTCGCAAGCGTACGAGTGAAGACTCATCTAGCGGGGAGACGGCGGTCAATGGACCCGTCCAACGGAAGTGTTGCTTTGTTGCTGCAAGGCATCCCGACTTACAAAGATGTCGTGGCTCTTGCCTACGGACGCCTCGCATCGGTTGATGAACCGTTGCGACCTCTCCTGGATCCCGCTCAGGGGCGCCGGCCGCAGGACGTTGCTGTTCGCGTACCGGTCTGCGATGATTCTCTTCCGCTTCGCGTGCTGGCGACATGGTAAGCTGATTTCCTTCTGCTTTTCAAGTCGAATCATAATCATGACGCCCCGGGGGGGCGTACATCTTCCTTGTTCAGCGTTGTGAACATGGTCCTGAAAATGTAAGCGAATGCCGCCTTCATCAAACACAATGCCCATCACACACCTCCGTCCATAGACTCTGAACAGGTCGTAAAACTCCGTCTTGTCGTAGCCGCTGCCGCCAGAGCAGTAAATCTCCTTGACGGCCTCGTAGGAGGTGAAGCAGGCCTCGTTCGGCGCGACCCGGACGACCGGGCCATACTTTTGGTGCAGGCCGTGGACGTATCTCGTCCTGTTGGCGCGCAGCTCGTGCCATTTCAGGACGAGGGACGTGAAGGCCGATATCCGCGGGCCGGGCACTTTCCACAGCGGCGACGAGACGCAGCGGACGAGGTAGACTGCGACGAGCACGGCGGAGGCCGCTCCGAGGAATAGGGGAGAAAGCAGCAACATCTTGCGGTTTTCCTCCTCCGGTAAAAGGGAATGCCTCGTCCGTCAAAAGAAAGTGAGAGGCGCAACAGGGAGTCCAAAAAGGCAGACCGTTGAGTCGTGGGCGACGCCGGGGCCTCTTATCAGCTCCGGCCCGGGGACGATAGCGCTGGCTCAATCAAATGGTTTCGATTCGTAAATGGCCAAGCGCCGGCGCCGATAGGGGAGCCCGAGGGATGGGTTTTAGGTAACAGGAACCCACTGCGAACCCCAAACGAGGGGTGAGGGGCACTGTCACAACACCGATTACCCCTCCATACCTGGCCTCGGACGCAGAGGGGATAGGGGTGGTGACAGTGTCGTGGAGTTTGGCTGCAAAAGTCTCTTCGCTGCCTGCTTCTCAGAAGGCATTTGAGCAAAAGTACGAAGAGAGAGGTTGTGACAGTTTCTGGATTCAACTCATGGTTCCTCTACGCCGTCGCCGCCCGCCCGCCCGCCCGCTGCCTTTCATCCAGGCCCCAAGCCAAGACCAACTAACGCCCCGCCAGTCTCTGCAACCCAACTCCAGCCCCGGATCATACAAGTACAGCCGTCATTTCATAGTAGCAGCTCACGCAACAAGCCGGCAGCTCCTCACAGCTCGTCCCGCCTCTTAGTACCCTGTGTCGTCTTGTCATTGGAACTGCCTCCGCCAAACAAGCCGCTCAACCAAGACATACCAGGAATGGACACCGTTCCCGCCGGGGGGTACTCCTTGCCGTTGACCGTGACCTTGGGCGTGCAGGTGCACCACTGGTCCTCGGGCACGCCGCTGAGAGCCGCGGGGATGTGCGCGCCGCAGCCGCGCCAGGTCGCCTTTGCTGGTTAGGGGGTCGCGCGTTAGTGACTATTGCAAGTCTGAGCTGTATGAGTAGCTTGGGGTTCGTCTTACAGCAGGTCGAGCAGGTGACTCCGAAGCACATCTTGAAAATGAGAAAAATGCTAGTGCTGGAAAAGATGAGTTGGTGGGGGTGGGATCGGATTCGATAGCCGAGATGCTTATGAGATGAAGTGGGAGGCTGATGATTCAGATGAGATTAAGGTAGTGTCTTTTTTAGGTTGAACGATTGGAGCTAAGCGGATACATCCTGTGCCATGAGATGCCCAGGGATTAAGTATTCGCGGTGCCCGCGATCGCATAACCAGCCCGCACTTGGGGTCGCCGACCTGCATTGAGCATCGCCGCGGGCCATTGACCGAAAAGAGTGGGGTCTCGGCGCCCAACCCTACGTATCGCCGACCTCGCTCTTAATCCGGGGAAGTAGGGACTATTGCACAAAGCTGGACTCTGTTTGGGACTTTGGAGGTTTTCATAAAAGACGAACAAAGGTTTCTTTGAGGATCATCTCATGCCATACTCGATGACCGCTGTCAATATGCATCTGAACTAAAAGTCGGTCACTCCTGGATGCTGCTTGTTGAGGACCAGCTAAGTGCTTCGACATGTGGTAGACAGACACGGCGAAGTTTCACACTTGCTGGAGGAACTGAACCACCCGCTCTGCCAACCATTGCTGCGAATCTGGGTTCTTCACCGTGTGGCTTGCACCGGGGATCAAACCAGACAACTCATGGACCTTGGGGCTCGTCTTCTTCCACGAGTCGACCAGAGCTTGCTTGTCGATCTTGGCAGGAACGAACTCGTCCTCGGCGGACTGCAAGGCCATTACAGGCTGTTGGAACCGGTTCCAGACCTCAGATACGAACGACTCTTCAAGATCGGATGAGAAATAGTCGTCGTCGCCACTTTATCCCAGGTTAGTAGTGTGGGCTGTGACAGTGTGTGGACGAGGTCGCTTACCCCTTGGCTGCAAGAGAGTGCCAGCGGTACGCTGTCATAGGTGTCGAGAAGAAGGACGGCAAAAGATCTTTGGGAATCGCCTCGCCCTTCTTGCCCTCGGCTATTAACTCTTCTGCGCGCTTCAGGCTCTTCTGCAGCCACTCGGGATCAACAGAGTCAACGATACTCTCTCTATCGGAAACGGGGCCTTGGAGGATGAAGCCATCAACGGGGTCCTCCGTGTGCTTGGTGTATTCTGCGCAGTCCTGGTAAAGTGAGCAAAGAAATCCCGCACATGTCTCTGTGACTTATTCCGCGCACCTGGCACCCGGTTGAGTGGCCCATGAGGACAACCTTCTTTTTGCCGATACCTCGGAGATACCTCACGAGGGCCGAGATGTCCTCAACATCGTTCTTCAGACTTGAATAGCCGTAGCCGGAGAATGAGCTTCTCATCCGGATCTCAAAGATGGACCAGTCCTGTTCCGTCTTCTCCAGGTGCGTGGCGAGGGTTTTGGTGTATAAAACAGTATGGGGGCCATCGCTGAGACCTCCTATGAAGAGTATGGCATTCGAAGCTCCAGAAGGGCCAATCTCGTAGGCGCTGGCATGCGACGTCGGGGACTCGTAAGGGTGGACAATGCAAGGGAATGGCACTGAGGCCATTTTGCTTGCGATGGGTAGAGAACAAAGTCTGATTATTGGAAATTTTATTACTGCTGGGCTTTGTTGTTTGGATTGGGAATGCCCATGCAAACGTGGTTGTCGCGAGATGCAATCACCTCACTGCAGAGTTGGAGGGGATCCCCCAGTTGACGTAATACAGTGGAGGAAGTTCTTGGTGGGGGAGCTGCTACCTGTGCTCAGTGCTGGGCCTGCTGTTGCGAGCTCACAGCTTCCATAAGGTACCCTGGATGTCTACGAGCGACCCCCTGGCACAGCCATCTCATCTGGTAGTGGGGTTTGTCGCTACCTTAGTTATACTGGAAAAGGGTCCCGATTGGACCGCCGCAGTTAGGAACGTTGCTCAGGACGTGCTTTCTCACATCAACAAAGCAAAGTTGCCTTCTGATGTCTTTGCGCAACGACACGGCTTGTTTCTCAACTACACTCAATATCACTGCATCATCATTCTTCTTCTCAAAGGGCATACAAATTTGTCCTCTCATATTGAAACCTCAGTTGAACAACACCACGGACCCCCTTGGGACTGGCATGAGCGGAGTGATACCTCACAATGGCGACTAGTTCGGCCAACGCAAACCCAGCCCGGAATGAGTTCTTCCAGCAGGCTCGTGTCCCTTACCCGGTCATGGATACTCGCTAACTTCCTTACCAGCTTAAGCCATGCTGCGTCTCCATCAGTCAGCTAGCGATCCGGCACCAGGGCGAAACGTCCGCCTTGAAACGGCTCTCCGACTTGACCGAGGAATTGCTTACTATCCTTAACGATCAAGTCAACAGAGACGCCGCCGTATTTGACGAAAAGCTTGCCGACTACGTCTTCTTTCCGCTCTCCCATGTCTTCCGCAGTCATGACCAGTACCCCAAGCGCCTCATTGAAGTTGCAATCAAGTGTCTCACCATCGTCATCATCCATGGTTGGAAGTCGAACATATCGCCTCAGATCTTGCAGCAGCTCCTCATCCTACTCACTTTCATCGTTGGAGGAGTACCTGGGCGAGAGGAAGCCCGTGACCTGCCCGAGGAAACCGAACTCGAATCACTGAGGGCCCTGACCGCCCTCATCACCGTGGCTGGCACTTCGGCTAAAGCAGCAGCGGCGCTGACCGAAGAAAAGCTGATTCCAACACTGGGACACACCATTACCGTACTTCTGGAATGCGTCGCGAATGGCAGGACACCGGCAATCCAGCTGGAAGCTCTGCGCACACTCGGCTGCTTTTACACGGGCATCAAGGATCAAGCCGCACTCGCCTCCTTCCTCCCGGGAATCGTATCTTCTTTGACGAAGCTCCTTGCAAAGCCCTCGAGAGAGAAGAGCAGAGTTCTGATTGCTTCCGTGCAGTCAATGAAACAGGTTCTCGTGCAAGTTCTTGGTGATGTCAGGACTCGAAGCATTGCTGCAAGGCCGACCACCAACGCCTCTCCCGATGCCGACAAGGGGGATATATTGAGCCCGGCATGGCTGAACGCCACCAAGGCTCAAATCAAGTTGGCCCTAGCCACCGTGCTAAAGCTTCGTACGCATGATTCGCAAGATTTGCGCGAAGCTTTGCTGGCGCTATGCTTGGGGCTTCTCGACGAGTGCCATACCTCGCTGGAAAATTGCTCTTCGGTCCTCGTAGAAACCGCCATGATTCTGTTACCAACCAACCAGACTTCATCCATCGCAGCAACAAGTCTACAGGACCTGGCAATTATCTATCCCGAGCTTGGCGAAACCGTCAAAGTTACCTGCTACAACTGGATCACGAGTTTGCCCAGAATCATGCAGTCTGCTGACGAAGGCAAGAAACAAACAGCCGTTCAAAATCTGATGAGGGGCATGTCCCTTGTGAGCAGCCTCCAGTTGGACTCGTCACTCCTGGACGAATCCATAGCAGCGGCTTTACGGGACAGCGTTACTTCTTTGGTGACTGGAGTCAAGCCAGGTAAAGTGTTGGATCAGGTAGCAACAGATGCTTCGTGGTACAACCAAGATATAGTGAAGGCCGGCGATACGTCAAGACAATACCAGAGCGTCCTGTTGAGCCAAGAGAGTCAGTTAGGTACAAGATCGGCGATGCTCGAGTTGCTCGCCAACGTGGGCCCGGCTTCTCAACAAACCAAGCTCGCTGCCGAAATGTTGGACTACGCCAGAGATTCGACAGGGGATATCCAAACATCGTCCTTCTGGTTGAGCTTCGAACTTCTCAAGACCGCATTGGCTCGGTCCAGCGACCTAGATGATCTCCTGGACTTCTCCTCACTGAGCCTTGCCGGCGACAATACCGACTCGGTCTTTCAGGAACTCTACTCGTTTGCCGTGGTGTTGCTTGACTCTCACTCAGAAATGTCCGAGGTCGACTGGAGGCAGGAGGCTACCGCACTCGAGGTCACTTCTTTTGCAGCCTCTCGATCCGGCGAGGCATTCAGACCGGAACTCATCGATGTGCTGTACCCGATCACGACCTTCTTGGGTTCTTCAATTCCACAATTGAGAGAGCATGCCATCACAACTTTAAACGTCCTAGCTGCTTCCTGCGGCTATACCAGTGTCTCTGAACTGATCATCGAGAACGTTGACTACATGATCAACTCGATCTCCTTGCGCCTCAATACCTTCGACATCTCTCCAGCATCTACGAAGGTGTTGATCATGATGACTCGGCTGACGGGGCCGCGTCTGCTCCCTTATCTGGATGATGTCGTGGCTTCAGTGTTCGCGGCCTTGGACAACTATCACGGCTATCCCGTTTTTGTGGAGAGCCTCTTCGCGGTTCTCAAGGAGATTGTAAATCAGGGTGCTAAGTCTGATAAACTTCTCCTCGAGGGCCGTAAGAACGGGCCTGGGAGTCATAGAAAGGCAGAGAGTGACCCGGTGACAGTCGATGACATTGTTCGTTTACTGGAGAAGCGTCGCGAGAGAGAGGCTGCAGCCTCGGCTATCGATGCCAATCTCGAAAATGCCGGCGGTCATCCCCAAAGTCCCTGGGGCGCCGGGAACAGCAAGACCGTGGAAGATCATGAGGACGATGAAGGTGCAGCCGGCAATGAAGTCGGCAAGGAGAGACCGCCGAAAACACCGACGTATACCCTCCTGGAAAGAATCACGGGCTTGACGCAACATTATCTTACATCGCCAAGCCCCACGTTGCGGAAGTCCTTGCTCGACCTGTTGGCCACAGTTTCTCCAGCTCTCTCGGGCGACGAGGACTCGTTTCTTCCTTTGATTAATGCTGTATGGCCAGTGGTCATCAACAGGCTATATGACGAGGAGGCTTTTGTCACAATTTCAGCATCCGACGCTCTCTCCGTCCTTTGCACCACAGCCGGCGACTTTTTGGGCTCCAGGATCAAGACAGAATGGTGGGATGGGCTTGGCAAGTGGTGCCGCGCAAAAAAGCTGGAGGCCGCTCGTTCTCAGGGCAGGGGAAGGGCGCCTCAGGGAATTACCAAGTCAGGTCGGGCGACAGCACCTACGAGTCAGGGTCTCATCATTCCTATTCGATCAGGAAGCGATCTGCTCGGTCATCAGTCTACAGAAATGACCAACAGCTCGACCTCCGGCGGCTTGGGAAAATTCGCTCAAGCCGCGCAAATATGGGAGGCAGTGGTTCGTCTGCTAACAGCTATCGTCTCGCATGTTCGACTCGAGGCAGAGGTATTCGACGAGTTCCTGGAGCTCTTGACCGAAGTAATCATTCAGAATCCCGAGACACGCCAGGCGTTTGAGGCAGTCAATGCCGATGCAGTTTGGCTGGTCCTATATCAGCAAGGACATGTCGAGCCTCTGAAGACGCCACAACTCGAGGGCTACACCTTTCCGCCGATGACTGGATTGAGCTGAGCGAAACCGTGGAAGAGGGCTAGCCATGATACTGCGCCGAGTACTACGCCGAGTGAATTCCCACGGGATATCTCGACGTATTACCTCAGCGAAGCTTTCGGTTTCTTGCAGAAAACTCTCCTACGGTATTAAGCTATTGAGTGAAAGACCAGAGCCATTGAAGCTCAGAGCAGCTGTGGCATTCAATCAGAAGTCGCCAACCGGGAGCCAGCCGGCCGCTTGGGAGAAGCTAGAAGGCCGCTAGAATGTTACACTGCGTCTGGACTGGCGCCAGGATACCACTTATGCACGAGGGCCAGAGATCCAACCGGTTGCAGCTGAGCGTGTTGAAACTGTATGGAAAGCGGCATTCGATTGCAGGGCCCTAGGTGAATCACGACGCCCGGTTAATGTACATCGTACGCGCAAGCGGTCATGATTGTCGGCTGACGCGGGGTTGTAAACCATTCCCAATCTCTTCGGCGAGTCCGAGCTCTACTATGGCAGGGGATTGCTGATAAGAACACAACCATCCAATATGATAAGGGAATAGCCGACGTAAAGGGACGAAATTACGATGAAGAATGTCAAATCTCTCTAAACCCCGTTTTTGATGCCAACGTTGTCGAGGAAGCACAGAAATCAAGTGCTCCATCGACCCCGTTCCCATATGGGGTGGGCATGCGAGTAGTGGGCCAAGGTGTTACCCTGGAAATGTCTGCAGACAGCAGACAGGAAGCAGCCACTACCCCAGATCTCCACGAACGATTATTAAATGGGCAGATGGACCCTGGGCTGGGTTAGCGATCGAACACCAACAGGATGTCGCATGTCCTAGAGAAACCAGCCTCGATCCTTACTCCTGGCAAATATTATCTAGGCGATAGATTGGCGGTATACCTATGTTCTAGAGCACATTGACAAACGATGGGGATTGATGGGAGCTAGGTACAGAGGGCCAAGGGGCTAGGAGCGGCAAGAGATCCATCACATTGCTTGGCTCTCGTTCTGGCCAATGATGTCCCCAAAATCTGCAGCCGCCAAAGCTTGAATTTTCTCGGCGCCCAGAGACCTTGAAACTTCACGCTTCGATTACCTCAACTTCCATTCCAAACGAGTCTCTGTTGGTTGCAACTTTACTACAGACGACTGGAGTAAAAGGTGTGCACCCCGGCACGATAACCGATAATGTGCGCTGTTAACTTGATTTGAAATTACGACGGGACTGGACGCTATCACCAGACAGATTGACCCGAGTCAGATCGTGGCACCATACCCTTTTGCATCCGGGGACGCTACCCTTCACCCGCTATCCAATCACAGCGCCGTCCACCCCCTTCTGTCCTGTTTGGAATGGCCTTCTAGAACGAATAGCACGTAGCGAAAGCATGCGTCAATTGTTTGTCAGATACGGGTTGTGGCGACAATAACGTCGTCAATACTTTGCCAGCGCCACTGGCGTTGGAAGCTCGCGTGCTCGAGCGTTATCACTAAAGAAGGAACGCTCTTTACGCCCCCCCGGAGCTTCTAACCGTTTCTTGACCAGAGGCCGAGCCAGTAGATAGGATGTTTTGATCCCACAACGACAAGAGTAATGTAGATCCCCCACTGTCAAAGTTAAACATTTCGAGTCGCCTGCCTATGCTCTGGAGCGTCAAAAGACAAAGAGCATTCAGACGGCAAAGCACGGGAGACAGACGAAGCAACGTTCAACAAGGGCTCGATTCTCAAATGGCATTGGTCTCGTATTGGGACAACCTTCAGTTTTACCTTCCTTATCTATACCGCTGCATGTCCAGGCTAGCTTATCATCGCCGCAGGGGCACGGAGCAAGGGGTGGCTGGTCTAGAGAACCTGTGGAGGTCGGCCGGGGGAAATGCCAGAACCTAGAGTACCGCCGAGAAAGCCAAGATATCAAACTCTCTCGAGCCAATCACTGGCTTCGTCCCAACGACTTACCACCACCACCACCATGCGAGATGTTGACCAAGCTTTGCCCCAGAGCTGAGCTAAGGCACACGCAATGTCCTGATTGAGCAGTACCTGTACGCACGCCGTGGCGGGTGACAATGGAACCGCCCTAGGCTGTACCCAATCTGCTTCGGCTCTGGTCCCTTTGGGGGTGGGCCGTCTTATCGTCGGTGAAAGCTTGTGTTGTCGACCCTCGCCTGAGATGTCAAGGGTCTAGGCCTCACGAACTGCCTGCCTCCCTTGTGTAAGACCAGACTAACGCAACGGCGTGGCCGGGTGAGTGGTATGTTAGAGTCCTGGCCCCATGGCACTGGAACATCTCATGGCAGGCAACAGGGGCCAAGCGAAGGTTGCACCGTACCAAACGTCCCAACTACTGCCTCCCGCTCCTGTTGCGAGCCGTCGATTCCTCTTCTATCCGTTGCGTATATATATCAAGGCCCGCTTGGCACAGACACCCAGAAGTTCACAACCTGTGCTTTTGTCCTTCACCGGCTCGTCCGTCTCTGCTCTATCAACGATTTCGAGGCACACTTGGAATTGTTCGCCAAAATGTCTTCCCAACCCGTCGTCGTCGATGACGAGAAGAACTACGTCAAAGACCCTGCCGTGAAGAGCCAGCCCGACAGCTATGATGGTTCCCACGATGAGGAGGTCGGCGTCGTCGGCAAGGGCCGGCCCCTTCAAAGGAATCTCCAGAACCGACACATGCAGATGATCGCTATCGGTATGGTTCGACTTGCACAAACAAGGTTTACCCGATTACTGACTTGCATCACACAGGCGGTGCGATTGGTGCTGGTCTCTTCGTCGGATCCGGTGGTGCTCTCCGAAGTGGTGGCCCGGCTGCTCTGGTATGCCTCTTTTGTTCCACGCTGAGTTATTGGTACTAACCAGGAGACGAACAGATCATTGGCTATATGATTGTTGGAGTCATGTTGATGTTCACAACCCAAGCCCTTGCTGAGATGGCTGTCCTGTACCCCGTCAACGGTGCCTTCTACACCTACGTCTGCCGATTCGTCGACCCTTCCTGGTGAGTTTCCAAAGCAACCCGCGCATACGCTGTAAGTCTCCTCTAACTAGTCGTAGGGGTTTCGCCATGGGTTGGGACTACGCCATCGCCTGGCTGACCGTCCTCCCCTTCGAACTCGTCGCCGCCAGTATCACCATCAAGTTCTGGCGTGACGACCTCAACATGGGTATCTGGGTCGCTGTCTTCCTCATCGTCCTGGCCATCATCCAGATCTTTGGCGTCCGAGGCTACGGCGAGGTCGAGTTCGTCCTCTCCCTCATCAAGATCGCCGCCTGCACGGGCTTCATCATCCTCGGCATCATCATCAACTGCGGTGGCGTCGGCGACAAGGGATACATCGGTGCCAAGTACTGGCACGACCCGGGCGCTTTCCAGAACGGCTTCAACGGCTTCGCCGGCGTTTTCGTCGTTGCGGCCTTCGCCTTTGGCGGTACGGAGCTGGTCGGTCTCGCCGCCGCCGAGTCGGCTAACCCGCGCAAGGCCGTCCCCATGGCTAGCAAGCAGGTCTTTTGGCGCATTGCCTTCTTCTACATTGTCAACCTCTTCATTCTCGGCCTCATCATCCCGCCAGTGACCCGCGTCTCATGGGCTCCTCGGGCGCCAACACAAAGGCCTCTCCCTTCGTTCTCGCGATCCAGGACGCCGGCATCAAGGTCCTACCCTCCATCTTCAACGCCGTCATCACCATCTCCGTCATCTCCGTCGCCAACAGCTGCACTTTCGGTTCCACCCGCACAATGCAGGCCATGGCCGAGGGCGGCATGGCCCCGCGCTTCCTCGCCTACATTGACAAGCACGGTCGTCCCATCTGGTGCGTCCTGATCCAGCTTGCCTTTGGTCTGCTCGCCTTCATTGGTGAGTCTGCCGACAGCAGCACCGTCTTCTCCTGGCTCCTCGCCCTCTCCGGTCTCTCGTACTTCTTCGTCTGGGGCTCCATTTGCCTGGCGCACATCCGTATGCGCATGGCCTGGAAGCTGCAGGGCTACACCCTCGAGCAGATCCCCTACAAAGTGCCCCTGGGCATCTGGGGCAGCTCTATCGGTTTGTTCCTGAACATCATCTGCCTCATTGCCACCTTCTACAACGCTCTCTACGTAAGTGCCCTCTATCCCATATCTTCCTTTAGCCCTCGGGCAATCCCAGGCATCATCAGAGAAGAAGACATCGCTAACAGACCCGTGTCAGCCCTCCCCCAACGCACAGCCCGACGCCGAGGCCTTCTTCACGGCTTACCTTGCCGCCCCCATCGTCCTCTTCCTCTACATCCTCTGGAAGCTCATCTCTCGCGACTGGACCCTCTACGTGCCCCTCCGCGACATCGACCTCAAGACGGGCGTCATCCTGGCCGACCCCAGCACCGACGAGCCCGAGCCCGAGAAGACCTGGGCCAACCTCCCCACCCGCATTGCTCGCGCCCTGTTCTAGCCGACGGCGGCGACAGCAAGCACCATCTCGAATGCGTGCGACCCTCCATCATCATCGCTTGAGATAATATTGTGTAAAAAGCGTGTGGGGAGACGGGTGTGGAAAAGGAGGCGAGTTGGAAAGCAAGACATGTACCTAGAGTCTGAGAAGCGGTGGAACCGTCACATTAAAAAGATACCAATAATTGAGTTTCCGTCAGCTGTTTTAAAAAAGACTTCGCCCCCATTGTCAGTGAGCTCGCAATGTGAACTCCTCACGTTTACAGTGGCGAGAACGCATTCTTTTCGACGCAACCAACTTCTGCCACCCTACGTAGGGCTGCTGGACAAGAATACAGCTGTCGGACGAAGAGCTCAGACGCGGTTCTACTGCACGTGTAGACACATTTGCATTCGGCAGTGTCCTTTAAACACAGAAACATATGTACAAGAAAGTGCTCTATTGAAAAAGGACGTCGACTCGGCACGGCGCTGCTCGCGCGCAAAACATTTGACGATCTCTACGCTCGCTTGTCCAGTGTATATATTCAGTTCTAAACCCAACCGCTTCCATCGAACGCGATCCGGCACTCAGAGACCCGCTGTAGCCAGCATGGTGGGCTATCTACTAGTTCGCTGCTCGCCCGCTTCCGCTGCGAGGTCTCGCTCCACCATCTCGATCGAGCCCAGACTAGGGAACCGCTTCGAGAAGTCCTGGACGTAGTCGTCCTTCTCCTTAGCCGACATCTCCAGCACCGGTCGCCCGGGGAGCCCCACGCCGACAAGATGGTCCGAAGACATGGAGGGGGGAGCCTGTGATTGCTTCGGCGGCGAGCCGGGCCGACCACCGGTCGGTAGGCTGTTGAGGTGCATCGGCTTTCGGGGCGCTACCGGCCGCGGGCCGGGCGTGGACCGTCCCGCTGTCGGCAGGGGCTCGCTTGCAGACGGCCGCACCTTGTTGACCATCACGTCCTGCGAACTGGACGGCGTCATAGGCCGAGGCTTGACGCCGCCGACTGGCTTCCTGGGAATGTCCGGGAGTTGCTTGTCCAGTCGGCCTGCAGCAGGACCCGCGTCTGTGTAAACGCCGTATCCTTGAGCGGTGCGCGGGACCTGGGCGGAAGACTTCTGACCCTCGCTCAACAGGTTTTGTACCCTATTCTGGATGCTGACAGCCCGAGACACTCCGCCAATACTCTTTGGCAGAGGCGCAGAGCTGCCTGGGCCTGAACCCTGGTTAGAAAAACGTTGGCGGTACTCCGCGGCCGCAGCCTCGACCCGGCGTTCCTCCTCCTCGAGGCGCAGGCGTTCGAGCTCCCGTCTCATTGCGGGTGTGTCTTCGATCTCTTCGTGCCCCTTACCATCGTCAGTCCGGCCATCGGTGGCCTCCGATCCTTCAATGGGAGTCAACGCGCTGCGGTCCAGTTGCTTGAGCGGCGACGGAGTTCGAGCAGGCGGTGGTGCTTGATTTCCCTCGAACCGTTTGAACGCATCACCAAACTTCCCGGCAAGTATGTTCTTCGTCCCAGACAAAGAACCGAGACTTCCACGTTTACCGTGTTTCGAATGCCGGTCTCTCTTCTTTGAGTCCGACTCCTCCATGCTGCGCAGGAACTCAACATTGGATTCAATGTGGGCTTCCTCCTCTGGCTCCGCCATTGCAGGTGATGGTACTTTGTCAGGAAACTTCTGAGACATGAGACTAGGGGAAGGAAGGGGCTTTGAGGAGCTTTCTTTCTCGCGCAGGAAGTCTAGGTTTGACTCAAGATGGGTGCTGATAGGCCTGGGACGGCCGTCGATTGATCTTCTCGGTTGGGCGCTTGAATCCAGAAGCTCCAAGCTTGGCCGTCCGCCTTCCAATGACGGCCGCGATGACGACGGATGTCGGACGTGGGTCGGGCGGAGCTGGTAGGAAGGGTTACGAGGGAGTGGCCCTTCTTCTCCGCCCGGCCGCGACGGCGCGTTGTGGTCTTGCTGGCGGGGAAGGCTGGTCGACCGGTGGTGGTCTGACGTGGGAACACGCCACACCGGCATTTGCTGTGGAGGCTGTTGTTCTACAGGCGGAGAAGTCGTCATTGTGCCGGTTGATACATATCTGGATGGCTGTGGTTGAGGCTGGTACTGAGCCTGAGATTGAGACGAGATGGCCTGCAATTCGGGGTTCTTGTTGATAATGGCATGCGCTCTGCTCATCTCGGTTGGCTTTGGAGGAGCAGATGCCGTCTTGGTAAGTCCAACGGTGACCGGAGGAGGGGATTTAACCGTCGGTGGTGTATAAGAAGCGGCGACGGTTGGGGCAACAGTCCTCGGCCGCACCGGCTCCGAGTTCTTTGGTGGGGACTGGGCCGCCGGATACGCTTGATGCACAGGCTTCTCAGCCGGTTGCGGGACCGGGACTCTCTGCTGCTGCGCAGGAGGGGGAGTGTGCGAGTCAAAGTTGAATTTCGAACCTTGCTCATGCAGAATGGAAAACTGATCCAAAGGTGGGAAGCGAGACGCAAACTCGTCGACGTCTCCGACCGCAGCCGTCGACGTTGCAGCAGCGGCTGGCGCATCCAGAGCGGCGAACGGATCCCCGTCAGTCACCCGCATGGGAGATGGGCCGGGTTTGGCAGTCTGTTGAGATTGGGGTTGTTGACTAGCAGCTGGTAACCTTCCTCTCCTCATAGGTACTATATCAGGAATAGCCTGCTCCTGTTGTGGAGGAGGGGAGAAAACAGCGCCAACAACTGGCTTAGATTGGGGCTTGCCCGCCACTGAAGACTGACTCTGTGGCTCCGAGCGTTGTTTCCCAGCGTATATCTGTCACATCTTAGTCAAGCGTCAAAGAGGCAAAACTTTGGGCGAACCAACATCTTGAATGGGGACATCACGCCCCTGCATAGCACATCCTTCGCGGAGGACCTGGTAGATGTTTGGCCGGGCCTGTGGGCTCTCACGCAGCATAGATCCTGATTCACATTAGTGACTGAAGTACGAACCACGTCTACGCGAACTTACCAATAAGTTTCTTCAGCCGGTCTGAGAACACGGGGTAACTGGGGTATTTGAAGCTTGCATTGAGAATAGCCAATTGCCCCTGGTCCTCAAAAGGCGTCGTGTAGTAGCACAACTTGTACAGTAAAACGCCCAAAGCCCAAATATCAGATTTCTCGTCGATAGGCAGCTTCCGGTAGACGTCAATCATCTCCGGACTTCGATACTGCATGGTGGTGTGCTTTTGCACGTCCTCATCCAGGAGCCTGCACTCAACGACTGTCTGGGGCGCGGGTTTGGGCGGCGCAGCGGATCCAAAATCGCAAAGCTTGAAACGCTTCTGGGAGCCGTGGGTGAGAATCAAGACGTTTTCGACTTTCAAGTCGCGGTGAAGCAGTGGCGGCTTGAGGTAGTGCATACAAGCGACTCCCTCGGCAATGTCTGTAAAGATGTGGAGGATCTCGGGCTCAGTCAGGCGGTGCTGGAGACGCGTGTTCATAAAGTCGATCAGGCCGCCTCCGTTGCAGTGCTCCATGAGCAAGAACACCTCGTAGCCTCCTCCTCGCATCTCAGATGCATGGGAATCGATGTACGTAACGATAGGGCGATGACCCTTGAGCCGCTTCATGGTCTCGACCTCGGTTCGCATGCTTCGTAGGGAATCCTTATCGGGGACAGCCACTCTCTTCAGGACAGCCATGTCCGTGCCATCGACGGCTTTCGGGAGCTTGACCAGATAAACGTGGGCGAAACCTCCCTCGGACAGATATTTCTGGATCACCACCCTATGACCACCGACTTGGATCTTCGTGCCGGGTGCGAAGGTGCCAGCAGGCGCCGTGGCTACAGGGGCAGGCATTGGAGCGCCATATGTGGCAGGATTGGCAACTCGCGGGGCCGCAGCGGGCATGTGATGACCGTACGATGCCATGTTGGCTGTATTCGTTCGAGGATGTGTCGTCGGCAGGAGGTGTCGTGTCGCCGCCCGAGGCAGCGGAGACTTGGCAGGCGGAGGGTGAGCGGGAGGTCGAGGTCGGTGAGAGGATGGAGGAGCGAAAGGATGGGAGGACTACGAGAGCGACAGTGGCATCGAAGAGCGTTAGCGACCCGGGCAAGGCACAATCAAGCCATTCTTTGGGTGTCGATGGTGTCTACTGTTGTCTTTGATGAGTTGGTTCTAGGTTGCCGTTAAGCTGGACCCAACCTTGGACATGCGTAGTGCGTGGTTCGCAGGTAGTTACGGAGTGTCCATCAGCCGCTATTAGTGGTGGAGCGCTGGCATAAGGCCTTGGGGAGCTAACCAAGACCCTGGCACACTCTGTTCCATGTTTCGCAATGCAGTCGGGGAAGTGTCGGGTAAATGCAGCCTACAGCTATCATTGGCTATTCTGTCGATGTCAGCGGGCTGCACCAGGCGGCACCAAGTGTAAATCTCCTCCAATTCCGAAAACGGTCAGGCCGAGATCCAGATTCCGTGGTGGGGGTGTCACTCTGTCCCTTCAGCTTGAGGCACTCTTACGTAGTTGCTTATCGATACGCGATAACGATAACGAACTTGTCGAGCGACCGATAATTTTTTATTTTTTTTTCCTGCTTGGGGTGTCTCGAGCCTCTTGGTTTGCGCTGCAGAGCTGCACCTTTTTTTTGTCTGATCTTCCACGCTAGAAAACCCTACACACGCCTAAACAGACAACCACGAAGACGATTCAAAATGGCGGCAAAGAGAAAGAGAGTCGAGATCGCGGAGACGACCCCTGCCGCCAAAACGGCACCTGCGAAAAAGGCCAAGGCGACTACCACCAATGGCTCGACTTCGAAAGAGACAACCTCAAGCGCTGCCCCGGCCGAAGAGTTGACGATCCAGATCGTGACAGGCTCCTATGACAGAGTCCTCCACGGCATCGCTGCTACGATAAAGCCCGAGGGCAAGGTCGAATTCGCCGACACATTCCTTTTCTCCGCGCATACTTCAGCCATCCGTTGCATCGCCCTGTCGCCTCTCTCGGCACCCGTCCCCGGCCAGGGCCAGAAGGTACTGCTGGCATCCGGCAGCACAGACGAGCGCATCAACCTCTACAACCTGTCGGCGCACCCCCCGAGCCGCAAGAACCAGGAGCTTCTGTCCGCCGTCTCCGCTCGGCCGATCCTCGAGAACCCCAAGAACCGCGAGGTCGGAACGTTACTGCACCACTCGTCGAGCATCACCAGGCTGGCCTTCCCTACGCGGTCAAAACTGCTTTCCTCGAGCGAGGACTCCACCATCGCTGTCGCGAGAACGAGAGACTGGTCTGTCTTGTCGACGATCAAGGCGCCCATAGCCCAGCCCTCCGGCAGGCCCAGCGGTGACACTGCACCCTTTGGCGGTACGCCTTCTGGTGTCAATGACTTTGCCATCCACCCTAGTATGAAGTTGATGATCAGCGTCAGCAAGGGCGAGCGGTGCATGCGGTTGTGGAACCTAGTCACTGGAAAGAAGGCCGGCGTCTTGAACTTTAGCCGCAGCATGTTGCAGGAGGTTGGAGAGGGCAGAGTCTCAACCGGCGAAGGCCGGCGGGTAGTTTGGGGAAAGGCGGACGGCGAGGACGAGTTCGCGGTTGGGTTCGACCGAGACGTCGTCGTCTTCGGCATGGACAGTGTCCCCAAGTGCCGCGTCATGTCCGATACGCGGACCAAGATTCACGACTTGTCCTACATCACCATTGACGGCGAAACCGAATCGAGTTTATTGACAGTCTCCACCGAGGACGGACGGATTCTGTTTTTCTCTACGGCATCAAACGACCTGAAGAAGCCCGACTCTGAGGACAAAACACTGTCGAGTGCCAAGTTGGTTGCTCAGATCGGTGGCAAGGAGGATGGCGTGATTGGTCGCATCAAGGACACGGCTTTTCTGCAAGTCAAGGAGAACGATTCGACGACGTTGTTCGTTATTGCCGGCAGCAGCGATGGCAAGGTGCGATTGTGGACGGTTGGCGCGGAGGAGCTCAAGGCCAGCAAGAGCAAGGGCAAAGGCAAGACCGAGGCGAAGCAAGCTGGTAAGCTGCTGGGAATGTACAGCACAAACAACCGCATCACCTGCGTGGCGGCATTCACCATGATACCCCGGCCGGAGGGAGTGGAGGAGAGCGAGGACGAGGCTGACGAGGACTCGGATGATTCCGACGATGACGACGAAGAGTAGAATCAAAAAAGTAAATGTGCAAACAACAACGATAATTCGAGATATCCAATTCAATTGCTGTACCCGTACCTACTTCAACCGAGAGACAGCGAGAGAGTGTGTGTGTATGTGCGTATGCCTGACTATGAAGTTCAAACAGCGGACGGAGGCTCGGTCCCGACTCACCGTCGCCCGACGTTGCCTCCTCGGGTTGGCTCGTGCAGGGAGTCCCGCTGATCGGCGCGTCGGGCGTGTCTCGTATTAGTCTGCAGATTGCATGCTAATCCCCAGTTCTGTCTTTGTAGCACGCGCGCCCATTTCCATTTAGGCACGTCTTAGTGGGCTAAAGGTCGAGGGTCCGACCTTCTCCAAGGTTTCGACGGGATTAGAGCGAGAACGCAACCGAGGGAGAAAAAGGAAAAACTTGGCCATCCGCAAGAAACACACACGAGCGCGGCAGCACGTTTGTCTGAGGTGAGATGAGAGGCGTCGTCTAGTGTGCGATGCCCCGGGCCTCAGCTGTGTCTCCCGAGTCCCCCGTCCGTCTGTATGCCTCCCTCGAAAGTCGCAGACGAGGTGGGAGATGAGTGTGGTAAGTATTTTTAAGGGGGGCGAGAGGGAGAGCGGCAAGACATTGGACCCCGACGGGAAGCGAGGCTATCGCCGTCCTCCCGTTCCCCCTGGTTTCTGCCCTGATTGATGGCCGTATGCGTGCACTCGACTTTCGCTCTAGTCAAGACCCAAGAACCGAGTTTTCTTTCCCTAGCATTCCTCCCCAACTTTTCAGACATTTGGTCAGGGAACAATGCTGAGCATGCGGACTCCTCGGGAACCACCGAAGAGGCTAACCTCTCTCTCTTTCCCCTCAAATACCATGCCTTACATCAGCCACTGAGATAATGCAGACCGTGACCCTCACAATTCCAGGGTCGTACCGGCGGGGCCCAAAGGCACATGCTAGAGAGCCGAAACTCCATTTCTCATGCCGCCGCAGTCACAAGACGCCGCGCAGGGACGGGAGGTTGGAAGCGGCACACATGGTGAGGAGAAGCAATATGCAAAGGTGCAGCAGCGCCCGGTCAGGTACGACGTGAGGAGAGGAGAGGAGGCGGTGGCTCAAGGGAAACGGAGAATTGAACCGGGGTGGCAGATTGTGGGGTAGCGGCGAATCAGCAGGCCAAGAAAGTCATTTCAACACCCGAATCTGGCGGGCAACCAGTCATGTGGCTCCACTTGGGGGACAATCCCTATTGCATGCAGTTGGGGCTTGGCGCCGGTCTCCTCCATACCCCTAGCTTCGACTCATTTGCCCTTTCTACATAGACCTATGCTAATACCCTGTCCTCAACAGCGGAGAGCCACGTAAAAGCGCAAAATGTGTGAAATATGCAGTTTCGGCCCATTGGACTGGTCCTGAGGCAACGGGGGGGGGATCTTTACCTTGCCAGGCCACTCAATGGCAAGCGTAGTGCATATGCATGCAGAGCTGAGGGGAGAGCAATGCAAGTGTTGTACAGTATCTGATGCAAGTGAAGAGAGCATCGAAGAGAAAAATGGCAGCGCAGGGGACGAAAGCATGGGTAGGTCTCCATAATGTACAAAACATGGTTGTTCCGCACTCGAGAGGTACATATGTCGAATGGGAAAACCGTGCAGATCTAGGCATGTGAATATTTCCCATCCCTTCCGGTGCAACTCCCCTCTCTCTCTCTCTCGCTTCCTCACATTTGATCTCGGTCCCGGCTGCCGCAGTTCTGTCTTCCCTAGACAAGTCTTTCCCTTCCCGTCTTGTCCGCGCCCGACTCTACTGCCGTTGCTGGTTCCCCCATCAAGCCACACAACGCAGCGACCACACCACCACCACGCCGAAATTCCCCTCTTCTCGTCCGTCGCCCGCATCTGTTTTACCTTTGTGTTTGGTCGCTGTCGTCGTCCCGAGCAAAGACGCGCCAGTAGCACGCACCGCACACCCCGTACATCCACACTCCGACGCACGCACTCACGCACACACGGCCTCTGCAGACCAGACCACTCATGCTGACCTGGCTGTCACGGACACGAGCAAGCCACGGCGAACTGGCCTCTGGGAGATGATGCCGCCGCCGCCGCCGCCGCCGCCTCCACCTTCATTCCCGTCGCCTTACCGCATGCTCCATTTTCGTCGCATTGCCAGTCGGTAGCCTTAGTCGGTCCCTATTGCATACTCGTCTTTCCTACTGCTCCCCTCTTTCCATCCCTCCACTCTTCCCACCACCCACGAGAACCTTGACCGGGGCTTGTCTTGCATCAGCTCCTCCGAGCTCGACCTCTCATGCTCCATAGTCAGCTCGTCGTGTTTCCCAACAATTTCTCAACCCTGGATTCTGCCTTACAGCCTTTACACAACTCCCAACTCGTAAAGCTCGTAAAGCTGTCGACCCTCCGCTGTTCGTCCCAACTCTTCATCCATCACTAGCTTGAGGCCATTCTGTAGCCCACGTGAGGCGAGACAGTTGCCTCTTCATCTGATTTTACCTGTGACGACAACAAATCCTGCCACAAGGACGTTTGCGGGGACGATCCATCCATCTACATAAACATTAACATCGCGGACGCCCTCGTACGTGCGCCCTGTCTCTCTGGTGTTAGCACGCCCTCTCTCCCACTTCCCCATCTACGAACCCACTCACCAGCTGGATGTCTAACCCTTTTGTCCTAGAGTCTCCAGCCAGTCTTCTCTACTTGTCTACCCACGAAATCGATTCACACCAGCATCATGGCTGACGACGGCCCCCGTCTCATACGGCCCATCCCACGCCGGCCCTTCGACTTTAACCATGCGAATCCGACTCCTCCAGAAGACAACTCGTCATCACCTAGCCCCAACCCCGAGATCGATCTGTCTAGACTGCAAAACGGCCAGGCGGCGTCGTCGGAATCCGGGTCCATACCACGGGCCCAGTCTGTGTTGAACTTGACGGCCTCAACGCTGTTCGGCATATACTCCCCAACGTCCTACGGGAAGGATCGCTCCTACAACGACCGGGACGAACCAGAAACCCCATGGGGGACCGGGGCCCAGACACCAGTCAAGCAGGCGGGTGTTGACGATGCAACTTTTGAGTTCATGGAGGACCGCTCGAACCTGATGCGCCGGCGGTCGTCACATCGGAATGGAGTCAAAGCCCCCTCGTCGTCAACCGCGGCCACCGCGCTGTTCACCATCTCTCGAGTTGCACTACTCTTTGTGATCGGTATGGGGTACGGCATGATGGTCACCCGGCTGCAGAACGAGCACCGATTCTCGTCCTTCCAAGTCGAAAGCATGGTCAAGCCCGGCTACGACTGGCAGTATCTGACGCTGTGGGGCTTGTCCGGCGTGGTCCTCGGCGGCCTTCTCCCTTGGTTCGACGGCGTGTGGGAGGATACCTTTGGAAGAGAAGAAGAGGCTGGCAGCCCGCCAGAAGATGGCAGCCCGGTAAAGGACTGGGCTCTGGTCGTCCGCAGCATAGGCGCTTTCGTCGGTATCGTTTTCGCCATTGTAAGTTGCTCTTCCATATTGGCATTGGGGACCAAGAATCTAAAAATGAGCAGCGTAAGCTTCCTTGGGCATCGACTTTGCAGGTGTCCCTTACGTTGGCGCTTGTCAACCCATTTCTGTGGTACTTGATTGACCGCTCGAAACCCGGTTTCCTGCTTTCGGCGGCTGTTGGCCTTGCCGGATCAGCGGTGCTGATGGGCATCAACCCCGACGTAATGCCAACGCCGTCGTCCCTGACCTACCGAAACGAGTCAGAGAGGGCCTATTCGGAACCCATCACTCTCGGGGGTCTCGCCAGCCAGGAAACCATAGAGACAGGCATTTGGATGCTAAGCGTTCTGTTCTGCAGTTGCGTCTGCTTTGGAAACATTGGCAGGCGATTGGCGCTGAACAAGTCGGCCACCGCACGTGGGCGATGGGCCGGAATTAGATGAAGGACGGCGTTCATGTATAACGGTTCGTTTGTTTCGGGACTGGGTGATTTCGGATCACAAAGTGCGTTACTTTTGGCTGGACGAAAATTCTCGGAATAGGTAAAAAAGAGAGCATACCCAGACGGATAGGGGCACTCTGACGATGGATATCGTCGAGTGCATTGCTGTATCGATTATGAAACAGCGTAATGAGACTTCAGCGCTGATAATCTGCCGAACCATTCGGTGGCTGTCTTTGGAACCCACATCCTCTTATTTCTCGCGTGCCTGAATAAGGTGACCAACGTGGCGACTGCGGCTCCGAAGCTACCACCTCGCCCGTGTGTGGTTATTTGTGGCTCCATTGGAATCCATTCGCGGCCTGAGTATTTCTTTACCCGTCCGTCAGCTCATGAACCGCGCGCAGCCACGTACGTACACCATTCCCAGGTCAACGGGTTGCAGCGACGACAGCTAGCTCACGCCGTCCTGCTTCATACACAGCCGTCATTCCATGGCAAAGCTACACCTGTCCACCCCTCGTGCAACTCATATTCGGCTACTACCTTACTACATTCTTTGTGGGGAACATTCTCCTAGCTCAATATTTGCACCATCGTTCCTTTTTTGGCGATTTCTCCTCCTCCGCCGTCACTTGCTTGACTGTTGTAACATTCCAACCGCTTGTTTCGTCCATGGGGTTTCCCCTTTTGAATCTTAAAAGTTCTTTGTCATCTCCCTTCCCCCCTCTCCCGACTGTTGTAAAACACACACGCGTCCCTCTACACGCCCTGTTTGACCGGGGGCGCTGCGCCTTTCACTGGCCCTGGGCAATGGCATCAACGACAGCCTGCGCCCTGGCGGTGATGTCGCTGCCGTAGTCCACCTGCGGGAGGCCCATCATGGTGAGCAGCTTTGGATTGCCGACCATCTCGTTGACCGTGATGGATCGCCCACACACGTCGGCGAAGGACTCGGCCGCAGCGTCTGGGCCGGTTCGACCTGGGATCCCCATGTCAGTTGGCAACACCAAAAAAAGATAAAGAAAGAGAAGAGACGGAAAATGCTCCTCTTTTTCTTCCCCGGGTTTCTTTGGTTTGGGTGTTTTTTTCATCTCTTCGTCCCTCCGTGCATACGGCCGGCCGGCTTGGCCCGTTGGAGGGTGGGGTACGGGTACGGCGTCCGGCACCGCCCATGTGCGGGCCTGCTGCCAGAGCAGTGGTATGCTCGGGCGGAGTGGGGGCGGGTGCGGGTATATCCTAACCTGATTTCTGCTGCGGGATCTGCTCTGGGTGCTGCACGGGCTCACCGTCACGGATGTGATCGAGCTCGGTCATGATGTAACGGGAGCGGTTGACAAAGTCCCAGACGTGGAAGAGACCCCTGTGGGGGTTCGGCGGGATCCAGGCTGGGTGGGCCTCGAGGGCCGCGATGAGGTCGGAGAGCTTCTCGGTGATGGCGGCCCGTACCTCGGGGGACGGGAGTGTGGTTGTCATCTTGGCCTTATATCCGGGTGCGAAGAACGGCGAGGTCGAATACAATGGGCGAGGACAGATAGAAGAAGCGGATGTGACGATGTCGGGTCGTGGGAACCGTCAAAGAGTTTGGCTGGAAAGAGGCTGCAAGACGAAGCTACACGCAATGGGCACCGGTTCGTAGGGTAGAGGAACAGGAACAGAAAAATTCAAAAAAATCTCTGCAGAGCCTCTCCATTGTCGAATAAACTGTCACATGGCGAGTTTCCTCATCTGTGAGTTGTCGGTGAGGGTAAACCAGGGTTTGGAACGCGTTGCCGCGTTATTGTGGCATGTCCCATCGCACAGACTCGGCTGGACAAAGAGCAAGCCACAGCTTCACTCGAATTAGGTTGCGTGCTGCTGAGGGGAAGTGGGTGGAGTCGAAATGGCGGGATCTGGGTGACTAGGTTGAATGGAGGGGTTCGAGGGGTTGATGGGGTCAATGGCTGGTCCAGAACCGAAGATCTGCTCTGGTTCTGGAATATCAATTGCAGAGTCATTATACCTATATGATGGGCAATGTGTATGGTTGCACAGAGACTTCTGTCGAACATCAACAGCCGCAGAGCTAACCCCCTCCCGTTTCCCGGCTTTCGTTGGTGTGGCGCTTTCTTTCCTTTTTCTCTATTTGGAGAACCCCGACCCTTGAGAACTAAGCAAGTCGGGTAGGACAACTGGTCTTTGGACCGAGACAATGCTCTTCTGGCCGAACCATGCAGGTTTTCGGACATCAAACCTTGGGGGCTGTCATGGAGCGGACGATCCTGCAAGAGCTAGTACGGAAAGATTGGTTATCCCACATACTAGTGCCTGTACAGAGGTAGGCACCTAGTTGAGGATGTGTTCATGAGGCTGAAGCAGTGGAATAGGATAAAGCTCCCCCCCCCCCCCCCCACTCTCATCTCATAGCTCTCTTCTGGGCATAGGCGCAGCCAGAAGAGCGCTACCGGAAAGCCGGTTCCTCCGACCCTTCAAACGAGTTGCTAGGGAGCAGCACGTCTATTCATTACGCCCGGCAACCCGAAATGTGTGGTTCCGACTGGCTATCTTGTGGCCAGCGACAGACTTGGAAAGGTGTCGGAGTGGCGACTGAAGAGAGCTTGATAGGTTTTATTGTTAGTGCTCGAGTGGCACGAGGTATGCCAGTAGCCTCATGACTTTGCGCCACTACATTGCTCAAGCAAGGCTGAATCGAGATCCTGCGGGACTTCCTCCAGACCCAAGAGGCTAGACCACTCAGAGTCTTTGCTGGGCGTCGTCCGTGAGAATAAGCCTGCTGTGTTCTAGGGCTGCTGCGACCAGTCTCGGCCGGTGCTGGTGACCAGTAGATGGTAGGGTCCATGGAGAACACGGCAGGGCTAAACCGAGCTTGCGCCTGACCAAATCGTCCTGTTGCAGATGGTGATGGACAAGATCCGAGACACATTGGCTCGAAAGAAAAGTCAGGCTTGCGCTTGCGAGGTTGTCAGACAAGTCAGGACCACGGGGATTGCCCAGACTGGGTTGCCGAAGCAGAAAAGGGATTGGAGGTACAAGAAGCAAGGGCAGCGAATGGCAGGGGCGAAAGGTATTGCAGTCATGACGCACTGGATCTTGGACTTGAGGTGCATCTGAGTGGGTGCCGTAGCGAACAGGGCGCTGAAAAAGCGCTGGACCCTGGCCCGCCCGAGGCGTGTCTGCGCTGTCTTGGGTGCGTGCAGCTGCTAGCGCCGATTGCTGACCATGTTGGAATCGAGCAGGATCGTTAAAAGCAGTTGCGATCACTTCCAGAGACGCCCATCTTCAGACTTCGTCCGACTCGAGGTGGGAGGGAAAAACGCAGTTCTGTGTGGGAATACGGGCCACGGTCATGTCGTTGCCTCATGTTCCCTGATGGAACAGGAGAGGCGTCCGCCCAGCGGTACACCCGATGTCGCGGTACTTGTCGGCATGGATACAGCATGGTGAATGGTCACGCTTGCTGATGTCAGGGTCCTGGGGCTCGCTCGCATCGAGATCTGCTTGCGGCCATAACAATACCTAGACCAAACAACAACAGCTGGCGGTCCGTCTGTGAGGGATTCGCTGGCCTGGGAAACGGACCCCTTGCATTTGTTGAACCCTTGGGTGGAATTCCATAACAACAGAAAAAAGAAGTGACTAGTTGGCTGCACATCGTCTTCGGCCGAGAGATGGGCAAGAAAGGAGAGAGCAACATACCTACCGGTAGCACCACAGCCACGGAGACGGTCCGTTCTCCGAACATCACGTGGCGAATGCTGCCTCACTTGTCGCTGAGGTAAGCAGTGGCCTCATCAAGTGTGCCTTCCCGAGCCCGCAGAGAAAATCAAGGAGGGGCATCAGACGTTCGATTGCGTCATACTGCTGATTCATACTTTGCGACTGACAACCCGAGGCGCAACTCGCCTAGAACCCAGTCGGTACGGTACAGTAAGCTCTTGCGTGAGGTGAAGAAGACACGTCCATTCAAGAGACACAAATGCGTTCCATGCAAACATTGAAAGAACTGAAGAGGTTTGGATACAGACCGATTTGCTCATGGGTAGTCGTCTTGGGATGCGCGAAGTCTGCCCCATAAAATATGGACGCTGTCCAGCGACCGGGGACTGCCTCATTGATAGTTATTAACGCACCACGGCGAACCCAAAGGCAACTCTTAACCGGTCGATCTGCCCGCCAATGCCAGCCGTTGAGAAGAGTAAACCTGTTTAGAAAAAAAAATTGCCTTAGTCGAGCTAGTTTGTCCCAAGATTGGTCCTGACTTTCTTCTCTATTGTTCATTTATTCCTCCCCCATTGGGCCAGCGGTGTCGTCACAACTAGGCTGGGATTTGGCTACTGACAACAGGCCGCTAAGCCTTTTTTCGCCTAGACGTAAGGGGCCCCGTCCAGGGCACTTGGGAAAAGCCCGCCCATGCGTCGCCTGCCGCGACTTCTCGCGTTGGAAGTACCGGTACTTGACATGACCTTGGGAATATCGACATGGTCCGCCGGGCCTGGCGCTGTCCGGGGGCGGCTCTCTTGCTGCTTCCCCGTTCCCATTGTGTTGCTGCTTGCTGATTTCCCGTGTTGTGCTGCTGCTGTTGCTCTCTCCTGCTGCGGGTGCCGCTCCCCAATCGCAGTCGCCGTCCGCCCCTTCTCTTTTTCCCAATTTCATTGACCTCATTGCACGGCCACACCATCCCCGATGCACCCCTCCTAACCCGTCCAGACGCCCAGCGAATTGGTAACAGACGTTAAATGTATGACGCCTGCCAGCGGCTCTCCTCCATCGTTACCTTCGCGCCCCAGAGGTACCCTTCCTGTGCGACGGACACCTGCCTGGTACATCCATCCTGCCATTTCTCCAGCATCTAGCTCCGGCCCTCGGTCTACTAGCTTTGCCGGCGTCCCTTCACCTGTCCGCTTTTGATCTCGTTCAGGCGCATCATGAGATCCGCTCGCTTCTGGAACCTCTGCAGCTCTGGTGATCCCGCATATATGACCCCTGGTCGCAATCCCCCACGTCCCATCTTCCCTGTTGGACCATACATACGTCCCAGAGGTCCCTCGAAAACACCATTCGTCGTCGTCGTCCACTACCCAAACTTGGCGACAACACACATAGATACCTGAAACTTCAACAATATTCGTTGCATACAAACAAGAGGAGGAACCGACTTCGTCAGCCCCGAGAGACGACGATACGAGCCGATCGAGTAGATCCACCGAAACCCGCCACCCACACCAGCAACGAAGCTGGAGGAGAAGACTTCATGTCCTCCGACCAGCCGCGGGTCGTCGAGAGCAGACCATCGGCCCTGACGTCCAACCCGGTGCACGAAGCCGAGGACGAAAAGGACCATGGCACTGTCGAACGTCCGCTGTTGGCCGACCAAGTCCGGGACGTCATCCGCCTGATTCAATGTCGAAAATGCTCCCGCCCCCTCCAAGAGCCTGTCACGCTGCCATGCGGCCGAAGCCTGTGCAAACACTGTCTCCCTGAGACGCACACCCGAGAAAACATATCCTATCCCGCCACGCCAAATAGGTTACAGGGCTTCGAGTGTCCCTATCAAGAATGCGGTCGAAATCATGCCGTGGGTGATTGCGGCGTCGATGTCATCCTCACCAAGGCAATCAACAATTTCAAGACCGAGATGGAAAAAGCAAGAGAGACCGTCACAACAGCTGAGATATCTACGCATGTTGTTATACAACGCCCAAGTGCTGGACAGACGGGTACCGACGTCGACGATGAGACAACATCCAGAGTTGTCAAAGGAGGGCCTTTGGTCGCCGTTTATACGCTGGCGGGCTCGGGTGAGTTGGACTACAACTCGAACGTCACATTTGCGGAAGTATCTTCGCTCGGAGATGAAGCAGCCTCCATCGATAACAGGACGTTCTCCAAGGTCAAAGAGTCAGTCCGCACAGAGATGGACTGCCAGGTCTGCTATGCCTTGTTTTACGATCCCCTGACGACCGTGTGCGGCCACACTTTCTGCCGGTCGTGTCTTCATCGAGTCTTGGACCACTCATCATACTGTCCTATCTGTCGACGGGGCTTGTCGGTTAGCCCTTTACTTTACAGGGAATCATGCCCTTCGAACGAGCATCTGAAGACCATCATTCAGACTTTCTGGGCCGATGCCGTCCTTACAAGAGGTGATGCTTTGGCTGCCGAGGCCCTAAACAGACACCGAGAGTTTGACATTCCCATCTTCGTCTGCACCCTGTCATTTCCTATGATGCCGACATTCCTTCATGTGTTTGAGCCACGCTATCGTCTGATGATTCGCCGCGCTTTGGAAGGCGACAGAACATTCGGCATGGTGTTGCCGCAACGGCCGAGGACTGCCAACGACACACATTTCGTGGAATACGGAACGTTGCTGCGCATCGTAAACGCCGAGTACTTTGCGGACGGCAGAAGTCTCATTGAAACGACTGGCATCTCCCGTTTTAGAATTACGAGGCATGGGATTCTGGATGGATACCTGGTGGGGAAGATCGAAAGAGTTGACGATATTTCCATCGCGGAGGAAGAAGACCTAGAGGCAAACGAGACACAGCAAGCCTTGGAGAGGTACGAGAGCGCTGCCACACATCAGAGCGAAGATTCAACGACGTCAAGACCACCCATGACTACCCCTGAAGATCTTTCAACGATGCCAACGAGTGAGCTACTGTCTTTGGGCGTCTCATTTGTTGAGAGGATGCGACAACAAAGCGTGCCCTGGCTGGCGCAACGAATGTTGACGATATATGGGGAGTGCCCCAACGATCCGGCCCTCTTTCCATGGTGGTTTGCTAGCATCCTACCTGCCAAGGAATATGAGAAGTACAAGCTGCTCGAAACAAGGAGCGTTCGAGAGAGACTCAAGATCTGCTGCGGCTGGATCTTGGAGTGGGAGTCAAGCAGTTGGTGAGTGTTCCATGCCCGAGCTTTTCCGTGTCGTTCATCCCTTTTTCGGGGTTTGCCCGCATCATTTCCAACATCTCTTGTACACCCCGCTTGCGGGGTTTCAGTGCGGGAGGTGTTGCTGCCCCCGTTTGCTTGTTATCAGACAATGAAACAGACGGGCTAAGATGCAGAAACTCTCAGGGGGGGCCCTTATTGACGGCCGCTCAGGTCCCTCTCAGACTGCAGGATCTTCTGATGCTGGGGACGAGCTCAGCTATGGGCATTGGAGGTCGAACGCGGGAGGTCTCGGAGTGACACGGCCAGATGAGGTTAAGGTGGCGGCCGACAAGGGCACGCTTTTCCTACGGTATCTCCCTCAGCGTCAGGGTATGGGGTGGTGGTGATGATTACATCTTTTCGCATTTGCATGGCGGCATTGGGCATCCACTGGGAATCCTTCGCGGCATAACATCACGACATGATACAGATACCAAATTGGGCTACGTAGGTATGCTAGACAGCCATGTCAAATGGAGAGTTGAAGAACTCTTTCTCGTCAGTTCAGTGTGAGAGTACATGACGATAAACGAACTGACTGCAACGTGAAGTGATTAGTATGTTGGATGTTAGTCAGGAGGATAACAAATATATTTCTTCCTCCCTCTATACTGTACACTACCTTCCGAGTTAGACTGAAGGTCCAAGGGAGTGACCAAATATAACAAACAACGCGAGGCGTCAAAAAGAATGAATAGCTGTGAGATTGGCTGGTGTGAGTTGAAGGATCCATGGCATAGGTTGGTAAAGCGATCTTGACTGCGACGCACCCTCATGTAGCAATATCGGCTCGATATTGCTTGATACTCCTTCCACATGTGTTTGGTGCCAGAATTTTAAACAGGTGAATATATAGAGGGCACTCTGGTTTCTCCTTCCTACGCTTTCAGCGGCTGCCTTTTAATACTGCGTCGATGGTTCGCCGACCGAACTGTACTTCACCTTCCCTCTCTACCTCCTTCCTCCTTCTTTCCTAAGTACAGCATACCTCCCATTGGCTTCCATCTTTTGTCAGAGACAAGACTAGAAATCTTCTTGCCACCTCCAACTCACAATTCTCTTTCTTTTCTTCGTCACCACTCAAGTCCCCATCCACACCCAACACCAACGCGTCGCATAATCCTCATCGTCGTCGTCGTAGGTACCTTCGGCCATCAACTTTCCTCTTTGTTACCCCTAACATGATGCACTAGGCAATTACGCACAAGACGGTAGAACAAGAAGATTGCGCCACGACGTAAGAAGGCCAAGATCAAGATCACCAGAGTCAGGGACAAGAAGACGATGGGTGAAAAGGTTGGCGCCAGAGATGACGCCGAACATATGACACAGGATGAGGGGATGATTTCATCCCAGCCAACAGAGAAAGGTCTTGGAGAGAACTACTTCCACCGCCTTCCGATTGAGGTAAATTTCGCACAATAAAGCTCTGTATGTGCAACTAGGCTAACACTCTTGTCTGGCGTAGATACGTCAGATGATTTACGCCATAGCCGTCGTGGAGAACGAGCCCATTTATCCTCTTCAGGTCGAATCCCGAGCGAACAAGTTCAACGGAGGCAAGACTGCTACAAAGGCTTTCACTAGTCTGCTTCTGACCTGCCGGGTGTTCTATAAAGAGGTTCTAAGCCGTCCTGACTTTTACCGGGTATGCACACTTTTCACGAAGGTCTCGAGAGTGCTTTCCCTGATACTCATGCAGGAAAATACGTTCGGTTTTATCAATTTCCAATATTCAACCAACTTTCTGGCGGCCTTATCTCCAGCCCGTCGTTCTATGATACGTAAAATGGAGTTTGCCGTGTCCTTCTGGAGCAGCTATAGAAGCAGCAGTCTCCTGCAAGCAACGGTCACGCTGCTTTCCCACTGTATCTCTTTTCAGACGCTGAGTATAGTCGTTCAGGTCGACAGTTACCTCTGGATGTACAGAAATCGTCCTGAAAGCCTCCTCACAACGCTGCTGGGATTTCCAGAGGACCGCCTATTAATGATGTCAAACGGGGATGACTGGAGAAGACTGCGCACTGCGAGAGTTCAACATTTCGAATTATCAATTTCAAGACCCTTCACTCCGCAGCGCAGGGAGATTCTGTTCAGTGGGTTGGGCGCCTCTACCGACCACAGGAGTCTCAGATTTTCCGGAGAGCATGGATTCGAGGACACAAACGCTGCAGTGGTCAAGAAGGTTCAACGCCTCAACACGTGCCTATTGGAGGCTGGTACACACTGCAGCCCACAGTACGCCATAAATAAGCCAGTCTTGGGTAGCCGCCTGCAGGAAGCACTGCTCCGCTCAGAACTCGACGTCTACGGGGACAATCGTGTTGGCCAGTCTCATCAGTCCGGTATGGTGTCCAGCGGAACCCGAAGTCGGAAGTTAAGAGCGAAACAGGTGTCTTCGAACGGGGTTATGCCAAGGGTTGCTAAGAACCCGAAGTACATTGACGCTTACGAGGACGAGGATGATATTGTGGAAGCTTGAGGCTTGAGCTAGACGGAAGCAGTCTACATAGTTGGATTGCCTAGACGTTATCAAACCACTATCCATACATTTAGACACCCTGGCGATAGTCTATTAAAATCTGCCCTCAGTCGTTCTTATAACCCTGCGAGTAACGAATTTGCAAATCGACTGCTATATCTCGTCTTTGGCATCATGTGTTTCGTTCTAATTGACCGGTTTATCCCAGTTGTTCTGACAGTCCTAGCTACATTTAGAGGGCGTACCGTTTGCGATAAAAGAACAGACAATAAGACTGTATGTTCAAGATATTTACAACAGCATGGACTAAGCAAGAACCTCGACTTGGATTGGTACTACAGGGAAAGATGGGGCCTAAGAGGCCGTTGAAAAACCATTAGAAAAAAAGGGTAAGAAACATTTGTGTCCCTCTTTACGACCTGGCGATCCCAATGTTGAGCACGTCACTCTTCGAGTTTATAGGCAACAACGGGGCGTCTCCACTTTGGTCTGCCGGTCAAAGGCATCGTGCCGTCGCGTGTCTTGGGAAGGAGAGTGGTCTTCAACCGGAACGTCCAAGATTGTAGCCCGCACGGCGTTTGGAGTCGAAGGCATCGGTCCAAGAGTTCCCAGACAGGCTGATCGATGTCTGGATCGCCGAGTGAGATGGCCGCAGCGCCGGGTTCTGGATACTTGATGTCGTTCTGGATCGCGAGAGCGAGAGTGCAGAGCGGGCACCGTCACCATCGACGACGGCACGCGGATTGCTTCCGTGGTGCTGCGTCTCTTTGGAAACCTCCTCATGGCGCTTCCCGGCGAGCATGGCTCTGTCATTACATTGCATCTTGTTACCCAGTTTCCCCATGCAGCGAGCCTACAAGGACCGGATGGGATACATCTGTCACTTAGGACTGCGCTGTTGGACGGTGTGGTTGTATTCCGCAGTAAGAACATCTGGCATACGCATCTGACATGCCCCAGGCGAGCAGAATGCGCATCGAAATGAACACACACTGCGTTGAGTCGACGAAGGATAACAGTAGTAGTACATTGTAGTTACCAGAATGGCCAAAAGCATGAGTAGTCAAGTTGATATTTTGAAGGCATAGTGAGAGCATCCATCCTTTTCAAAGCCTTCTGCCCTTGTGCGACAAATGAAAACTTTTCTCCGCCTCTCCAGCCAGATGCCAAAGGGCCGGACATGCTTATCCTAACAAGTAAACGCCAAAGCCCGTGGGCTGCACGATGAGCCTGGTTTGCCCTCACAGCCTACTGGATCTGGAAAAAGTCCTCGTCGAACTTTCCATGCTCCATCTCCGTGTCGTCAAAGAACATCATGTCGTCAAAGTTGTTGCCGTCCCCACCTTCGCCGCCCATGTTCATGTCGAGGTCCATGTCGTCCATGCCCGTGCCGTCGTCGAGGGCGAACAGGTCGTCTAGGCTCGAGTCCTGCTTCTCCATCTTGGCCTCCGCGGGCTTCTGCTGGTCGACTGCTGCGGGCGGCGCTGGCGCGGTTTCAGCCTTTGGTTCCTGCTTCGCGGCGTTGTTGTCGGAAGGAAGCAGGTTGTCGAGGGACAGGAGGTCGCCGCCCATGTCGCCCGAGCCGAACGACATGTCCATTGGCGCCTCCTGCGCCCGGGGCTGGGGTTGTGAGTCGTTGTTGGCGGGTGCCAGACTGAAGGTCATGTCCGTGAAGTGGAATTCGGTGTCATTCGCTTCGTTGCCGCCGCCCGCGTCGCCGCCGTCGCCACCGTCCCCGCCGATGCCGAACAAGTCGTCCATCGGCGCTTCCGGGGCGCCCGAGGGCTGGGGTTGTGATGCGGGCGGGGTGGGCTTCGACTCCAACTTGACCTCACCCATAGGTGCCATCATAGCCGGCGGCGCAGGAGTTGTCTCCTGCTTCACCGGCTGCGCGGGTTCCGACGGTGGCTGGAAGCTGACGCCCATATCGGGGAACGGAGCCATCGGCGGAGCTGCACTCGGTTCAGCGGGGGGGACCCGGTGCGGGCCCGAATCCTCCGTGACCTCGGTCTTGTTCTCAGGGGACGGTTCCCGAGACGATGAGTCGAGGTCGATGGCCATGGGGGATTTAGTCTGCGCCTCTATCGGCGCAGGCTGTTCTACGGGCTGTCGTTCCTGCCGGAACCGGTCCAGGTCTCTCTGCAACGCCGCCTTTGCTCTCATCTGCCGTTGGCGTCAGTACTGGTGTCACGGTCGAGATGGCCTCCAGCAGAACAACTCACTATCTCACTCTCAAGGTCATCCAGCTTCCAATGAAAGGTCTCGATGAGCTCCGGGATCTTTGTCTGTAGCGAAATCTGAGCCTGGAGCTGAGATCTGCCTTCCTTACTTTGGGATCTCAATGCCTTGCCTGTTTGGATGAGCTGTGAGTGAAAGTTAGACATGACGTTCTTGAATTTGATCCGGTGTGGGCACACGCACCACATCGTTGAGGAGTCCATGCAGGGCTTCTGCAGACTCGGCGTCGGCCGGCTTCGAGTTTGCCATTGCGGCGGAAGGAGGCCGGTGGCGGCGTGTTCAGCGGTTGTAGACGAGGGCCGAGGTGGTGCAGTATGCTAAAAAATAAAAAAGGAACAATCGGAAATGGGTATCAAAAGATGGAGCGCTGCCGAGATGTAGATGGATTAAGTGACGCGCAGGGAGTAACGAAAGAGTACAGCTTGAAGCGAGTAAAGGATAGAAAGACGAGGTGTAGCGAATCGTCGATTGTGTGGGCGGTGAATGAGAGCCTGGCTAGTAGCCTCTATCCAATTCAAAGAAATCCGAAGCCGAATGAAAGCTGGACCGGTGCGGCTTATGGGTTAACCAGTTGTCTCCGAGGCACGACAACGACTCACTCATCAACCACAAACGACGATGTTTGATGTCGTCTGAAGCCAGTCGCCCAGCCTCCGATTCCGACCAGGCGGTACGTACCTTTTCGGATTCTGAAGACCAGCAAAGAGGCTCGGGCGCTGTCCATGGGCCAAGGGGCTGCAACCTCAGGCTCAACCAATGGAAAAGCGTTCTGCCACATTCAGTTTGCGCCACGTTCAGAATCACAGCTTTCCAGCGCCAAACAGGACGCACTGTGATCCCCAGAAGCAACCCCGCACCTGCCGCACGGTACGGGCGTGGACGCAATGCAAGGTGGGCGGCAGGCGCCAGCACGCGGCGACGGTAGGGGAGTTTCCCCTCTCTGTTTCTGGTTCCCGACTGTGGTCCCCCACCTTTCCTCCCATGCATCAGATCATGGCCATAACGTGGAATTTTTTTTTGGGACGAAGGCAATTGAAGGGCAATGGCCTGGCTAACTCGAAGCTCAAGGGTGCCTTTCTCCTTGTCCACGGGCAGAGGCCTCGCAGCTCACGCCATGGGCCCAATCCAGCTCCAGCACAGGTTGATCCAATCCAGTGAGCATAAGCACGCTGAAACCCGTCCGCTGGCATTCGCCTCCAACACGGACATTGGATCCCCCCAATTGACGAGTTAGAGCACACTATGCCTCGCACCAACAATCGGTCGAATATGAGGCCCTGGGGCCATTCCGGATCAAGGAGACACCTCCTCGATATCGCGGAGAACCGTTATTGCGGACAGCGGAAGACAAGGGCCAAGCCCACCGCCCGAGGTATGGGTAACCCTAACCCGACATCGGTGGACTCCCACCCAGAAAAGTGTTCGTCCCATCCGCGAGCCAGGAGTCGTCCTCCCGGGAAATTGGTTATGTCCTGCACCGAAGAGTTTCGCAATCCAACTGCCCGGTCCCCCATGCTTGCATCTCCAGCCGTCTTGGAGGTGCTTTTATGCACGCTGGAGTTGCGGCAAGCTTAGTTGCTATGGTAAGGAGGAAAAAAAAAGTACGGTTGCGAGATGACCAAATGGGCAAATGTCAAGCCCGGTGACATGGAACTGGATGCCAGCTTCCCAGCGATCAATCAAGAGCGGCGTTGCCTTCGGGGTCAGTGCAAGTCCCGAGTTGAGTTGCAGCTGTCTGCTGTTGATTGACTGCGTGCAACAGGTTGAGAAGCGCTGTCGCGATACCCGAGCACTGCACGACAGCATGTCGGGGTCGAGGGGCCGGCCTATTATCCAACAAGTGCAAGAGCCGCCTGGCATTCGACTGCATCCCGGGCTTCGAGAATATCTTCCCTTGTACGAGCGTGTCTCTGTGTGTCTACGGCGAGTAGGGAGATGCCAGAATAGGGAGTGAACCGAGGACGGGCCGGGATATCCTTTCTAAGAAGGCAAATCGTTTGATATGGTGATCGGTTGTGATTCCTGCATTGGCCCTTAGGACCCTCCATGTAGCGATGCGTTTGCTGCCATGATCCCGTCTCAAGGCCGAGAGACGCATTGGGTCAAGTCATGTTTGCTTGCGCGTGCATTTCGAACTTCATGAGAGCTCATCTCGTCTGGCCCGTCTGCAGCCGCCGCCCTTGTTTGACTGTGACGGGTTCGCGACTAACTGTAATCCACGCCCGCGTATGGGATTCAATGCAGCTATATGTGCTTTATTATATGGCACTCGACGACCCCAGCAAACTGTCGGCGACTGCACTGTTGATGAAAGTTAGCCCCAGCCTCTCCCGACTAGGCCGGACTCAGTCTAATTTATTCATTGTCCTCTTTCATGGTGCAATCCGTAAAAGCTCCACGTTGTCAGCGGCCGTCTGTGCCAGTCACGCTTCTGCCCTTTGCCCAACCAAGATTAGCGCCAGTCGGGTCGGACATCACATCTGCTGCAGCAACACCCCTTTTTCTGCTGCCATCCCATCTCGTCCCACGCCACAGGCCTTGACCTAGCCGAGAAACTCTCGCGAAGTGTTATGGACAGATGGCTTAGGCGCCGCAGGACGGGATTTTCAGGTACTGGGTACCAACAGCAACGAGGGAGCAAACAGGCGAAGCGAAGAGAAGAGAAGGGGGGTTGCGTGCCCCTCCAGCCGGGGGGCCAACTACAGCCACCCGTTTTCTAAGTAGCACTACCCAGGGCCGACTGGCAGTAGTGGACAGCTGTACCCAGTGAAGAGGCACGGCTGGGCAAGCAAGAGCCTGGCCGTGGGCAGGACGGGGGCCTCTAGCAGGCCAATCCCAAGGCCCGGGGCTGGCGGTGGGCACCGAACAGGCTGGCGGTGGGCACCGAACAGGCTGCCCTTGCCGCTTTGCTGGCGAGGTGAGCCTAGCGAGGCACAGTAAATCGGCAGGTATCTTTTGGCGGCGCCATGCGGCGAAGGGGTACATTGGCGTGCAGCTAGGCGACGGAGGCCATGTAGGTACCTCTAGGGAAAATGGCAGGGTACCTGGGCCGAGAAGCTCCAACTGTTGGATTGGATTGGATTGCGGTGCAGGTGCTGCAAGGTGCAGGTGCGCGCTGCGCTGTAGGAATTTCTGGCTCGCACCGCAGTCGCCAACTCGCCATGCCGTGATGAAAGTCCCCTCATCCGCCCTTCTTTCTCCCTCTTTCCATCTGCTCCCCTCCCCTCCTCACCCCCATCGCAGATTCTCCTCTCCACGTTGTTAGGAAACCGTCCTCTCTCCTCTCCTCTCCTCTCCTCTCGGACCGGGTTTTGTTGCGATTCCATTTTCAGGGGGTTCCAGTCCTCATTTTCCCGCCTGTTTCCTTGGTGCTTGCCTCCGCTTATCATTTCCAACGCTTCCGTCTCCAGTCTCCAGTCTCCTCTTTCTGCGCCTGTCATCTCATCTACTACAGCACCGCACAGCTCGGCTCAGCACAGCACGCACAGCACGCACCGCACGCACTGCACAGTAGACAGTACTTTGGAGCTTTCTCTCGGCATCTCTCTTATCATTCGCCCTTCCCCTTGTCTCTACTATCCGCTTAAGCGTCTCTCTTGTCACGTTGGGTCGACGTCCTTTTTAGCTGCTTGTGCCGTCCCCACGTCCACATTTTTTCCTGTCGACTTTCGGTGTCTCCCTCTTTCACGTCAGGTTCAAGGCCAAGTCATATCGTTCCATTCCGAATAGATCGCAAACCAGGCAAGACTCGACATCTTGGTATCTTTCGCCGAGACGAGTCCACCGCACCAACTTTGACGAGGAACTCCTAATTGTCCCACCCGTCACTTTTTCTTCCCTCGATCCCGCTCCTTTAGCCTCGTTGCTTGCTTGCTTGCTGCCTGCTTTTGGGGTTCAGGGTCACGTCAGTCTTGGAACATCTCTCTTCTTCAACAAGACTGCGTCCGCCCCTCCTTACGCCGCTACCAAGCTTCATCTAACCGCTTGTTCCTCGAGTTTCGTCGTTCAAATTCGCACCGTTGCACACGGCGGACCCGCGCAAGACCAGACTAGAGCTACGCTGTTCTAGCTAGCCGAGCCCCTCCTCTAATATCGCTATTGGCACTCAGTACACGACACCGAACTTTCCAAGCTACGAGATCCAACTTGTCGCACGAACACCCTCTAATATCAACAAAAAAAAGACACAATGGCGGACAACGGACCTGCTTCGAACGCGGCACAGCTGCCCCCTCCTCCCCAGCCGAATGCTGGCGCTCCAGGCTACGAGAATGGCCAGAACGGCCAGGCCAACCCGGCGCATATGCCGCCTCCTCCCCTCCATATCCCGCAGAACACCAACCCGATCCCGACTGCCATCACCTCGCCCATGTCTGGCGTCGACAAGGTCATGTCGCCCGGCAGCGCTGGGGGCTTCGGCCGCCGCGCCGCCCCCGAGCCCAACAAGCGTGCGTTGTACGTCGGAGGCTTGGACCAACGGGTGACCGAGGACGTCCTGCGCCAGATCTTCGAGACGACTGGCCACGTCCAGAATGTCAAGATCATCCCGGACAAGAATGTGCGTACCTGAAAACACCTTCTTCCATGGCCCAAGGATGCAGTTGGCGGTCAAGGCGAAAGCTGGCACCCGAACCATCGCAACCTCTCTGCCCCTGATATCATTCGCGATATAGCTGACCGTGTATCGACAGGCTAAGGGCTACAACTACGGGTTCGTCGAATATGATGACCCCGGTGCGGCTGAGCGCGCCATGCAGACCTTGAACGGAAGACGCGTGCACCAATCTGTACGACAGAGCCTTACCCCGCTGGTGCGAGGCGGAAGCTGACCGATTGCCAGGAAATCCGAGTCAACTGGGCATACCAGTCCAACACCTCTAGCAAGGAGGACACCTCGAACCACTTCCACATCTTCGTTGGCGATCTCAGCAACGAGGTGAACGACGAGGTCCTGACCCAGGCTTTCTCCGCCTTTGGCTCCGTCTCGGAGGCTCGCGTGATGTGGGACATGAAGACGGGACGCTCCCGCGGATACGGTTTCGTTGCGTTCAGAGACCGACCGGACGCCGAGAAGGCTCTCAGCTCCATGGACGGAGAATGGCTCGGCTCGCGGGCCATCCGTTGCAACTGGGCCAACCAGAAGGGCCAGCCGTCCATTGCGCAGCAGCAGGCTATGCAGGCCATGGGCCTGACGCCTACGACGCCCTTCGGCCATCACCAGTTCCCGGCTCACGGCGTTGCCAGCTACGAGGTTGTCCTCGCTCAGACGCCCTCGTGGCAGACGACCTGCTACGTCGGCAACCTGACCCCTTACACCACGCCAAACGACGTTGTTCCTCTTTTCCAAAACTTTGGCTATGTTGTCGAATCCCGTTTCCAGGCGGACCGAGGATTCGCTTTCATCAAGATGGACAGCCACGAAAGCGCGGCCATGGCCATCTGCCAGATGAACGGATATAATGTTAATGGACGCCCCCTGAAGTGCAGCGTAAGTTTACTCGGAGCGAATTTCTTCCTGATAAAGTTGGAGAACAGCACTGACATTTCCCGCGTGAAGTGGGGCAAGGACAAGACGCCGAACCCTCAAGGCGGCGCGGCCGGCTTTGATCCTTCGCAACAGGCGTACAGCCCCCAGAGCGCCTCCGGACCGGCCTACCCCGGCACCCCGACGGCCTACTTCCCGCAATACGGTGGTAAGAGCTCGATCGCAACCCCAGTCGTTGCAGCGGACCCCTCCGAGCTAACGCAATGTTGTACAGGTCAATACGGCGGACAGCACGGTAGCTACGGCGGCCCGGCCGCTCAATCCCCCGCCGGTTATGGAGCGCAGCCCATGGGCTATGGCGGACCGCAGAGCGCCGGAGGCTATGGCCGTGGTCAGCAGCCTCCCAACGCCCAGTGGCCTCAGGGCCCCCAGGGACAGAACTTCAACAACGGCTTTGCCGGGTATCAGGGCTGATCTGACGACACAACTCTTGCGGTGAGCGGGAGTGCACAGCGTTGCATTTCGCATGAAACGAGCGCATCCATGTGCGAGAGCACCCACACAGCGTTGCAAGGTCCGAGGGGTGCTTTTGTGGAGTTTTCCCAATGTTTTTGATGGCAGAATGGCATGACCAACACATCTCCCATGTTTTCTCAAAAATCATTTCCCTGTCAAGGCGTCTCTCTATCTCAAATCTCTCCTCTCATCTGCGATGAGGGACATATGTCGGTTTCTCTTGTGTGAGCACTGGGAATGCGATGGGGAGGGACATCATGTGCATTTTCCCGAGACGTTTCTCTCTTGTCTTCTTCGTATCTTTCTTCTACGGCCTAGTGATTCCCACAAGTCACGATATTTTCCTTATGCAGTCATTTCTCTCAACCTGTCGGGGGCAGAGGCAGACTTCTGATATGCTGTTCCGTTGCCAAAAACAAAAAGTTTGCTGCTTTGTTCTATCATGGATACCTCTTCAGCATGACGGATCTGTTGGATGACGAGTTATGACCTTTTCTATTTTCTCTACTACTACTCTTACACTATTGGACACGAGTGCCCTATGCGCGTGGTCTCCCGGCTACTTGGGTGCACCATTAGAAACGACCAGACACCAGATTTTGACGAAACATGACTTTGAACGAGGAGACAAGAGGAAAGAGACGGGCGGGCGGGCGGATGAGGGAGACCAAATGGGATGGGGATGCATTGCGGTTGGTTGAGAATGAGAGAGGGTAGCGCCAAAAAAGCTTGAACAACGCGAAGTGAAAAGAAATTACAGAGACTGCAAGACAGCCGAGACTTTTCCCCTCCCAACAGCCCATGGGCGATGAAGCTGACGTTGATGTGCATGCGTGACTGGGTGCTGCCTGAGGGGGGAGGGTTGGTTATCGATTTACTGGGACGTGAGCGTGGGGGGAGGGGGCAAAGGCGGCGCGGGGAGGATGAGGGGACGGTGGCTGAAGAGGTACATGTACCACCCTCTTGAGGGGGCAATGTGAACTGCATGTAGGGACTGGTTAACAGGAGAGCCCAGAGGCCGATGGAGCCGGGGCTGCATATCGTCGACGGCAAGGGGGCGGTGATTGGACGCCTCCTGAGATGGTGCTCGCATGTCTTATTAAGTGGGATGCCTACGTCTCGGCGTCGAGCATGTGAGATTGGGGGGAGCCGACCAGAGCAAGCCCCGTGGACGGTCCAGCTGCGACGCAGCTTTTGTTTTGTTGTGTTTGTCCTGGCTTGCAGAGGCTCGCGGAACGACTTGGGGCGTGGGGGTTCGCAGAGGTGGACGGCGGGCCGGACCCGTCTCCTCTTGAACCAGTATCAGGGCGATGCCGCCGGAAACCTTAGGAGAAGGACGTGTCTTTGTCTAGGGTTGTCACTGGGCTTCGCCAGGCGAGATACAAGACTATTGAGCAATGAAACTAGCATCAACGTGCCTGGAGGTTCAGCACGAACCTAGACGGAGAGTGCGTGGGTAGGGTTCGGGTTGGGGCGACGTTCAGCTTCATGGACGAGCACATGCAACGTGTATTGGATATCATTTTTTTTTGTTGCCAAAGTCTAGGCTTGCCTCGGAGGATGTCAAAGGCGGTTTTTGAATGCCGCGTGCTCGCCCCAAGTAGCTGTCATATCCAAGGAAAGGCCGTTCGGAACTGCCATCGTTCAGAGTCGGGATCCGGAGTGTCTTGTGCAGTGACCCAGTTACGTCTTCCACCTCTGGCTCTAATTCCATTGGTTAATTCTGGTGACGGTCCTTTTCCTGGCAGGACTGGTCGGTTCTCGCAGCTGGTTGTTGATGCGAAATCCTTCCTATAGGGTTCCCGATGTTCGATTGATGAGTTCGTTTTGAGCTAGGAAACGTCTGCTTCTTCTCTAGTGAGCATAGAGGCCGCCTGTAGATGGCTTGGGGTTCATGAATGATCAATCGATCGCCAATGAGCCTACAGCTTCGCTTTCTCGATCCTCTCCTGCTCCGCCCAAGCCTTGTTGATGCGAATGTTCTCCCAGAACCGCCATGCTCCAAGGGCCGCCGCCGCCGGCGGACACGCGAGGAGCAGCCAACTCCACCAAACGGGACTCGACGCTTGAACGTGGCGGATGGCCTCGCCAATGTCCCTCTTCAGGTCCTCCTTGGAGCCGTCGTTCCAGAGCACGACACCCCTGCCGGGGCCCCGGGCCTCGCATCTCCTCGCCTTGAGCCTCACGTCCGTCTGGCTTCGCACGCGGTTCTCGGCGTCCTCGCGGCTGAGGTGAGGGTCGCGTGCCATGAGGCGCTGCATCTGCACCTCCGGGTCCTTGACCGCGACGACGAACACGGTACCGCAGAGGCGGTCGAGCCCACTCTCAAACAGTAGGGGGACGTCGAGCAGGACAGCCCAGTGTCCACTGATGTAGGCGCGGAAGATGGCCTTGTACATCTCGGCGCGGACGGCCGGGTGGACGATGCCGTTGAGGACGGCGCGGTCGCGCTTGAGATCCTCGGTATCGCCGAAAACGCGCTTGCCGAGGGCCGGCCGGTTGAGGGGTCGTCCCTTGCCGTTGGGCCCGGCCTCCGGCATGGTGTCGGAGACCGGGACGAGGAGGTCCGGGGTGGTGGGGAGAAAGTGCTTTACGATGGCAGCATAGCCCTTTGTCCCCGGCTCGACGACTTTCTTGGCGAGAACATCGGCGTCGACGAGGGGGATGGAGTAGGGGGGTTGGAGAGGATGGATGAAACGGTGGACTTGCCCGTTGCGATGGAACCTGTTAGTCCGATAAAGAGCATCTTGCAGATGTGCGGTTGGCCCCGTGTCGGCGTGCGTCTTGGTCCAACTTGTTTAATTATCTAAGTGTTGGTTTGGAGTCCGTTTGTATTGGGATGTAGCGTTGTTCTCTCCAGCGTTGTGGTAATGAGATGGGGGGCCTGAGACGAGGAAGCGATGAAGCTGGTGATGCCGATGGTGGAGTGGACTGATGACGGGACCGAGGCAGTCTGAGGTGACGACGGTTGGGTCAGGTACCTGGAGGCTCGAGGTTCGGTGAGGTTCGGTGTGCCGGCCAATTGACGTGCTTAATGCTTGTGCCAAGTGCGGTTAAGCGAGTGGTATGAGTCTCGGGTGGTGAGACGGGCTCTAGACCAATTCGGTATCTTCATTATGTTGTTTTCTCATTCCATGGATGGAACAAACCGAATCAACCGTCCCTTTTTTCGTGAGCCAGAGCAATCATTGATACACCGTTGTGCAGACTATGGTCTCACCCTTCAGTGCGCCACAGAGTTCCAGGAACCGCTACCGTCATCAACCAGGCCATGCCAGTCGCTGCCATGCCAGTCGCTTAGTGAGAGCTGGACAGCTTGCGTGCGTTTAGCGCTGTGGCCTAGGTAGGGTCTCCGGCCGGGATGAGCTGTGTCCCGCTGGCGGAGATGTCTGCATCTTCTGGGGACGGCATCAGAACGACCAGTTGTTTCTTGTTCCTTGGCCGGAGGCGACAACTTTTGGCGATAACGTGCTTGGACAGGTGTGGGTGGACGGACGATCGCGCGTATTTGAGATGATGGTTTTTTTTTTGTTTCGGGTAAACTTGGCAACGGATCTCTCTGCTGAGCCAGTCACACCACAGAAGGTGTCGAGGGCCGGAATTTGATAGCCGCCATGGATTCGACGTGGCATTGGACTTGCATTCTATGGAGTTTTTTTTTTGGCACCTGCAGAGCTGCTGCTGCTGCTGCTGCTGCAATGGAGAATGAATTGCTTACGGATACACCCAAGACAGCCCATAATGCTGTTACGTATGAGCTCATGAAGTGCTGGGCGGGGTTGTTTGGCCGGTAGTAGTACCTCTACTTGAGGGGCAGCCTTTCGTTTGATGAACAGATGGATGGTCCTCAGCACATAGGTATTAGCATTGCTCAGATCCGGTCTCAGCTTTTTCTTTCTCAAAGGCTGGAATTCTCGCTGGGAGCGGATGGTCGGAACGTCTGGCACGTTGGGCTTGGTTTAGCCAAGGCCACCACTTTTATGCTCCGGCCCCTCGCATCACCATGCGCTCGTTGTTGTGAATTTGTGAACTTTCCAGCTACTTGGCGCTGGCCGTGACGGGAATCTCGCTCAGTTGGTATTGATGGCCAAGAGACGTTGCAACCTACGCAGCACCAAGGGCCTTGTACAGGATCCCGCTCCGCTGGAGGGGATCCATGAACGGACGGATTGGATAGCAGGTGGTCCCACGGCGTCGCTGCCGTCGCCTCTGTCGTCGTCAGGTTGTCGCAGCCACTTGATGACCCTGGAGGCGCTAATGACTATTGCGGATACCTGAGCTTGAGTAGGCAAGGTTGCTTGGGGCGTTCCAGCCTCTTTCTCCACATGCTCACGTCCTCATGTCGGCGCAACATGCACAGGTTTTGTGTGCGAACCCCGTTGACACCGTGGGTGTCGGCCCCCAAGAAAAAAAGGACTTTGAAGAAACCGGACTTATCCAGGACCGGTGTTGTAGAGGTTGTACCTAGTGGCAAAGGAGAAAAAGGCTGCTGAAGGAGGATAGGCAAGACCACAAGAGGGGAGGGAGACGGAAAGCGAAGCAGTGTTGAAGAATAATAAGAGCGACCTTTTCCCCCCCTGCCCTGGTCCCCTCTCCTCCACCCCTCGCTGTGCACCGGCCAACCCGTGTGCCTGCCTTGTGTCTTGCGTATGGAAACCCAATGCCCAACCGTCTGACGTACTTGGGCCTGGGTACCCTGCCGGCTTTGAAGCTCCCCTTGGGCTTCCAGGTTAGCAAGTGGCCCTAGCCCCCCAATGCCCCCTCCGTTCTCCCTGCTCTGCCTGATTGTTTTGATGCCGGATAGGCTCCGGACTACGTACAGCTCCACGACTCTACGACTCTGCTTGAAGTTGAGCAATAGATACGGTGCCTGAATTGGCCTGTTTTGCGGATTGTTGGAGACGGTCCCTAGGGGTTTGTCATAGTTCCGTGCACAGCAGCATGGAAGACCAAGGGACTCGTTAGGGAGCTGAATCGAGTGAGACGGGGATTGGTCTGGTCTGCTCCCGTCCGTTGGCATTGTTACACAGCAGTACCTCGCCGTGTCTCCAAGCGTTCCCTCCTTCCTATATGCGGTATTGATTTTAAATTACTCGCCGTCTCTGTTGTCTCGCGGCTCTCTCTCACACACTCTCTCTGACCTGATTCTAACTGCTTGCTCTTGTACCCCTGCTGCGACTGCAATCTGCCGACTACGCTGCGTTTTGTCAAGTCTGCCTCCCCATCTTTGGCAGGGGGCCTTTGAAATTCGTACCCAGCTCCCGTCCCCAGAGCTTCCAAAGGTACCTTTAATGGCTTATCTGGTGCGACGATACTTGCCTATTGGATGATCCTTGCCTGTCCTCTCCAACTCCGTCAGTCCCCGCCCTCGTTCGCGCGCCGTCTCTCTTCAGTTTCCGTCCTGCTGTGTCGCAAGCGACCATCGTCGCCCGCGGACGCTCGCATCCACGTCCACCCTCTCCACCACTTCAACTCCCCTCCCCTCCCCTCCTCCCCCCCATATCGCGCCGCACCCCTCCCACCCCAGTCCTCGTGCTGTTTATGCCCATCGCCGTCTCTCCCCCCTCCAATGCACATGTTCATTGGAAAACAACAATTTTCTCTCATCGCCCAGGCCGTCAGTCGAATCACTTGTAGCCTGCCGTCTTCAATTCTCATGATGAATTGTTAGGGGAAAATAACACACCCTCAAAACTTTATTCCCACCAAGAGAGTTTGGGCCGTGTCAGCCCAATTCCGCCAAACACTCTCCTTGGCAACCCTCAGAGCTCGCTCGATTGCGCACCTATTCCTCTGGGGTCTGCGCTGCTTGGTCTGCAGTCTGCGCTCTGCAAGCTGTTCACACTCGCCCTCTGTGCCTGATGCAGTCTGAGCCAGTCAACCCGCACACAACTCAAGCAGCCATACCTTAGTCGGCCTGACCATACCTTCTTACCTTACGTGTACCGTACCCTCCCATACCTCCCGTACCCTCCCATCCTGCCATCCCCATCCCCGTCTCTCCCCAAACTTGCCCAGCGCCGTCCATACTGCACCGCGACGCACCAGCACCACACCAGCACCACACCAACAGACCAACGGATCAGCCCGGACGGGGACACGACAGAGCGACAGTCCACCACCCAGCGACTTGACGCTCTCTACATACATTACTTGACTTTCCCTGCGAGTCCGCGCTCTGCGACTTGCCCTCCAACCTTACCAAGCCCAGTCCGGCTTGGCCCCATTCGCCCGCTTAACGCGTCCAGTCGAAACCACCGACGACATCAGCCAAACCGCTCGGCCAGCCCTTTTTTTCCTTTCAACATCAACCACCACCACCCAGCCCTCCGCCATCCAAACCAACCCGATCCCGACCGACTGCATCGCCCTCCTTTCCGAGTCAACATCGCTCCCTGCCCGCCATGGACTCCCAGTGGCAGCAGGGCTATGCCGACTCGGCCGGCTCTGCGAGGAGATACAATGGCAGCGGCGCCCAGAGGCCCGGGGGAGATTACAACGGCCAGCCAGCGCCGCAAGGTCAGCCGCCTGCCGGCTTCAAGTACGACCAGTACCAGAGCCCTGGAGGAATGTCTTCTCATGCCGCCAGCGCTGCCACCTCGCCCATGTCCACCCCCCAGATGCGCGATAATAACGGCGACATTCCCATGCACGACGTCCAGGAATCGTACACTGGCATGAAATACCCCATGAGACCCCATCATCAGTCTCACGTCTCTGGCAGTCGCTCGTCCACTCTCTACTCGCCCCAGGAGCCATCTGCTGCTGCCCAACGATACTCGCCTATGGAGGCCCTGTCCCCCACCTCGCCCTACGCACCAAAGTCCGCGCAAGGCCAGTTCGCTTCGCCCCCGGGCCAACGACAGTCTCCCACGAGGCAATCCGATTACATGCCCCAGAGTCCTCACTACGGTGGACGCCAGCAACCTCCGCAGCTCCCCCCGATTGCGCCATACGGCTCCGCTCACGACGGTTACCCGTCTGCCGTCGTCGCCAACATTGACGGCGCCTTTGCCGCCGACCCCAAATCGCCGCGTCGCCCGATCCCGCAGCCCATGCCCCGAGGACCTGCCCCGGAATTCAGGCAATGCAGAGCCCCGACCGACCTTCGGCCAAAGGTCAACGCCCAGCCACCCTTCCGGCGCGCGAACCCAGAAGGGGGATTCATCAGCGTAAGCGCATCTGCCCCGCCTTGCACCAGAAATGACCCAGGCTAACCCGCACGCCTCTCAGCCCCTCCAAGCTCTGACGGTGCACCTGCCTGCCACCTACAGGATATGCAACCCGAACTTCAAGTACGAGTCGTCGCGCAACCCTCGCCGTGTCTTGACCAAGCCGAGCAAGGGCGTCAAGAACGATGGATACGACAACGAAGACAGCGACTATATCCTCTACGTGAACGATATTCTGGGCTCAGAAGAAGCCGGCCACAAGTACGTCCACAGCAGGCGCTGAGGCGCCCTCTCCCACTACCCCCTTTGAGCACTTGCACTGACCTGTGACGTAGGAATCGGTACCTTATCCTCGATGTTTTGGGCCAGGGCACCTTCGGTCAAGTTGTCAAGTGTCAAAACCTCAAGACGCAGGAAGTGGTCGCTGTCAAGGTCATCAAGAACCGGACTGCGTATTTCAACCAGAGTATGATGGAGGTGTCGGTTTTGGACTTGGTAAGCTTGCCCTGCTCCACAGAGTCGCAACATGACAGCTAATTCCATCCTCGCAGCTCAACACCAAGCTCGATAAGAACGACGATCACCATCTTTTGCGACTCAAAGACACCTTTATCCACCGCCAACATTTGTGCCTCGTCTTCGAGCTGCTCAGCGTCAACCTGTACGAGTTGATTAAGCAGAACCAGTTCCGAGGTCTAAGCACGACTCTCGTCCGCGTTTTTGCCCAACAACTTCTCAACGGTCTGGCCCTTTTGAATAAGGCGCGACTCATCCACTGCGATCTGAAGCCCGAAAACATCCTGCTCAAGAACCTCGAGAGCCCCATAATCAAGATCATCGACTTCGGTTCGGCATGTGATGAACGACAAACAGTTTACACCTACATTCAGTCGAGATTCTATCGATCCCCCGAAGTCCTGTTGGGATTGCCCTACTCGTCAGCCATCGACATGTGGTCTCTCGGCTGCATTGTCGTGGAGCTGTTTCTAGGTCTCCCCCTCTTCCCAGGCTCCTCCGAGTATAACCAAGTTTCACGAATCGTCGACATGCTCGGAAACCCGCCCAACTGGATGATCGAGATGGGTAAGCAAGCCGGCGAGTTCTTCGAGAAGAGGCAGGACGAGTTCGGTCGACGGACGTACCAGTTGAAGAGCATGGAGCAGTATGCCCGGGAACACTCGACCAAGGAGCAGCCGAGCAAGAAGTACTTCCAAGCGAACACCCTGCCCGAGATCATCAAATCCTACCCTATGCCCCGCAAGAACATGAAGCAGAGCGAGATCGACAGAGGTAAGTTATGGTGCTCGAACCGCGTCGGTGGCAATCACTAACATGGCGGATAGAAATGAACAACAGAATCGCCTTCATTGACTTTGTCCGAGGACTTCTGAACATCAACCCCTTGGAGCGTTGGTCCCCGCAGCAGGCCAAGTTGCACCCGTTCATTACCCAGCAAAAGTTTACTGGACCTTTTGTACCACCAATGAACTTGAAGTCCAGCTCCCTCAACCGGTCTCCGGCACCGGGCACGCAACAGCAGCAGCAAGCCGAAGCATTGAGCAAGCAGAGGGCGCAGGCAGCTCAAGCACAGGCAAACTCTGCTGCACAGGGAGCTTACGCCCAGATGGCTGCTCAATACCAACAGCCTGGACACTCGCAGCAGCCACCCATCTACAACAACCAGCAAATGTACTCGCCGGGCGGCAGTCACGCATCTCAACCACCACCCTACGGAGCTCAGCAAGGTGCCTACGGTCAGATGGTTATGCCGCAACAACCAGCGCAAATGCCTCCTGGCCCCTATGGCAATGTGTCTCAGCAGCCTGGCCTGTATCCTCAACAAGGCATGCGACCGGCGCGCCAACGTGCTTCGACCATGGAGCAACAGCAGAGTGGCATCCCGGCCGCGATCCAGCGCGTCGCTAGCCACCTCGACCCGAGCCAGCCGATCCGCCTGCAACCCAGCCCTGCTTACTATCCTCCTCCTGCGGACGGTGGCATGGCTGGCATGGAGAATGCGGCTCAACGAGCGGGTAGACGTGGAAGTCGCGCGCAGCAAGGAGGAAGAGGCAACCGGGATTTTATCCGCAACCTTGAGGAGCGGACGCTGGAGGAAGGGTTCATGGGAAACCAGAACCCTTGGCATTGATGTCTGGATGACTTAACCACAAGTTACCAAACTTTTTCGAAACAGTACATCTTCGATTACACTCGCGTTGAAGGGTGTCTCCTCTGTCGCCTGGACAACACCCGGCGACGACATCAGCGCAACCCCGAGAAATCGCTGCAGCATGTCCAAGTCAGCGCGATGAACAGGAAGAGCCCAGCGCCGTTAGTTCGCAATCGGTTTAATGTAAGATACCCGGTGGCCTCGAAGAAGCGAACCTGTCAAGACTGCCATATAAGACCTGTTGCAAAGGGGCCATCTAAGGAAATGCGGTGTTCATGCCGGCTGCAGTGGGGCGACGCAACATACACATGGACGGGAGCTTTGATGGGATGATGCATGAGGGAAGGGGAACGGTGGACGTTATTGGGTTGGCAAGGAAAGAAGCCTCCGCGGTGGGGTGGAAGGAATAGGCAGGGGGAACTAAACGGCCAGCAACGACACGAGACACGCCTTGACACGCACCGTTCCTAACTACCTACCTTACCTACCTTTTCTTCCTGAGCTTCAAAAGGGTCCCGGATACAGCAAGGTTGGCTTTGCAAGTTGTTTGACTGATGCGGAAGTGACGCCGATATCATGGGAGACGAGGTTGCCGATGTGCGACATGTGCCTACTCAATCAATGTTAAAGATACCAGGTGTTACCCCCGCATTTGTTGGATTGACTGCCCGCGCAAGAGCTGGAGAAAGGGCTGGTGATATGGCTTTCCCCTTACCATCAATTTTGCCGTTGCCATCCTTTATTGTTAGCGGTGGAGCTTCGTATCGTGCCTGCGTTCTGCTCGCCAAGTGGCTGAGTATTCCCACATCGCAGTAGTCTTTCTGTTGTCACGGCTTTTCCATGTATGTGTATCTGGCAGCTGCCAACAAGGTCTTTGCCTAACTCTCTGGTAGCGTGAGCTTGCAGGGTGGTCAAGTACATGTCTCGCTACTCGTCCGGACCGCCGTGCTTCACCTCATACTTCACCATCGCATTTTGGTACCATCGTCGGGACCACGACGTTTGGCTTATTGGGTTTTCTCGTCAGCTTTTACCGACCAGTATCTAACAACGCCACGGACCTTGCACCGGGCATCCTCATTGGCCTCAGGCTAGGCAACCTCATACCGTTTTGACCAAAACCCTACGCATGCAGCCATGGAGCATCCTCTTGTACAACAGAGGGAGGCGGGTGCTGCCCCTCGAAAGCCCTCGTCCGCATCTTCGTCCAAGCGCCACTCGAAGGTTGACTCGGCCTTTGACGCCAAAAACCGATCGAGTGCTGACACCACTATGGACTCGACCAAGAGTACAAATCGACGCTCAATCCGCTCTGTCCTCAAAGTCTCGTGGGGAAAAACTGTTACCAAAATTCTTGGTAAATGGGATAGACAAGGTGCTACTCCGGACGCAAAACCCGCCTCCGGACCTGATGCCATCAACGAGGAAAAGTGTGAATTCGTTCAGATAGGGGATAAACAACCCGAGGAGCTGCTCAGTCGACCCGATTCTTCTAAGCTTCCGCGCCCAGAGTCCGTCACTGTTATCGACGTGACTGCGTTGACCCGCAACAAGAACAGAGGTAACACTGCAGCTCGTTCTTTCTCTGGCTTCTTGCTGACACCGGAGTCTAGGCTTACCCAAGCGCCGAAGTTTGGGGAACTTCTTTGGTTCTGTTAGATCTCGCAATACGCTCAAGAAGAGAGGCAAGTCCCCAGAGGGTCTTGCGGGCACGATAGGTTCCAGTCTTTCGACGCAATCCCCGGCAAAGGAGTCTGCAGTCTCCGACAATGCCCCTCCCACGCTGCCAAAGCTGCCACCCTCTGAAGATTTGAGATCTAGCTTTCAGGAGAATCTCAAAGACGACTCCGAAAGCCCCCAAAGCTGCTCTTTGACACCGCATCCGCGAGATCTCGCCCCTACGAGACCTCCCTTGAAGGACCAAGCCGTACAGACACCATTGACATCTATCGCCGAACGCACTGATGCGAAGGGGAAGGGGAAGCATAATCCGTTATTGCCAGGAATGGTGGACCTTCGTACCGGACACGAGCTTATGTGGAAAACATCCACCAACTCTGACGTTCAGTCAGTGCACAAGTGTAATGTAACAGCATGCGGCTCAGAGGCTAACTGTCAATGGGACCGAACCCGACCAGAGACAGAGGTTACCAAACAGCTCAAGCAAGTATCGCCCATAGTGGAAACTGCAGATCCCCCGAACACTACGCACACACGCGACCTCATTCAGATTCCTCGCATTGCGAGAAAGCAGGAGGTACGCCGTAGTCTGAAGGGAGATCAGGCTTTCATCTATGCAGGCAGGAAGGTCTACTGGGTAACTGCGGCGAACAACCGGTGTGGGACTGAGGCATCCAGCAGTGCTGCTACTCCGAGAGACGACGACGTCAAATCTATCACTGCTGAAAAAGACATCGAGGACCCTATTGTTGCTGACACCGACATCATCGACGTGCCTCAAGGCTCTGGTGGCAAGAACTTGAAGAGAAAGGCGAAAAGCCTGACGTTCGTTAGACAACTTGAAGTACGAGCTGATGATAGTCCCCATACCGCGCCACGTAGAATGACCTTTAAGATGGATCTGCGTGGGACCGATAGCGATCTAGACGGGCCCGAAGGCTTCTTTTCACGGTGATTCGGACGACGGCAATGACGCGGCTGTCATCTCGAAGACGAACGAGTAGTCGTTATTTGTCTGGTTTCTTGGTGGGCATGGACTATCGAGTATGGATATTGCAAATGGCTTGGCATGGGATACAGTCTCCGTATCCCGAAGTTTGTTTGTTGTACAGGGCAGAGCAACGGTCAAACCAATATCAAGGTCGAATAAAGCAGACGTTGAGACCACGGACTCTAAAGCCACACCCGCAGTGCGATCCAGGACCATGATGGCCGCATGGAAAAAAGGTACGTACATGTGTCTTACCGGCCGAGAGTGGAGACACCTGAACACGCTCCATGACCTCGCAAATCAACGCGCCTAGCGAGCGCCCAGCACCCAGGTCAGCCTCAACTTAACTTTGTTTCCCATGTAGGGTCCATCCGAATGCAAAGTATCCATTCTCCGAAACCTGCCTTGCCCGCCTTTTCTGGACATATCTCCTTTGCTGCCACGACCTTGCTCTCCCACCAAGCGTCGTAGTCCTCTCGGTCACCTCTTCGACCTCCCATTGCTACAGCGCATCCCTCCAGCGACTTGACATACCATCTCGCTGGTAATCGATCTTTGACTTTTGCGACGGACAACATCCAACCTCGGGGCTTCTCCATCCTAATCCAATCACTACAATTACCGACGAAGGAAGGCTTCACAATGGCGAAGGTTGCGACCGACTTTGAGCGAATCATCCAAGAAGGTAGGACCACCCTCCCTTCCAGGGTCCTTGGTGCCACTTGTCGAACTGGTCGCTAAATGGGGTCTTTTTTGCTCGACTGCAGGACGAGAGAGAAAGAAGAACGAGGCGCTGGCACAGAAGATATTCTCCAAGGATAGACGACAGAGCGCCCCTACCAAGCTCAAGCCTGGCGCAGGCCCGTCGCTTGCGAGCCGAGTCGGCGTGAAGAAGGTAAGGCCCCTTTTCTTCTACCGGTCGCTTGTTTGCAAGCTACGCATGCTGACAGCTACCGCCCCCTCATCAGCAGCGCACCGCCTCCCTCGGTCCCAAGGCCCTCCCCGCCGGCAACATCGATGGCGACTGGACACACGACCTCCACGGAACCGTGAACGGCAGCGGCGGCGGTGGCGGCAGGGGACGTAACAACGGTGGCAATGCCGGCGCAGGCGGTCTCGCGTCGCGCATCTCGGCCCCGGGAGGCAGACCCGCGCCCGCTGCAGCCGCGAACAGCAGACGAGGCGACAGACGTGGGGACCAGAGGGCCGCCAAGGTCGCCGCGGCCATTGAGCGCTCAGGCGGCATGGCCGACGTGCAGATGACCTCCGCGCCCATCAGCGCACCGACCGGTCCCGCCGTGAAGAAGGGTCTCTCGATCCGAGGATTGGCAGGTCCGTTTGCAGTCATGGCGCAGAACTTTGCGCCGGGGACGACGGCAGCAGATATCGAGAGCGCGATGACGCCCGTCGGCGGAGAGATGCTGAGCTGTCGGATCATCAAGACGAGCCCGCTGATTGTGGCGGAGATGGTGTTTGCGACCAAGGAGGGTGGAGATGCGGTCATTGATACGTTCAACAACCAGACGGTATGTTATTAGTCCTTTTGGGTCCAAGGGGCGAGCTCGGGTCAGTCATGGAATGCTAACGGTTTGAGAATTGCAGGCCGACGGGCGGATCATCAAGGTCTACCCCAAGCCCGGCGGCTACAAGGAGTCCGTCGCGGCCAACGGCTCGCGCCCCGCGAACGTCCGGTCGACGTCGAGCCATGTCGTTGACGGCACGAACGGGTTTCCCGAGCAGATGGAGGAGGACGACGGCGGCCTGTACAGCGACCGGATGGTTGGTGGCGGCAACAGCGGCAACCGCAGAGGCCGCGGCTTCAACCGCGGCGGACGCAGATGAGGCATGAATGAGAAAGGGGGTGTGTGGCTCAGATGATACATTAAACAACAGAAAGGGATCTTCTACTTTGGGCGTTATTCAAGAGCGGGCTTGGGAAAGGTCGAACACCTAGGCGACTCATGTCTGTATTTGCATGCTGGTTCTTCTTGGAGGGGGAAGAGCCTCCTGGATCTCTCAATGGATTGTCGAGAGCGGGCAAACGACGCCCTTTTTTGGGAGGCATGTGTACTAATAGACTATGGGAACTTTGCTCTCTTTTTTCTTTTCGCTAACCAACGTGGTCGTTGAGGATCCCGGATCTGTCAACCACTGCCGGCTATATCTCCTGCCAAGCCGCCGAGGCAGATGTACGACTTTATGACGATGACGCCCGAGATTGTGTGCATAGGCCGTTGCTTTTCAACATTTGGTATTGCAGATTTGGGTATTGTATAATGTGACTTGGCCGCGCAAACCCCGATCATTCTAATGGTACACGACACCGATATCCTACATGTTGTCACAACTCGAGCGAAACAGCCGCTCAAATCTCCCACATCTTGCCCTCGCCACGATCCATGAACGCATCATCCGCGACGGGGTCCTCCTTCTGCTGGTTCGGGTCGGTGAACTCGACTACGAAGCGGTTGAGGTCGTTGCGCTTCTGCTTGAGCTGCTCGACGGCCTCGTCGTCGGCGAGCCTGTTCTCGTTGACGACCTTGTCGACGGCGCCAATCATCTTGCGGGCGAGCTCGACCAGCTCCTCGACCGCCGCGTCGCGCCTCCTCGGCGCCTTGGACGACGGCTTGCCTCCCGTCTGGGACTTGGGCTTGAGCACCGCGTCCTTTGCGGACGTGAAGGGCGCCCAGAGCTTGTTCACCGCGGCGGCGAGCTGCTCGCCGTACGCGCGCTTCGCCTCCTCGAGCTTGCCCTCCTTGGCCATCTGGCGGAAGTGGAAGTGGGACATCATGCCGACCTTGAGGTACACGTGGAGGGCGCGCACGTCGAGCGGCGTCGCCCCCTTGGAGGCGGCGGCGTGCGACGTCATCTTGTCCAGGACGACGTTTGCGTTCTCAAAGGCGTTCTTGTTCATGTTGTCGTTGATGCAAGCCGAGAGGGCGCGGCGGTACATGATGGGCAGCGTCGACTCGTCGGGAAGGTTCTGCACCGCCTTGGCGGCGTCGCGGCTCGACCCGTTGCGCTCGTAGATGCGGAGGAGCTGGTGCCAGTTGTCCGAGTCGGGCTTGAGGCCGTAGTAGTAGACAAAGAGCTCCCAGTACCGCACAGCCAGCTTGGCCTGCTTGTTTTCGCGGAGGAGCGTGAGGACCAAGGAGAGGGTGTTGCAGCCCGGCACGGCATATTTGGTTTTCGGCGTTGTCGAGGGGACGGGTTTCCGTGACGCCGAGTCGGTGGCGGCGGCGGCGACGATGCCCTTCATGCCTTCGTTCATGCGCAGGGGTAGTCCTTGTCGGGCTTCTCGCGCGTCATGTCACGGACGCTCATGGTCTCCTCGAGCAGGGGCATGATCTCGGCCTTTTCCTTCCTGCCGCCGAGGAGCAGCACGCGGCCCATGGCGCAGATCAGGTCCTCGTCGAGGTCCAGGGCGCCCTTGCGCCAGTTGCGCATGATCTCCTCCCAGATGGCCTTGCACCTCTTGATCGTCTGCGCCGTCGCGTCGATGGTCTCCTGAAGGGACCGGCCCTTCTGCTTGTCCGGGTTCTCTGCCTCGGCGCGCAGGGTGTTGATGATGGCCGTGTACGTGTACGCCGTGGTCTTGCGGCCCGCTCGGGCGTCGGCCGTGTCGGCGATGGAGAACATGGCGTCGACGTCGCCCGCGCGGCCGCAGACCTGGAGCACGGCGTTGAGGTGGAACGAGTTGGCGCGCACGGTCGAGCCCTCCTTGAGGAGCGAGTTGTAGAGGGCGACGGCCTTGGGCACGGCGGCTTTCGGGTCGAGCGACTTGGCGCAGCCGCTGAGGAGGATGGTGTAGGTGCGGTCGTTGGGCAGCTGGCCCCGTTTCTTCATGTCGTTGAAGAGCTTGATGGCGGCGTTGACGCGCTTCTTGTCGCGGATCTGGTACTCGATCAGGTGGTTCCAGGCCACAACGACCTGTTTGGTCTTGCTGGAGCGGTGGACGAGGAGGAGGGCCTCGTCGAAGCGGTCCTTCTTGAGGGTCGCCTCGACGCGCTGGGCGATCTTGAAGGGGTCGTCCATATGTTTGAGGTGCTGGTCAACGGCCCATTCTAGCTTGCGCCTCCTGGTCTTCTCGGCGACGTCGTCGGCATCTTCGGGGTTTCCTGGGCTTTTCCGCGCCTCCTTCAGGAAAGCGGCCCCGGAGGCTGTGGTGTGGGATCGTTGCTGGAGCTGATGGTGCACCGGGAGGCCATGTTGGAGGGCCGGGATTGTAGCGGATGCTTCGGGGAAAGGGGACTTGCTGGAGATTGGCTGAAGCGCTCGTCTGAGGCACGCTTTGCAAGACAGCATCTTGGACTGGTTTTCCAAGGATTGTGGACGATCGAAGCTTTCGATGTTCACCTCCGGGGCCAGCGCCGGGAAATTTTGCGACGAGTTGCCAAAGCTCCTTATCTTATCGGCGAGCTCCCAACGACGTTCGGGGTACAAGGTACTTGCAGCAGGAACCAATCCTGCATGGTACGTATAGCGTGTCGCGCAGTCCATTGACGTTGGTTGCGGGGCGGGCCTCTTCGACTACTACCCCACCAAAACGACCTTGGACCAATTGGGTCAAGGCCAATGGAACTAATTAAGCAGCCTGGCAAAGCGACGCGTCGCCAAACACGAGACGCGATTTCTTCGCGCGCCGCCCCTGGCCATCTGCCAAATTATAGTGCATATGAATCCGTGCTTCTGCGTATCCCACCCACAACAGGCGTGCTCCGTTCTCCAGACATAACACAACCAAAGACGCCAATTCTCAGTCCCAGATCGCCGGCACTGATCGCTTGTTTATATCATGAATTAGATTTCCCTCAGGGCCTCTGAATTCTTAATAATACCTTACATCCTCAGTCACGCCTGCCTATCATGCCCAAGGTCGACAGGCGCTCGAAGCTCGCAGAGCTTCGGGCTCTCCGAGCGGCCGGCAAGAGAGCCAACTACGAAGTCGAAGAGGTTGACGAGCTGTACGAGGAGGTTGACGAGAACCAATACAAGAAGATTATCCGGGACCGCCTCGACCAGGACGACTTCGTTGTCGACGATAACGGCGAGGGATATGCCGACGACGGCCGGGAGGAGTGGGATCGCGCTCCTCAATACTACTCGGACAGCGAGGATGAGATGCCAGTGAAGGGCCGAGGCAGGCCAAGCAAAGCATGTAAGCAACCCGAGCCTTTCTGCCCTTCGAAGCAGAGCAAACTGCTGACACTCAGCAGCAAAGAAGCAGCGCGAGGACGAGGAAGCCAAGCGAGACGCCAACGACAGAGACATTAGCGAATACTTTACAAAGGGCGCCACCAAGGCCCAGGCAAAGCCAAAGGTTCGTAGGACACACCCAGCTTCGCAGAAGTGGCTCTTTTGACACCATAGACAGGTTGCCAAAACAGAGGAAGACGACGCATTCCTTGCCGATTTGCTTGGCGAGGTCGACGCCAACATTCCCGCTCCCGCCTCTCGCTCAGCCAAGCGCAACAGATCTCCAGAACGACGACGAGCCCGCGTGCTCTCACCCGCTCCCGAGGCCAGACAACGTGTCACCAAGAGAACGAAGACCGTGGACGACAGATTATCATCTCCCGCCATCGACGACTTGGCAGCCGATGATGGCTATCTCCCACCCATGGGCGACGACAGGGACGACAGCCCAGCTCCGATCACAGTGGATGACGTTCCCATGTCCGACCCCGCGCCATCATCGCCTGCTGCCAAGGTAGCGCAGCGCAAGGGCTTGGTTAAGCAAGAGCCCAAGGACGACGACGATGAGGACATGATGGAGGTCGCCCACGCCGGTACGGTTACCGCTGCCAGCGTCAATATTGCGGGGTCAAGGCCACCGAAGAAGCTGGTAAAGCCCGATCCCTACCCAACTCCTATGAGTTCGTCCCCGGTCAAGCCCGCTGCCGCAGCAATCGACTCGTCCGCCTGGAACAACATCACAGACCAGCTTAACGTCGTCACAAGCTCTCCTGCGGAGGCTAGAACCGTCGGCAAGATTGACTACAAGGACGCCATCGAGGAAGACGGCAGCCTCAACATGTTCTGGACCGATTACACTGAGGTCAATGGCAGTCTCTGCCTTTTCGGCAAGGTCTTGAACAAGAAGACTGGGCTGTACGTCAGTTGTTTCGTCAAGGTCGACAACATCCTCCGCAAGCTGTTCTTCCTTCCCCGCCAAACAAAGGTACAAGGCGGCGAAGAAACAGGTGAGGAGGTCGAGATGATGGACGTGTACTCCGAGGTCGACTCGATCATGACCAAGATGAACGTTGGCATGTACAAGATCAAGGCCTGCACCCGCAAGTATGCATTCGAGCTACCGGGGATCCCAAGGAAGCCCAGTACTTGAAGTGCCTCTACCCATACACAAGTAAGTTGTCGTACAAAACGACCAAAGAACATTTCTAATCACAAACAGAGCCTGTCATTGATGGGTCGGCCACTGGTGAAACCTTCTCGCATGTCTTTGGAACGAACACCGCGCTCTTTGAGCAGTTTGTATTGTGGAAGAACATTATGGGCCCTTGCTGGCTGAAGATTACCGATGCCGACTTTGGTGCCCTCAAGAACGCCTCTCATTGCAAGCTCGAGGTGCTGGTTGAGCACCCTAACATGGTATCGACACTCAACGAGTCTACGGACAACCTCGATGCCCCGCCCCTGACCTTGATGAGTCTGGCCTTGCGGACGGCCTTCAACGCCAAGGCTAACAAGCAAGAAATCCTCGCGATCAGCGCCCGAATCTACGAGAAGGCATCCTTGAATGACACCACCCCAGCCGAGAAGCTCCCTTGCCGGACATTCACCCTCATCCGGCCTCACGGAACAGCGTTTCCTCTTGGGTTTGAAACACTGGCAAAGGAGCGGAAGAGAGGCCTCATCAAGACTTTCCGCCAAGAGTCCGAGATTCTGATGTTCTTCCTTGCTCAGCTTGATGTTGTGGATCCGGACGTCATTCTGGGACATCAGCTGGAAGGCGTCGACTACAGTGTTCTGCTTAACCGTCTGCACGAGAAGAAGACTCACCAGTGGTCTCGTCTTGGCCGGCTCAAGCGCACGCAGTGGCCGGCTTCCATGAACAAGGTGGGCGGCAACGTTTTCGCCGAGAGGCAGATCATGTCTGGCCGTCTGCTTTGCGACCTCGCCAACGATGCCGGAAAGTCTGCCATGTACAAGTGCCAGTCGTGGAGCTTGACGGAAATGTGCAGTCTTTACCTGCCGGGCAACAACCTCAGGCAGGACATTGACAACGAAGCGGCACTCAAGACCTGGGCAACTCAGTCCAAGGAGGGCATGATGAACTACGTAACCCATATGGAAACCGACACCCACTTCATCACCGCGCTGGCTTTGCAGGTCCAACTCCTCCCCCTGACCAAGGTCCTTACCAACTTGGCTGGTAACTCTTGGGCAAGAACCCTCACCGGTACTCGTGCAGAGCGGAACGAGTACATTTTGCTTCACGAGTTCCATCGCAACAAGTACATCTGCCCTGACAAGCAGACATTCAGGGGCAGAATGGCCCAGGAAGAAAACCAGGACGATGAGGGTGAAGGCAAGAAGAAGGACAAGTACAAGGGTGGTCTCGTTTTCGAGCCCGAGAAGGGCCTATACGACAAGTTTGTCCTGGTCATGGACTTTAACTCTCTGTACCCCTCCATTATCCAGGAGTTCAACATTTGCTTCACGACTGTGGACAGATCCGCAATGGTAAGTCTACCAGTCGCCATGACTCCGATGTCAGAAGCTAATCTATCTAAACAGGAACAAGATGAAGATGCTGTGCCCGAAGTCCCTAAAGACCAGGACCAAGGAATTCTGCCCAGACTCATTGCCACGCTTGTCAGCCGAAGAAAGCAAGTCAAGGCTCTGATGAAGGACAAGAGCGCGACGCAGGACCAGCTCGCCACTTGGGATATCAAACAGCTTGCGCTGAAGCTTACGGCCAACTCCATGTACGGATGCTTGGGATACACCAAATCCCGCTTCTACGCACGCCCCCTTGCCGTCTTGACCACGTACAAGGGTCGTGAGATTCTGCGCAGCACCAAGGAGCTCGCCGAGAGCAACCAGCTCCAGGTCATCTACGGAGACACGGATTCCGTCATGATCAATGCCAACGTCGAGAACGTATCGGATGCCTTCAAGGTCGGCCAAGAGTTCAAGAAGGCTGTCAATGAGCGGTACAGGCTTCTTGAAATCGACATTGACAACGTCTTCCGTCGCATCCTGCTTCAAGCCAAGAAGAAGTACGCCGCCATCAACCTGGTCGAGAAGGACGGCAAGTACATTGAGAAGATGGAAGTCAAGGGTCTTGACATGAAGCGTCGCGAGTACTGCGGTCTATCCAAGGAGATCTCCAGCAAGATTCTTAATGAGATTCTTTCCGGCGACGAGACGGAAAAGTCTATTGCCCGCATCCACGAATATCTCACAGAGATCTCCGGCAAGATGCGCGAGCAGGCCATCCCAGTCCAAAAGTACATCATCTTCACGCAGCTCGGCAAGGCTCCCACGGAGTATCCCAACGCGGACTCGATGCCCCAGGTCCAAGTCGCCCTCAGGGAGATTGCCAAGGGAAAGAACGTCCGCCGCGGCGATGTCATCTCCTACATCATCACCGGAGACCCCCAGAGCTCCGACCCCGCCCCGAAGAGAGCGTATACGCCGCCGGACGTCATGAAGGCCGATTCTGGCCTCTCCCCGGACGTCGAGTGGTACCTCGGCAAGCAAATCTTCCCGCCGGTCGAGCGTCTTTGCGCGAACATTGTCGGTACCTCGAGCTCTCGGCTTGCAGAGTGCTTGGGACTCGATATCCGCAAGTACAAGTCGGTCCAAGATCAGCAACAGGGCGGCTCGAACAACGACGTCGAGATCCACCCCCTGGAGTCGCAGATCCCCGACGATGTCCGCTTTGCCGAGTGTGCCCGCCTATCCCTCCGCTGCCGCAAGTGCAAGGCCTCTTCGGCGTTCGAGGGCCTGCTGGCGCAGCCCGACCGCATCTCGGCATCGGGCGTGCTCTGCGGGTCCTGCGGTGCGAGCATCTCGACTCTCTCGATCGTGGCACAGCTCGAGCATGCCCTCCGTACCCAGATGGCACGGTACTACGAGGGTTGGCTGGTGTGCGACGATTCGGCCTGCGGCACGCGCACGCGGCAGATGAACGTCTACGGCACCCGCTGCCTGGGCCCCAAGGGTCTCGCCCGGGACTGCCTGGGCCGGATGCGCTACGAGTACACAGAGAAGGCCATATACAACCAGCTCGTGTACTACGCCAGCCTGTGGGACGTTGACAAGGCCAAAGCCAAAGCCTCGGCCGAGAGCAGCAATGACCTCTCGCGCGAAGACAAGGACAAGATCCTCGCGATGGCGGAACACAACCGCGTCCGCTTCGGCACGGTCAAGGGCGTGGTGGACAAGTACCTCGACAAGTGCGGCAGGCAATGGGTCGCCATGGACACTCTGTTCGCCAAGTTGGGCTTCAACAAGCTTATTGCCGCGGCCGCATAGGCGCCCGGGAGGCTACGAGGAACTGCACACTGGAACGGCTGATGATGACACTGGGATGGGTATGGTTCGCGGACATGACGATGCTTTTGAGGAGTTGGGCTAGGCCTGTTTTGTCTATTGGTCTATTTTGCTTGCCTTTATAGTTGTTCGACTTGGTCTTGGTCGATTTGGGGGGACTTTGACCTTGGGAACTCCAGGAGCCCGGAGTCTGGGTGAGCTTGGGATGCGGCGGCAACTTTCTCCAGTTGACCGCGTGATATATATACATATTGTTTGCGAGAGCCGTAGGAAACAAGCATAATCTCACACAAACGTCTGATGCAGAACACGTTGGCCCATCTACTGTCATAGAGTTGTCGAGATCCCCATTCTCTATCCGTCTCGCTGTCCTGTGTCCGTCATGCGTCAACAGTTCCAACCTCCCGTCGTGGTTGGTAGGACAACACGGGGTGGATGGGCTCCGCAAGGGCGCATCAGGGTACGGCAGGGGTGAGTTGGCTTCCGACCCTGAGGCTATCGACAGGAGGAAAAGCCCTCATGCACAAGGGCACCTTGTTCACGCACACACAAAGCCACCTTTCCCCGCCAACCAATCGACAAGGTACGGATTGTTTACGAGATCACCCATCACTTCAGTGCAAGCTTGTCAAAGGACACAAGAAAAAGTTTGTGAACTATGTAGTCTTTTTTCTCCCTCTCTGCACACTCTGGTCCACTGGCCCCCAGGCTTCGTTGCCGAATTAAATGTACAAGTTCGGAGGAAAAGCACTCAAGTCCTCCCCTCCCGTCCGGTCGGTTACCCTTGCGCCGGTCCACTTCACCACCCCACTCCCCTAAGTTGATGTGCCCAAGCCGGGACCAGATTCACCGTTGGCGACCGGTGACCCCAGCGCAGCCAAGGCTCTCTAACTCGGAATGCATCTCTTGTGGTATAAGTCAAGAGATGCCAGGACCGGCGCCGTTTCCCTCCCGAGGCCGGGAGCAACACACCTTCGGACCATGCCACAGGATGTCGTAGTATGAGAGGGCCTGCCGAGTGTGACCCGAGCCCATGCCAAAAGGAAAAGAAAAAAAAAGACGAGAAAATCTTCTGAACAAATCCCAGAATTCCCCTTTTTTGCATAAAGACAGGATCCACGACCTAGCCGAAGCTCCCTTTGTATGCTTTTTGATGTCCGCCTGTAGAAAGAGCAACGCGTGCGCAACTAGTTTTGTGCGCATGAGCTCTCCATTGCTGGATGGACTCTCCCAAGGTCGTCCTCTTCTTCCGTGCGTCTGGCTCCCTCTGCATTCAACCCGTTTCGTAACCACCATCCCCCCACCCACGTAGCCAGGCACGTAAAAGATGACCCATAAAGCGTCGTGAACTCGTATTAGAAAAGGAATAAAAACACAATGTGTTGAGAGACCGCATCGGGGTTGATGCCGTCGGTTGAAGAGAGAGCCGGAATGTAGTGGAAAATTTACATCCGGAGTCCGAAGATGTCGGAAAACCTCTCTTCTCGTTGAGAAATCATCTCAGTGAGTCGTCTATGTCGGTATTCTTCTCGAGGTATCATGGTCCGCAGCAAAGATCAGGGTAACTTTTGAAAAACGAACTCTGAAAACCCTAAGTGTAAATGCACCAAACAGCCCCCGCCCCCTGTCTATTTGCTGAAATGCAATGACTTGATGGAAAAGGAAATGCTCGGCTACTCTCTTCATTTGCTCTCGGCAGCAGTGCTGTCGGGAACAGCCTTGGACAGTGCGGGGGAGGCAGCAGTCGAAGGAGGAGAGGCCGGGTTTTCGCTGTCCAGGTTGGCGAGCGCACTGTAGTTACGGTTAGCGGCTTGGCATTTGGCAATAGAAACGGCATGAAGAGGGAGCTTACCTGAAGGCGTTGGTGTGTTGGGTGGTGGGCGGCGTTCCGGTGCGGGATGAAGCACCAGAATCCTCACCAGGTCGGCCAAGGGAGCCGCCAGGTCCAAGTCTGCGACCGCTGTTGCTGCGCGAGCTGAACATGGAGGTGGGGCCGAGAGAGATGTTGCCACTGGCGGCTCTGCTGGTAGAGCCCTTCAGGCGGCGCAGATCGTCCATACCAACCTGGTTGGACTGGGCCTGCATGTAGCCGGACGAGAAGTTGCGAGAGTCGCCACGGCCCATGTTGGGGCGGCCACCGGGACCGCGCTGGCTGCCGCCACGCTGGTTCTCTTGTGCCTTCTGCAGAGCGGCTGCCTCGGCCTGTCGTTCTGTTAGCACGGAATATGATGATGGGGAGACGGGTGATGCATACCTCTGCGCGGATCTCGTCGAGGGTCTTGGGGCCCTTGTTGGCCTCCTTGGAAGCCCAGCCGGACTTGCGGAGGTCGATGACGTCCAAAAGCATGAACTTCAATCTGCTGGCAAGCTCGGGCATATCCATCATGTGCTGGATACGGTCGAAGTAGACGTTCATCAAGGCCTTACCCTTGTCAGAAGCGTCAAGGTTGCTACCGATGGTTCTCAGCAACTTGGACAGAGACTCTATCTCAGCCTCGTCGGGAACGCCCTCGTAGTCGACAAGCTTGCGGACACACTCGTGCATAATGCGCTCCGTGAGCATGCCGAGCTTGTACAGCTCACCGATGAACTGGACGAGACCAAGACCGCGACGCTTGGCCGCAGCGGCGATGTAGTACTCGTCGGAGAGCATGGCAGCCTCGGACGACTGCGGCTTGCCATCGTCAGCCTCCTCGGGCTTGGTGGGCAGGTTGACCTTCCAGCCACGCTCGAATTCTTCCTGGCAACGGTTGAGCAGGTACTTGCGGAACAAGGCACCACCGCTAACAACGACGCCGTTCTTGTCCTTGATGTTCTCGTCGCGAATCTCTGGGCTCATGGTGTCAAGCATACGCTTGCAGAACTTGGCGTACATGGACGCCCAGTGAGCCTCGTCGGTGGCCTTCTCGAAGGTGAGCTGAATGACCTGGCGGAGAGTGCGGCCGTCGGACTCGTCCTTGGACTGGCCGGCAATGGCGAGAATCTGGTCGGCAATCTTGTCGAACTTCTCCGGGGTCATCTTGTTGAGAGCAGCCTTGACCTTGCGCTGAACCATCTCGGGATCCATGTGGTCGGCGCCAGGGGTGGGACCAGAGGCGGTGCTCTTGCCAATGCTGGTCGGCTTCCAGCCAGTAGCTGAAACCGTGATGGGCTTGAGGTCCATACCTGCGGTGAGGGGCATGGTCTTGGCCGCCTGCGCTTCCTTGGCGTTGTAGTCGTTGCGTCTGCTGCCACCGCCTCCTCTAGCGGATCGGGTTCTAGGAGAGTTGGGTCCCATGTTGGAGGAGGAGGGCGTGCGCACCATCTGGGGGCCAGGGAACGAACGGAAAGTGCCCATGTTGCCGACGGGGCCACCTCCCGTACCCATGGCGGCATTGGCCATAGCGAATCGCTCGGCAGAAGTTGTGCCTCGGACGTTGTTGGACGGGGCTCGGAAACTACCAATGGCGTTTGCGGGCGCGGCAGTGCCGCGCTGGGAGCCGCCGCGACCGGAACCGGCGCGGGGAGTAGACGCGGAGCGAGAACCATCGTTGTCGCCGATCAGCGACTTAACCTGCTGGTGGAACTCGGTAGAAGGCTGCTCAGTGAAGACCTTCTGGAACTGCAGCAAGAACTGGGCGTCGTACTTGAACGTCTTGCCCTTCTTGGCAACTGCAGCGTTCAGGGCCGGGTTGGGAGAGCTGATGCCGGAAGGATAGAGGTCCTGGTTCATGACGGTCAAGAAGCGAGCAGACTTCAGAGACTGAAGAGCAGCGCTGGGCTGAGGCGCCTCCACAGGCTTGGTGTTAAGGGGAGCCAGGTTGAGGGGAGACGGCTTGGAGCCGCGCTTCTCAGTGGGGGTGGCCTTGGGAGCAGAAGCATCAGTAGGAGTAGAGGGCTTCGAGTCGATGCCAATGGTGAGGTTGGAAAGCTTGTCGGCAACATCGCCAACCTTGGCAGGCTCGTCCTCGTCAGCCTTGGTCTTCGCGAGGAGCTCGGCAACAGAGGCGCCAGCAGCCTCGGCACGCTTTCTCTCCTTCTCCTCCTCGAGACGCTCCATCTCGCGCTCGGCCTCGCGGAGCTTGCGGTCTGCCTCGGCGGCGTTGGTGGCCTTGTTGGCCTCGTCGGCCTTCTTCTGTGCCTCCTTCTCAGCCGCCTTCTTCGCGTTGTACTCGGCAGCCGCCTTCTCGCGACGGGCGTCTTCCTCCTCCATTTCGCGGATCATGCGCTCCACTTCGTCTTCCTCGTCGGCAGCGGGCTCGGCAGGCTTCTCGGCCGCCTTCTCGGCTGCCTTCTCAGCCTCTGCCTTTGCCTTTGCCTCGGCGGCCGCCTTCTCTTCCTCGGCAGCCTTGGCCTTGGCCTTCTCCTGCTCTTCCTCATCAGCCTTGCGCTTGGCCTCGGCCTCCTCTTCGGCCTTGCGAGCCTCTTCCTTAGCCTTCTCCTCAGCCTCGGCCTTAGCCTTAGCATCGGCCTCAGCCTTTGCCTCAGCGGCCTTCTTCTCGTCTTCGACGGCCTTGGCCTTGGCCTCAGCCTCCTCCTTCGCCTTATCCTCGCCACCCTTGGCCTGCTGGATCTTGGCTCTCAGCTCATCCTGAATCTCTTGGCGAGTCTTGGGAGTTGCCTGGCTGTCGGCGCGGACATGGGACGGCGTGGCCGACTTAGGGGGAGGAGTGGGGGTGGAAGTCACGATCGGAGGAGTCTTGGACTGCTGAATGCTGGGAGCGGGCGACGAAGGAGTCTTGATGCTCTTGAAGTCGACGGCCTCACCGGCGGCGTTCTTGATGACAATGGCAGCGCTCTTCTTGGGGCGAACGAAGTTGCCAGATGACGAGGCCACGATGGGGGTCTTGACTTGAGCATTCTGGGGCTGGGGGGTACCGGAGACAACGACGGGTTGGCTCGGCTGGCCAGTGCTGGAAGAGGGCCGCTCAGAGTGGGATGAGGTGCGCGACATGGCGGTCGGCGCAGGCTGGTGGTAAGGGGAGGTACAAAGCCTGGCTGGA